TGTTCAGATATTTTGGAATGCAGTTCCCATTATTGGCCATGGTGGTTTGTAATGATATGAGTTACTGTCTATCCAGTGGGCGCCAGATTGGGAAAAGGTGTCCTAAATGTTTCATGCAGAACTCTCATGTAATTTGTACATATGGATTAAAAGAGTAGTCCTGAAGTAATACATATACTTTTGCATACACAAGCAACATTTTAGAAGAAGCATTTTTCTGTGTGTGAGAGACTGTAGACTACCTTTTTAAAGGCAATGTTTGCCATTTTTATAATTGGCTGTGTGAAAAAATTTGTTTAAAAAACCCACCACCTAATTAGATAAGGGCATCTTTTTAGACAAGTAAAAGTTTTTACTATGGCAAATCTAGACAGCATACTAAAAAGCAGAGACATCACCCTGCCAACAAAAGTGCGTATAGTCAAGGCTATGGTTTTCCCAGTTGCAATGTATGGCTGTGAAAGCTGGACCATAAGGAAGGCTGAGCGCAAAAGGATTGAGGCCTTTGAATTGTGGTGCTGGAGGAGACTCCTGGGAGTCTCTTGGACCGCAAGGCAATCAAACCGGTCAGTCCTGGAGGAGATCAGCCCTGACTGCTCTTTAGAAGGCCAGATACTGAAGATGAAACTCAAATACTTTGGCCACCTAATGAGAAGGAAGGACTCCCTGGAGAAGAGCCTAATGCTGGGAACAATAGATAGCAAAAGAAGGAGGGGACGGCAGAGAATGAGGTGGCTAGATGGAGTCACTGAAGCAGTTGGTGTGAGCTTAAATGGACTCTGGGGGATGGTGGAGGACAGGAAGGCCTGGAGGAATGTTGTCCATGGGGTCGCGATGGGTCGGACACGACTTCGTGACTAACAACAACAAAAAATTTTCAGCTGCTTAATCAATTTCCTATACTGGAATTATGCTTGTTTAGGGACTTTTTGGCAGAACCCCATTAAGCTCTGTTCACATCGCAATGTTATAAACCTTTCTCATGTCGCTTGTTCTTCAGTATGTACATATGTATCTATCGGTCAAATACTGCATGAAATCAGGTGGAGATTAAAGAATGAAAATGTTTATTGTCTTCTACCGATTTATTTTCTGTAATACAATTTCATAGGGAGGCAGCAAGCATTGACAGAAACTATGGACAAAATATAGTTTGGCCTCTAGACCAGCAATATATGGAATCCCTCCACAATTATGGAATACAGGTCCCATCATTCACAGTTGATATGGCCATTGGCTGGGAATGATGGGAGATTCAGTCTAGCACTTCTGCAGGGTACATAGTTGAGGACAGCTCTTCTGGTCTGCCTACAATATCCCATACATGTCTACTCAAAAGTAAGTCCCATTGAATTCAGTGTGGCTTATTCTAAGTGAGTGGGTATGTGATAACTGGCCAAATTCCCTGCCTATTCTTCAGGGTGGGGAACTAAGATCTTTCTTGGTTTTCCATAATGTTGTGGCTTTGTATTGCCATATTATTGAGTTGCTCTTGTTACGGGGCCTACACAGTTTTGTTTCTCTAAAGTACAAAGTTGCCCCATTTCTCACCCCTCCTAGCTGTGCTCAGCTTGGCCGGTTCAGGCAGCTCATAGTGAAGAGGTGTGAAGTTTGTACACCTGCCCAGCAAGGTTGTGTAAATACACAAAGCAAATACGCAGGCCTAGCAAGGTTGCAGTTTGATGTAGACATGCTCATGTGTTCTAGCACAAATTTCTTTTTCTGCACAGCTTGGCAGTCCTCCTTCTCCTGCTTCCTGAGAGCATAAGCAATGTGAATCTGCCAACCCTAGATTTTACAGTTATCAACTCACTAGCAGGGTTGCCATTATGACCTCACCCCCTTGTCCAGGGTTCGAATAAAAATCTAACATTTGTAGAGATATCCTGACAAGGAAAGCTGCAGGTAAGTGTTTACAGGTACAGGAATTGTGTGAGCAGATCTGCTTCTCGCTCAGACTTTGCTGCTGTTTTAATAGTGTCATCCAGGGTTGTGTCCAAGGCTGCTTCTAGACAGGTAAGCCCCTAGTAATCCAATTACTGTATTTCCCTCATAAGCAACAAGTGGAAGTGCAGTGGATTTTCCCACACAATCAGGTGTACTGTTATTCTTCTGTGTACAGCCTGTCATTTTTCTTCTATACCAATGGTTGTGGCTTAGCAGCTATAAGTGGGGCCATCTGAAGTTCAGCCCCTTGTGGTTTAACAGTCAATTAGCCTAACTAATCATTTTTTTTAAAATTTACACTAAAAAGCATGCTTTTCTCGCTGTGCATTTTACCAAAAAAATTAAATTGGGTATAGCACTATAGTACCATAATGTATGTAATATCATTATGGTGCTGTAGTGCTATTTCCAATTTTAATTTAAAATATAGCCAGAAAAGCATGCTTTTCTTTTAATTAGGTTTTATTGATTGCTTAAAATCCTCATGTAAGTGCAAGCTCTAGTTAGCATGAACAACATTTAGAGGCAGTGCTAACGTAACTCCAATAGCCATGGATAAAATGAACGATAATTTGCTTTTAACCAGGTATTGATATTTGGTTAAAATCCTCATACCAGTCATGGTTACTCTGAATGGGGAGTGCATGTGAGAGCTGGGTAGAGATGTCTACAGTCCTGGCCCATCTTTACTCTAAAGAGGACAGTTTTTCTGCATCTTGAACAGTTTGGTTAGACAACTATTCCACAACTGTTGAAAGGACAGTTCTAGGAATATTACCTTTGAAGAGGTTTCTGGGGGCATGCTTGACCCTGGGCCATGTCTCAGTTTAGAAACAAAGTGCTGTTGGGCCTGGATGCAGCAGATTATTTGGGGGGACTTTTGGGAAATTGGGGAGACAGGAGTACAAATGCATGGGTTTTGTTTCTTCCTAGCCATCCTTCCATAGAAGTGCCCTGGGAATGGTCTTTCTGTTTGCAGCTTTCCAGAACAACCACATCTACAGCAGACCAGCCTAACCTTTTGCCCATATTCCAGCACATGGATAAATACCCTAGATAAGTTAATTCCCACCCAAGTGTTTTTCTGGGAAGGACAGCCAGAGTCACAGATGGCATGGTGAAAATGGAAACATGTTGAAGATGGGAGAGGGCAACAGTTCTTGTGTTATGCAAAGGAAATAGCCTAGGACTTGAAAGAAGTCGTGGTATCTTCTTAAATCTCCTGCTTTGACTGTTTGCAGATCTTACACATCTTCCAGAGCTTGAAACAGGAACTGAAATGTCCTGGCTGTCAGCCACCTTACCCAACTCCAGTGGGTGCTGTTCTGCTGCCAGAGCCAGCCTAGAAAGCAGCTGTTCTGTATCTTCTGTGGGAATATAACTTTGAGCTAAGGATGTGGTTAAAGCCAGACATCTCCATTGCCATTTCTGCCCCACCCAGCCTCCAGAGTACTTTCCCAGGTATAGGCAGCAGGATTAAACCTTGAGCTCCTTAGTTCCGGAGCCTCCACTTGCCAAAATAAATGCAGCTATAGTTTCTAGAATTGGAGAAGCTCCCTTTGCTTGAACAGGAACAGTCCTCCCCATGCAAAAAGCAGTTTTGAGGAGGGGATTTTGTTGAGGCCACTACTGGGAGAGAGGGCATTAAATCCCTTGCTATTTTGATATAGTAAAACAGACATTTTAAAAATGCAGAAAACCCCACATTAAACATCACATGTTGGGTTTTTTGTTTTTTTGCTGAAGGGATTTTTAATTGGCAGCATACTGTTTATTATTTTTGGTTTTAATATGTTTTTTAAGTTAAAATTTTAATTAAGTTTTTTTTAAAAAAGTATTTTGTTATTGTTGGCTGCCTTGGGCACTATTTTTTTGGTGGTAAAGTGGGATATACCTTAAAGAAGTACAATAAAGTCTGCAATATGGCATGCAATTGAGAGAAATGGAACCAGAGTCTCTTAGAAGATGCTGGGATGACTGTGTGTGGGCACAGGACATTTTAGTTTCCCTCTTCAGTGCTTTTTCTGAGGTCATGCCTATACATTCTCTCATATAATAGGATCTGCACAGATGACAGATGTCTGTATCATCCTGCTAAATAGCAAGGAGGAATTTCATATATCAGGTCAGCTGCAGATGTGCAATAAAAAGCTTGTTTGCACACTCACTCGCTCACCTGCTTGCTTGCATGGTCTAGTTATTACTTCTTGTGGGGAAATGCAAAGAGCAGCACTTGAAGACGACATTGCATCAGAGGCAACATTATTTATTTGTTTGTTTGTTTATTTATTTAAAACATTTCTATGCCACCCCATTCGCAAAGAGCCTCGGGGCGGCTTACAAAACAAACTATACTCACAATTAACCTTAAAAACCCGGAGATATCTCGGCACAATATAAAACCCCATGAATTAAATACTCAACAGTTAACAATTAAAATAACTTTTAAATAAAAGGGTCTTGGCCTGGCGCCAAAAAGCAAATAATAACGGCGCCAGGCGGACCTCTCTGGGGAGCGCATCCCATAGGTGGGGCGCCACCACAGAGAAGGCCCTCCTCCGGGTATTCATCCTCCTAATAACCTTCACGGAGGGTTCCTGGAGAAGGGCCCCCCCCCTGCCACCGATCTCGGGGCGAATGGGCATATATGGACGCAAGCGTTCCTTTAGATAACCAGGTCCCAAACTGTTAAGGGCTTTATAGGTGATAACCAGCACCTTGAATTGGACCCGGACTTCAATGGGGAGCCAGTGAAGCTGACGGAGGACTGGGGTTATAAGAGAACAATGCCCAGCCCCCGTCAGCAACCTGGCAGCTCTGTTTTGCGTCAATTGAAGTATCCAGATCGTCTTCAAGGGCAGCCCCACATAGAGTGCGTTACAGAAATCTAATCGGGAAGTAACCAATGCATGTGTCACTGTCACTAGGCAATCGTTCTTGTGCTCACTACTTTTCTCCCACGCCCAATCCAAATGCAGCTTTTCTGTTGGGCAAGGGAAGAGAGGTGGAGGTGTTCATTAACCTCCTCAGGGGTTGTAAAAACAGGAGGAGGGCCTGTATATGGAAAACCAGGTCTGGCCTTGCTGCCATTTGCAGTGGCCTCAGTTACAGATGGACATGGCAGAGGAGAAGGGATGGCATAGAGTGGCCAGTTGCAAAGAAGGATGGGCTCCTGCCCTTTTAAGTGTTGTGGCTTGCCTGACGAGTTGTAACTACTGAAAGTCCCTCCTCTACAGAGCTTGTAAAGGTGCAGAAGTGTTGGCTGATTTTGCACCCATCCATAACCGAGGCCTTAGTGAAGTCAGAAAACAAGCTGGAACTCTTTATTCTCCCCACTCTGCTGCCATCAAATATGGAATTGTAATGTTTTCAGGGGGAAAACAAATCAACCAACTGAGCTTGGCCTGCTCTAGAGCTTGTCCAGTGCAAAAGAGGCTTTTCCCTGTCTGGAGGTGGAGGTGAGCGTGATTAGCTGTTAATGGTTGCACATCAGGCTGCTGTTAGGGAAAGGCAGAGCTGCAACTGCTGGCTGAAAAGTTGGCGAGCTTGATGTATGCACAGCCTGTCGAGGTGGGATGGAGTCTGTCCACTGTTGTCCCCTGTCAGTTTCAGCTCCCTCCAATGGGGTGTAGAATATGTGGGAAGGAAAAGTTCTGAGCACCCCCAGGATGTTATACTGAGTCAGGTCTGCTTGCAGGGGCAGGACCTGCAGTTACTGCTCAGGAATTTAAACTGAATGCCACTCCCTGAAACAGAACTTGCCAAGACCATGTCTTTTAATTCCCTTGGGTAACCCAAAATCTGGCTCTCCAGTGGCTTCAGACCAGCTCTGTAGGGTTCCCCAAAAGGCTACACTCCATTTTCCATGACTCCAAATGCCTTCTCTGTCTAGGTTTGGTGATTTCCTGACTTTTGCACTTCTTTCTTGCTACTCTAAGTGGTTGACATGCCTCTCCTAACACTTCATTACCAGCTGCAAAAGCTTTAATAAGCAAAAATGGGTGGGTGCGGTGGCCCCACCTCCTTGCCCTCAGCCCGGCCACCCCCTGCAATGTGTCCAGGGAGAGCTTCTGAGGAATGGAATTTGGTCCTTGAATTGAGCTGCGCTGCACCCTCTCCAAGGCTAACCAGTGCCTCCACCACTACTAGCAGGAATCCAGGCTTCCCATTTTCTCTCTCTGCCATCGTACAGTAGACTCTCAGTTAACTGGCCCCCATGGGGATTGGTAGATGCCGGATAAATGCAGTTTCTGGTTGCTTGAGAGTTACTATTAAAAATAGGCCTAACTAATACTATACCCCATTCTATATCATACCATACCAGACACTCTGTATTGGCTTGATATTGCTATTGAAATACAGTAATTAAAAGCAAATTAAGATGAGTAAGACAAGCATCTACCTTCTGAGATGGAGGCTTAATGTCACAGATTGTTGGCAAACCAACATCAAATTTCTCCATGAGCACTGCTCGGCTCCAAGCTTTCTCAGGCCTCTTGCATATTCCCATCTTCTGCTTGATGGTAAGCACTAGCATTTATGCTTGCTTAGGACCTGTTTCAACATACTTGGGGTTGGGTGAGAGCACAAAATTTAAATAACAAGAGTGAATTGGTGGGAGTGGGAGACAATTTCCACTGGAAATTGATTTTATTTTAATTTTTATTATATTTCTTCTATTTTTTGCTGGTTGCTTGAGTTCTGGTTAACTGAGAGTCTACTGTATTGAGTATTTTTTCTAAAGTTAGAAATGGAAACCAGTCCCAGGGTATGGAATCCCTACCTGTGGGAAGAGATTCCCCTCTCAGGGTCGGGAATAAACTTAAGGCATCCTGATCATAAAATTAGGAAAGTAGAATTGGTGGTTAGGCAATGGCTTACACTTGCCTTGTTTCCCTAGGGTGTCTTTGGGGGACAGTATTCTGTTTGAAGGTGTCCCCTATGTAAGCACTCTCTAGACTGTATCCGCTTTAAAGAGAAAGGGCCATATACAACGAGAGCAAAGAGGGGCCTTGAAGTTGCCTGCCATCAGTTAGTTCCAGACATCAGACTGAGTAGACACACAGTTTGCCTGGTCACAGTCTGCCTCACTCTGGTGATATGTATTTTCCTTTAAATTACAGTAACAAATTCTAAACCCACAGCTGTGCACATCAATCAGCATTTGCACATTTTATCTAAATATGCATCCTCAGTTTTTGGAATGGGTAACTGGCTACCCTAATTTCCTTCCGAAAATCTCCCTCTGCTGTCTGCTCCCGCATTAGTGTTGTAAGGGAGGGTAGACTTGGAGGTCATGTGTTGCCATCCTCATATTTGCTTTGGCTCTCAGGCAGCAGAGATGTGTGAACTGCCCTGAGATTTTGGGAAGTGACTTGAATCAACTGGGCTGCATTGCAGACACCAGCCTTCTGACTTAATACAGAGGCAGCTCCTTAAATTCAAGGATTCACACTTTCCATGCAATAGAAGGGAGCTTTTCCCCTAGAATGCCTGCTTTGTGCATTCCACATATTTCAGGATCTGTACTAGCACCACCTCTGTGCCCTTATTTTCTGTTTTCTTCCCTTTCCCCCTCTGCCATCCAGATCCTTGTGAAAAACAACAGTGACAAGAAAAGCCACCCTTTTAAATCTTTGAAAGTCATAATTTTTGGAATGGTCCCAAGGATGAAAAGTAAATGTGATTAATGTACATGATCTATGATCCATGCAACTTTTTGCCTTGTTGCAAAATATGTACTATTAGGTGAGAGGTTTCTTATAGCAGGTTGTATTCACCAGAGTACATACCATCCTCATGGGGTATAAGGATGTATGAGAATGCTAGACAGGGCAGCCTGCCAGTGTGTGCCTAAAGGTGTGGGTGGGAGGAGGAACTGGGTACCATCTTTCCTTGCCCACTTCCTGTCAGGACAGACTCTCCCCCAGGCGAGTTGGAACCACTGCATGTTCCTTGGCATGCAGCAGTCTAAATGAAAAGGTGGTGGTAATGTCCACACCCATTCTGCAGCTGGGAAGAGAAGATTTTGGTATCTCGATTCCAAAAAACACCTCCTTAACTTACAAACCCTACAGCCCTCTGCTTTATGGTGAACCGCCTGCTACATTGTTTTCTTCCTTTCCATGTCCGCAGGTGTGCCGCTGATCCAGGCTGCTGCTGTCCCATTTGGTGATTTGCCCCAGCTCGCTAGACACACAACTACGTGCCAGCACACATAGTATACTGTTTGAGGATTGTTCACACATTTAGGATGGAGCTGCAGAAGATGGGAGAAGAGATGGGCACTGAGAAGCTCAATGGGACCATACCTGATAACAACAAGGCTGCTGGCCTAGAGGATGGGTGAGTCTTTGGGGGTTATGATGGAGCAGAGTTGCAGGCATGGGCTGCATGGAAAAGACATGTAATGAGATGAGCTGAGAGTAAGGCAGAATGGGTGAGAGTTCTGGCTTCTTGTTCATGAGCAACATGCTCATACCTGCTGCCCAACCGCCCCCACTCAGCTTCTTCTGCCACTGGGAGCAGCTAAACAAACCAGATTTACAACAGCTCTCATGGATTGGACATTCTAGAGAGCCTTCATTCATAGAGTTGTCATAATTTGAAGATGACTTGACAGCACATGACAACAGCAAACTAACCAGAAACTAACTTGGAAGCAACTGCTTCCCCTTTAATCTGAAGCCTGGGTTTGAAGTTAGTTTTCCCATTCCTGGTTAGCCACTTCTGATGCAAAGAGTATCCAAGAGGAATGTGATCCAGCTGCATGCTCAAGTGGGATGCAGTTCTGGATTATTGTTAAGTCTGAATGCAGCCCTATCTGTTTGTACTCCAGGTGAAGCTTGAAAGTGAGTCAGAGCCCCTGATATGGGTGTGTAGATATTTTGTGGGAATTTGTCAAGATTATCAAATAATGGCCAGATTTTTTTAAAGTGTTAGAGCAACAAAAAATAATTAGTTGGCTTTATGCTTGCATAAATAAAAACAAATTTACTGCTCTTATGAAACAATTACATTACCATGATTCTTCCCACTGTGCTCCCATTGAATACAGGATTGTCAAACTACCAAAGGAAAAAAATGAACCAACTCATTAAAAAACTGGTTAAAAACATTAAAGTTTTAGTGTGAATAATTCACAAAAAGGCCAGTTTTTAGAGTCAATTGGGTTAAATAAGCATAGCAGACTCAATTCTGCACATGTCATTAGCATTGAGCACCCAAACTGATCTAAAACAAATGCATTTGTTTTCTGGAGCAGTTGGGTTGTTTTTTAAGGGTGGGCTTCTTGCTGGTTTTTGATAGGAACAGTGGTGGCTTTCAGGACATCGATCACTTTAGCCTGATGTCTCCTTCCATTTCAGCTACGAGGAAGAAGAACGTGCTTTGACTGAGCAAGAGGAGTTCCTGCCCCACATTGCCAGCAAGAAACTGAACCAGTTCACTGATGTAGGTGTTCATTGCTTTGCCCAGATATCCCAGTTTCACCCTGGGTAGACTGAGAATTTTGACTTTCTAGCTTCTGTGAGCAGAATACAGGAGGCCCCCTTCCTTTGCATATACAGTGGTACCTTGACTCATGAACTTAATCCGTTCCAGGACTCTGGTCGTGACCCAAATTGGTCGTGGGCCAAGTTAAATTTCCCCATAAGGTTCAATGTAAATAAGGTTAATCCATTCTGTAACTATTTTTTTAAATCAGAAAAATGTGAAGCAAAGTGACAAAGATTGCAGCCATCTCCCTCCCCCCCACCCCGAGCACAAGCGCGACCATCTCCCCGCTCCTCAAGCACAACCCGTGCCCGTCATCTCTGCATGCGCCCATCATCTCGGCACACTAGGGTGGGAGATGGGGGCAACCACAGGCGCGTGGGTGGGGGGAGAGATGGGTGCAATCGTGCTGGCGGGGGAGATGGCTGAGATCGTGGGCACAATCATGGGCACATTCCTGCAGGAAAAACGGTCACAATCTCGGCCATCTCCCCCGCCCCCAGAACTCGGGGGTGGGGGTGGGGAGATGGCCGCGATTGCGGTCATCACCCAATGTGGAGTTCGTGACCTGAGTTGAAATTTTTGTTCGTGACCCAATTTGGTCGTGAACTGAGGCATTTGTGAGCCAAGGTACCGCTGTAAGTGTATAGCAGTTCATGGACCTTTTCCTGATCATGTATAAGACCATCCTCTGCACAACTTAGACTTTATGGGGTTGGCTGACACCCTCTACAGAGCAAGAGATCTCTTTTCCTGTCCTGCCAGATGTATCCTTAGACCAGTTCAGATGATGTTTGACACAAAAACTGAAGCCACATCCATCAGAATCACATGGAATTGCTTCTCCTAGATCATATCACTCAGGCTGCAGGTGGGGAGGTGGCACTGAATGTTCTCCTACTTAAAGTGGTTTCAGCACAGAGAAGAAGACCATGTCATAGAGAAGACTCAATGAGAGAACCCTTCTTCCTGACCCCTGTGGAAGGATTTTGTTACTCAGGAAAGTGCTCAAACATTGCCATTTGCCACCCTGAACCCTGGTGGTCTTTAGTGGAACATCCCAGCATGTGATTCTCCTGCTCTGTGCTGCTGCTCATGGTTCTTTCCCCTTCTGAGATTCCTGTGTTGAACATTGTTCACGTCTTTATCCCGCAACATGCTGTTTTCTTTCTTAGTACTTGCCTGCTGCTCTGTGTTCTTTGTTGTTGCGTACAGTGGGCAAGCTTACAAATTCAGATACTCAAATGAATGTGAAACTGGAGGAGCTGCCACCCACTTTGCTCACAATCCAGAGGCCCTTTTCAGAAAATCAGTTTTTAGCACAATCAATACAGAATTGGTGCCCATTTGTTACATTCAATGCTAATTTCAGCCGTCTGGCCTACACTTCTAAAGCAGAATCTTAACATTATCCCTGCAGGCATTGCACTTTATTTTGTAGACAGGAAAAAGCCTTTCTCCCTTCTCCATCCCTCCCTCCCAACATAAATATTTTCTGGCATGGAATATGGCTATAGGAGGGTTAGACATTCCATCTCCTGTGATATGCTGCTGCAATGAAGTGTTGCTTCATTTTCTTTTCCCCCCCTTTTAGTTCCTTTGAACAAGGCCATCCAACACAAATAGTGTTAATTTTGATATCTAATGTTTTGTTCTCCCGCCACAACAAAACCCTCTGAACCCTGACCTGTTTTTGCCTCCCTCCCTGATTTGTAGTTTGAGGGAAAGACTACATTCGGAATGTCCGTTTTTAACCTGAGCAACGCCATCATGGGCAGCGGCATCCTGGGCCTCGCCTATGCCATGAAGAACACAGGAATCGTTCTTTTTCTGTGAGTGCCACCCCTGCAGCATGCGGCTCAGCAGTGGGAGGGATGGTGGACAGGGGCAGAAACTCACTCAGCTCACCGCATCAACAAAAACTCTGCCATGGTGCACCAGCAGCATGTAATGGTGACTGAAACTGACAGCATCCTGAGAGCAAGAGCTTGATCGGGGTTTGGTAGCTGCAGAGGCAAGTGAGGTGCTTTAGTTTGGAAAGTGATGCTAGGAGAGTTCCAGGTACTGTACATCTGACATCTGTTTCTGTGTTTTTGCTTCCCAGGGTGCTTTTGATCTGCATTGCTTTGCTCTCCTCCTACTCCATTCACCTACTGCTGAAATGTGCTGGAGTCGTGGGTATGTTGTGGGCTCCCCTGTTATGCCAGGGTGCTAGCGATGAGACGCCATAAGGCACAGATCTTGAACTATTCTAGTCCTGTGGAATAGAATCATGGGAAGTTTTATTACAGTAATTAGAGGCACTCAAAATTTTGTTAAGGGAAGTGAAAGTGATTTGAGAAAGATTTACCTGTCCATACAGAAGTTTCTTTTGCCACATTATTATCTCTGCTCAAGTAGGTTTTGTAGGTTTTTGGAACCATACAAAAGCCTGCCAAACCTTATTTACCAAGTATCCACCAAAGCAACATCCCAAACTGGGGTCTGTCCTCAGTGGGTTGTGGACTAGCAGAAACTACTGCATACTGCAAAAACCCACATGTATAAACAGTGAGGGTCTGAAATGCTTTAACACTGCATGAAATTGGTGGCCAATACAACTAGAAAGAGTGACTGTAGTACTGGGGCACTGAACCTCTTTCAGCCTGAGGACTAAATATTATTTTTAGAAAAGTTTTCAGAACCCTCATTCCAGTGGTAGAAGATGAAAGGATTGGGGACAGAAATACCAACATACTATAGCTTAAAGGTCTTACTTCCAGTAACCAAGTCTTATGAGAGTTATTTCAAGGTTTTAGAAATGGAGGGAAATTACAGAAGTCAGGAAACCCCCAGACAATTTGTGTTTGGTGGAAAGAATGTATGGCCTTCTGGGTAAGCCCAGAAGGCTGGATTGTGACCCTGAGTGAGCCAGAGTAGGCTCTCAGACCTAAAGTGTTGCAATGGAGAATATCTACATTACAGACCTAAACTGAAATAATAATTTGATCTGTGTGATAGCATTGGGAATTGTGCTTTCCTGAGAGATGAGCCCTTGAGTTAACTGCAAGAAAATTCTTACACACTGCAATTCTCAGGATTCTCAGTGACACCATGACAGGGAAACTCGTGCTCTGGAACTGCTCTTTAGTCTCTTTTATACAAGTTGTGCAATCTGCCAGTTGTACAATCTGCTAGGTTGTGCAATTTCTAAGTGCCAGAATTTTAAAAGGTGGAGGGTGGTACAGGGAAAGATGGTTGACATTCAGCTTTGGACTTTCATACGCTTTCTACATCCTGTGTAAACAGTTAAGCATTGCCTGGAGAGCATAATTGATCCTTCACTGTTATTACAGCAAAATTGCATAGTTTCCTAACTATGCAGGTTTCTGACTAGGGAATGACATCCTGTATTCGTTGAGGGGGTGTGAGAGAAACCTCACGTGAATCGAGGCAATGACAATGAACTAGACTACCATCAATAGTTATTTGTTTGTTTGAAGCATTTCTATACCATTCAATTAGCATAGTGCTCTCAGAACGGTTTGCAAAATGTAATTAAAATATACCAAATACAAAAATTAAAGTATAAAACAGACTCACCTGCCATAAACCATCTCTATACATAAAATTCAGCAGGCATATACACTAACAACAAACAAGCAATACAGTACATAATAGCAAATATTCCACATGTACCAAACAATTTAAAAGCCAATATAAAACCAGATAATCAACAATTAAAATGGTGGGAAAATAAAAAAGATTTATTCCTGGCTCGGAAACATAATACATTGGCTCCAGGAATATTTCCCCAGGGAGCTGATTCCACAGGTTGGGTGCCACAGCCAAGAAGGCCCTTCCCCTCCTAGCCACCCTCTTTACTTCCTTTGAGGGTGGCTCACTGAGAGGGGGCCTCCATAGATGATCTAAGGATCCAGGTAGGTTATGGATGGTAATTAACATGATTTCCAACCCAGCTGGGAAAAATAGTCCTGCATCTCTCTCTCTTTCTCTCCTTTCCCTCTTCCTATCTAGGAATTAGAGCCTATGAGCAGCTGGGATTCAGGGCATTTGGCCACGGGGGCAAAGTGGTTGCTGCTGTGATAATCTCCATACACAACATAGGAGGTAAGAACTACTCCCCCCATAAATCTCTCCCCCACCAGGTCAAAGGGCAGGACTGAATGCATCCTGAGATTAAAAAGGAAACTAGCATATTTGTGCTACTTTTGCACTTTAAAAGTGTCCCGCTGATTTGGGGCTGAACGTTGTTCCATTACCCATTGTCGTACTTACGCAGTGGTACTGGTGGAATGTAACTCGGCCAGCCTCTTGATTTCTCTGTTCCCACCAGGCCAGTAGTGGAGTGCAGGAAACCCTGACCCAGCTTTCTCTTTTTGCAGCCATGTCCAGTTACTTGTTCATCGTTAAATCAGAGCTGCCACTTGTGATCCAAACCTTCTTAGGGCTGACAGAGAACAACAGGTAAGCAGAGCAACATTTGGTTCAACCCCCACTGACCTTGCTTGCTTGCATTTACCATAGCAAGAGGTGATAATTAACTACACATGCAACAGTGACTGCTCAGCACCCACCAAATTTAAAAAATAGAGAACTGATTCAATTACACCTTCAGTTACAAATTTATTCCAAAAAGAAATGAAGGAGGACTCCTCTCTTATAGGGCCCTGGTATTGCATAGGAGCAGTAAACCAATGAATTTATCCATTCCTCAGCCATTCTGTATGGCCATCTTCCTCAACCTTGCACCCTCCAGTTGTGCCTCAGCTCTCATCAGTGCCAGCCATTATGGCCAATGACCAGGAGCGCTGGGAATTGTAGTACAAAACATCTAGAGAGAGCCAGGTTGGGTCAAGCTGCCACAGAGTGTCCAGGACGACTTTATCAGTGATCAACAGATTTTAAATTAAAGCATGTCTTTCCTATTCACCTAATATCATTACCTTAGGGTCACCTTTGAGCAAACAGCTAGTCACATCAAGGATTATTTTAAGGGTCTGAACTTTCACTGACCTCCCCTGTGGGCCATGGTGACCTGGAATGAAAATAGAGATGGTGCGTGCGCGTGCGTGCACGCGCGCGCGCACACACACACACACACACACACACAGAAACCGCCCCTTTTCCTCCTCCCATGGCCACCCCTCCAAGTAAACTCTGCTTTTGAGCAGTTTTATGGAAGGAAGCAGCTGGTCTTTTTGGCTCCTTTTCCCTTCTATAAATGGATCCATCTGGAGCTTGCTGCTCTATTCACATGCCTTCTGTGATCAGGAATGCTGCGCCCAAGTAACCTGTTTCTGCTGCTTTGCAGTGTAATAATTTGGGACACTCGCCCTCCAGCCCCCCATTGAGCAAGAGTAGGGAGTGGATACTGGGCCGTTCTTTCGTGAAAGGAAAATTGTCTTCCCTTGACCCATCGTAGGCCAGATTGTACATCACAGCAAAAGCCACATGGAATGTTACCCTGGCAGCCATTTCTCTGGTTGAAAGTCTGATAAATGTGAGGCTGGAACAAATCTCAAGATGAACATGGCTGAAGGGTGATTCTCATGGCAAAGGGAATGGCAGCGAGAACAGGGTTAAGCATTCTTTTTTCCTGCTGCTGCTTCTGCACTGCAAATCCTGCTCCTTCCTGGTGAGGAAGCTTCCTAGGGGAGATGTAACCATTAGGCCAGCCTTTCCCTACTGGGAGCTTCCTAGATGTGATGGACTGCAACTCCCAGAACTGCAGCCAGCACAGTTGTTGGCAATGCTGGCTGGGGATGGCAGGGCCTGTAGCACAACACATATGTTGTGCACATGGATGAAGGTGTAAGCGTTAGGGCAATGACTGGCATAGCTGCCTTGGAATGCGCTGTCTGGCTCTCATGCTGCTGTCTGTTTAAAAAAAGACAACTAGATTTTCAGGCTTGAAGCAATGGAGTAAGAGCAAATCTTGCTGAGCCCCAAGGCCCTCATGGATGGAGAAAGCACCCCCTGAGCATTTAAAAATATAAAAGGGAGTCAGTGCTGATCAGCTGGTGAGTGGGCCTGGTGTTGGGAGCTTGCAGAGTCTCTGGCAGCTGTATAGAAGTTCATTGTAGCAAGCTAGCCCTCTGCTTCACTCAGAAGGGAAAGAGAAGTGTTTCTGAATCATAAGCTAAATATAGTCCACAGTTTCATGTTACAGGCCTCCTTGTGTTCAGTATGCTAGCAGTGGCCTGCCTGAGCACTCCAGCTGCAGCACTGGGATGCTCTTGCCTCCAGGCACTGCCACATCGTTGAAGCACCCCGGCTATTAGTGGGGATGCTGGAGGCACATGGGCAGGGCAGGGCGGTCAGCTGGTGCAGCCAGATGGAGACGATCAGAGGTAGTCCTCTGGTATATGGAAGGACTTGTGGTGCTTACTTCTCATCCCTTCATTTGGACACACCACCATTAGGATGGTTTATTTGTTACATTTATCTCCTGCCTTTTTTTCTTGCAAGGAACCCAGAGCAGTTTACATAATCCTCCTCCCCTCCCTGTTATCCTCACAACAGCTTTGTTGGATAGGCTAGGCTGAGAGCACAAGGGGACATTAGAATATGACATGGATCTCCCAAATCCCAGTTTGACACTGGCTTGCCTTTGTGTGTTGGATTTTTGTTGCTGTTTAAAGTGCATTTTTAAACTGCCAGTATTGCATTTATTTATTAGATTTCTATGCCCTTGGGGCAGTTTGCAAGCATAATTCCAAAAGGTACCAACAAAATTACCAAATAAATCACTATAATAATACACACATGAAAATAATAATCACTTAATACAAACTTTAAATATGTATTAAATAATATATAAATTATATAATATATACATTTAAATATAATATATAAATTTAAATATAAAGGAGCCATTTTACAGTTGGCTCCTTAATATCATTGAGGAGCCAACTGTAAAATGAATAAATCAGCAGATTAGAGGTGATAAAATGCCTACTTAAAGATGAAGATCTTAACCTGGCATCTAAAAGTATACAGTGAATAAATTGGGGTGACTCTCTTGTAAGCTTCTGGTTCATCCAACTTGCACCAGTCTACTCTTGACAGGCAGTGGCTTGATCTTCAAGGGGTCCTTCCTAGCTCTGCTGGTACCCAAGATCTCCTGAATCTGGAGCTTCTTCCATGCAAAGCCAAACCTCCACCAATGAGCTACACCCCCTCCCCGCCAAAATATTATGCTCCTTGTCTGGGGATTCAGCTACCAGAAGTCCAGCTTGAAGTTGAAGTCCAAAATTTCATCTCCATGGCCAACTAACCATTGGCCATGCTGGCGAGGAATTATGGGAGTTGCAATCCAGCACACAGGGAGGACCCAAAGTACTAGCAGCTCACTAAATATTTAACTTGACTCAGTGTTGCAAACAATCTTTAGTTATGCTGTATTGACTCTCTCTCTCTCTCTCACGCACAAGCAGTTCACTGTTTCATCTCTGCCAACATTCCATCAGGGTGTAGGGTGACCAAGAAAGAGCAGCTCAGGTAGCACAGTGCAAATGTGGACTGACTTAACAGGCAGTAGTTTAGGACACTGCCCTGAGCATTGAGGTCACCATAGAGTAAGCTTCATCACCACACCATTGTTGCTTCTCTGTGCACCCTCTATTTACTCCCATATAAAGCAGCCCTTCATTACTTTGTGGGAGAGTCAAATGCTGTCCTTGGGGACAATGGTTCAGTGGGATCAACATCCGCCTCTTCCCCTTTGGGTGGCCATTGAGAGGGACCCCCTGGTGGAGATGCAGTGCTTCTCTGTGCATAAAGTTTCCATATTTCTATCCTCCTGAGAACTTTCATATGCAAACAAGAAATATTTTGTTAGTGATTCTGGCTCATTAATACTAATACTAGACTGGGAGGGGAGGAGACCAAGGGAGCAGGTACAACTGGACACAGTGGGCCTGTGCAGAACATGGGAATTTCAGCTTGCAAGGATGGAAAAGCTCCCTGGCTCCCAGCCTGGATTCCCTTCTTGATGCAACCATTTAAGGTGCGGGAGCCCTGCTTTTCTGGTGGTGTACTTTGCCTCCTTCCCTAAGAGGGAGGAGATGCTAACGTCAGTTGACTATTGCAATCCTGATACTGTTTGCTTTCAGTGAGTGGTACATGAACGGAAATGTTTTAATCATCGTCGTCAGCGTTTGTGTCATCCTGCCCCTAGCACTGATGAAACATTTGGGTAAGTGGCGAAGAAAAGAGCACCTACCATGTTGCTTTGCTTGAGTGGGCTTGCATAAACAGCTTCTGGGCTGGTGTGTGCTTTTGCGTCACCGCTGGTCTGCCAAGAATTCAAGGAAACACTTGTTGGATTGGTTGTTGCAGATGTAGCTTTGCTGCCCTCTGCTGGAGGGAATGACGTTTGCTTTATATGAGCATCCTGTTCCTTGCATTGCCAATAACCAACCATTCCAGGGGATTACACGTCTTGGTGTAGGGATGCCCATGATGGAAATACTGGGGTGCAAAGGAATTGTGGGATTTTCCTGCAAGTTCTGTGTTGCTAGGGTAGGTCGCCTGCTTTCTTTCCTTGGCTCTGCACCTGTACTTTTAAAAGCAGGCTAACATACCCAAATTAAAAGCAAAGGTTTTTCTGAGCATGGAAGCAACATGATGGGGAGAGATTTTCCTTGTTTCCTGATGGTGCATGTTGCAGCTGATGTCATCTTCAAAGAGGTTTGCTCTTGCTTTCTCTTCTGAGATGATGCCCGCCATTTTCACTTTCATGTATCATGTGGGGCTGTATTTCATGTTCCTTGCCTCAACATTCGTCTTCCATCATTCATTCACCATGGTGAATCTGGGAGAATCATTTGATCAGTGTAGAGATGGGAAAAGACCAAATATACCTGAATCATTTTGATGGGAGGCACACTTACTGTGGTGGAGAGAGATGCCTGACACATGGTAGAAAATTCCTTTGTGCCTGCCTGTGGCATCTTCTAGCTCACAGCTATTCCCCTCTTCCTAGAATAGAATTATGTCAAATACAGAGTCTCATTTTGTGAGGACAGGAGCAGTGGACATTGGCTGCCTTGAAGTAATCCTTTCCTGGTGCTACCACTGCCATACTGGTGGCGCAAAACAACTCCTCTGCTCACTCCCAGACTAGAAATAATTGTTTAAAAAGAATCTTCTACCTCCACTGTAAGTACGATTCCACCCCACAAAACAAGCAATTCAAGCTTCTTTGGGCCCTGAATTTGCTCCTTCAAAAATGCCCCATAAAGTAAGTGAACTTTTAATTTCAGCAATTTCTCTTCCTGCCTTACTTTCTAAATAAAATAAAATGCTAAAAATGTGTTGCCTATTTAATTGGGAGGGTCCCATTTTCTTATTGCTCAAACGAGAAACAAGCTATTTGTCTAACTGATTAATCAGTTATGGATTGCTACCCCACTAGATTGATCTAATCCAGAGCCAGGGTTTCTGCTGAGCTTCATGCTTGGACCTAGGAGTGTTCCATTTCTCTTGTAGTATATAGCCTGAAGTGCCTGATTCTGCCTAATCTTGGAAACTAAACATGGCCGGGCCAGGTTGAAATCTGGATGGGTAATTTGAGTCCCGAATTGAGCAGGCAGTTGGACCTGATGACCTGCTAGGCCCCCTCCAGCTCTACAATTCTGTGATTCTGCACAATCATAGGTGGACCACTTGTGGCCCTCCAGATGTTTTTGGACCACAGATCCCATCAACCCTAGCCCACATAGCCTGTAGTGAAGGAAGAGTACAGACATCATCTGGAAGGTCAGACATTCCCCATCAATAAATTAAAGGGCCTCTAGAAGAAGGGAACATTGAAGTGAACTGTGCAGTTGAAATTGTGACAAAAGCTTCCATGTTTTTAACTTTACTAAATTAATTCTAATAGGAAATAGTATGTGTTACTTGTGTTCAGATCTGGTATAAGCAAGTGTGATTTAGACTAGCCCTGTAGTACTGCTCTTAAGTGGACTTTTTATTCATAAAAAGAACTGACTGAGAATCATTCTCTTGAATGATTCCTGTGTACACTTCAGATATTTCCATATTGAAGAGTTTCCAATTTGGGATTGGAATTGAGGGGTGGGGACAGGGCTTTTGTGCTTTTAAACAATTATATGACAGGAGGAAGCTCAACAAGTGCTGCTTTTTTGTTGGTATCAAGATGCCTTGAAGAGAGAAACTTTGGTTGTTAAATTTTTACCCATTAGAAAGGTGTTTAAAAGCTCAAGAGCCTTGTCCAACATCTTTTACCCCTGCCAGCTCCCCAGAAATTGAAGTGCACCAGGGATCAGGGTACTATTTCAGCAGTTCTTATCCCAAAATGAGAATTGTCTGGACAGTCCCTTAAGAGAAGGCAATGAATTAAGACAGGAGTGGGCAAAAGATCTCCAGAAGTTTTGGTGTTCAGCTCCCAGAAGGCCCTGCCATCATAGCCAATGGTCAGGAATACTGTGGGTTGAAGTCCAGAATATCCAGAAATACTCTTTCTGCCCAGTTCTCAACTTGGGCTCCTGCTGAATGTCCTTGTTTTGTCATGGGTGCTGTATCTAAGCATGATACACTCTCTCTTTCCTTCTCTCTCACAGGATATCTTGGTTATACCAGTGGACTTTCACTCACCTGTATGGTTTTCTTTCTCATCTCGGTGAGTTGGCAGGGAACTTCCAAAACTCTAGGAGTTTATTCTTCTGTCAGGAGAATTCTGCTTGCCAAAATAAGCTGCCAGACTCAACAGTGAATGGGTACCTTGCGCCTTTAATATTTGTGCAGAAAGGGGAAAGTACCAGGTTCAGCTGCTTCACCTCTTCATTCCCTTCCAACTCATTTTCAAATCCTGATATTCACCATCAGTTTTTCATTCCCACCACAAAGGTGATCTACAAGAAATTCCAGATTGCCTGCCCCCTCAATAGCACCATGGATAACAACAGTACTATGGACCTCAAAGATGAAAGCTGCACTGTTGAGATCTTCACTATCAACTCCCAAGTTAGTATGAGAGTTTCTGAAGTCCTCTACAGGAGGTTTAACCTGTTAAGAGTGGATGAAGCTGCATCAGATAAAAAGTTTATACATGAATTTGTAAATTGCACGAGATTAATTATATCAAACTGTTAACCAAAGTGTTGAGGATATTGATTGTGTGTGTACAAAATTCAGAAATTCCAAATTCCAGCTGAGCATGTATTGTTCTAGAAAGTGCACTTGTTATTATTTTGAATATTTGTATAGTTTCCTATGTTTTAAACCCAGAGCAGTTCACAACATAATGCAGAAAATACATCTAGAAATACAATAGCTTTAAAATAAATTAATGGTTGGGGAAAGCTAGGGTAAACAGATGGGCTTTTAACAATCATGGAAAACATGGACTAGTATGCCAAATAAGATGCAAACTTAAATATCTGAAGCATCTGAGATGAGCTTCCTGCAGGGTATTAAAACCTGTGAAGAATTCTAATTCATCCTCTAACTATCCTTGAATATTTGTGTAAACATTCAGACACCAGAATCCTGGAATAAGCTGGGATTATCCTTCCTTATTGATAAAACTGATCAGGATTGTATAGACCTTTATCTTTGTTGAATTAGGACTAGCATTTTTCCTAAGTTCTTGACAAACCAATTTTAAAAAGACAATTGGATTGTATCTAAGCTTAGTGCTACACAGAGTAAACCATGGGTCCTCAAACTAAGGCCCGTGGGCTGGATCCGTCCTGCCATGCCCATTTAACCTGCCTGTCCCACAGGTTTTGCACTCACCGGGCACATGCGGGCATGCGGCTTGCTCACGAGGAGGTCGTTTTGGACTCGATTGGAGAAAGTGATCCCATGAGCAAGCCGGCGCATTGCCGTGCACACACCAGGCAGCAGCTTGCTCGTGGGGAGATCATTTTGGACTCACTCAGAGAAAACGATCTCCTCACAAGTGCCCCCCCGGTCCCTGCCTCACCTCACATGCACCCCACCCCCTCACCAGCCCACGCCCCCCTGCCTGTACCGCCTTGGTGGCCCATGCCCACCACTGGCACCTGTCAACAGGCCCCCTTTAGGAAAGGTTTGAGGACCCCTGGATTAAATCCTTGACAAGAATCAGAAAAACAAGATTAATTTTAGATACAACCCAGTTGGTAGTATATCCTTCTGGAACCAGTTTCATATTAGGGAGACAGCTGCAAGGCAATATCAGTGGAACTCACACTATTGTTAGTAGATGTAATGTCTTAAGTAAAGCTGTTACTGGGACGTTCATGGATGCAGAAAAAGCATTTGATAGTGTAAAATGACAATATCTTTAGATTGGGGTGCCCAACCTTGTTCAACCCGAGAGCATGAATGCACTGTCCTTCTCTTTTGCAGACAGCTTATGCCATCCCCATCTTGGCCTTTGCCTTTGTGTGCCATCCAGAGGTGCTTCCTATTTACACAGAATTACGTAGGTATGTATGCTAAACTAAAGTGGGAAAGGTGCTCTTTGCTTTCAGAACTTAAAAAAGATGCAAGGAAAGGGGTGCTGCAGGCAGGTCCTGTCCACCAATGATAGGAAAAATTGGGATGTGTTGGAAGTATAATGGGTGTGTGAGGAAAATTTAAACATTAGGAAGGAACTGTTTCACTGTAAAAACAGTTCATTTAGGGCAGGCATGTCCAAAGTCCGGCCTGGGGGCCAATTGCAGCCCGTTTTCAAATTTCGAGCGGCCCGCAGCCTCTTCTCCCCGCCAGCCTGTCACTCATCCCCGCCGGCCGGCATTTTTCCCTTCACTGCACAGCGGTTCCCACAGCTGTCCCCTGCTGCCTCCTGCTCCTTCAAGGCTGGTGGTTATATTTCACCAGAAGATGGCAGTAGACTTGAGTCAGCGCTCTTGCCACGTGACTCTTGTGACACCAGGCTTGTGTGCCATTTCTAAAATGGCGACTGTAACTAAAAAAAGGAAAGTTGACAGCGAGGGCCGCCACTTTCAGGACAAGTGGGAATTGGAGTATTTTTTTCACTGAAATATGAAACAACTGTGTCTGCCTAATTTGCCAAGAGACTGTGGCTGTTTTCAAAGAATTCAATATCAAGAGGCACTACCAGACGAAACATGCTAACTACAACAAGCTAACTGGGAACTAACACGGCGAAAAATTGAAGTAACTGGAAGCTGCTTTAACGGCACAGTAGCACTTTTTCAGAAGAGCCCATGAGTCAAATGAAAATGCCACAAAGACAAGCTACGAGGTGGCAACGCTGATTGCCAAGCACTGCAAACCTTTTACTGAGGGTGAATTTATTAAAGACTGCATAATGAAAATGGTGGAGAAAATTTGTCCTGAGAAGAAGCAAGAGTTTGCCAATGTTTGCCTGGCTTGTAACACTGTGGTACGGAGAACTGAAGACGTTTCATCTGATATTAAGAGACAGTTAGAGGCAAAAGGAGTGGAGTTTGACTTTTTTTTGTTAGCCTGCGACAAAAGCACGGATGCATCTGACACCGCTCAGTTATTGATTTTTTTGAGAGGAGTGGACAATGACATGAATGTGAGTGAAGAGCTACTTGACCTCCAGAGCCTTAAGGACCAAACAAGAGGAACAGATTTATTTGTTTCTGTTTGTTCCGCCGTAGATGACATGAAACTACCGTGGAATAAAGTCACTGGGATTATTACGGATGGCGCACCTGCCATGGCTGGCAAGTGAAGTGGATTATCAACCCTAGTCTGTAACAAAGTCAGCGAAGAAGGAGGCAAAGCTATAAAACTCCACTGTATTATTCACCAACAAGTTCTCTGTGCCAAACATCTGAAATATGATCGTGCTATGAAACCGGTGATGAAGGCTATTAATTATATTCGCTCCAAAGCCCTGTGCCACCACCAGTTTCAACAGTTTCTACTCAACATCCAGGCTGAATACAGAGATGTTGTGTATCACAACGAGGTAAGATAGCTCAGTCGGGGGTCTGCACTGCAGCACTTCTACTCTCTTAGGGAGGAAATCAGACAATTCTTGGCAAAAAAGGGACAACTGATGCCAGAGCTATCTGATCCTGTTTGGCTGGCTGATTCTGAATTTTTAGTTGACATAACACGACATCTGAACATGCTGAACACAAGCCTTCAGGGGCAAAATGCAGTGGTAATCCAACTGTATTCACATATCAAAGCCTTTGGGACCAAGCTGCTACTTTTCCAAAGGCACCTGTCACAAACGCAGCCCCATACCACACATTTCCCATCGCTGCAGGAAATAATGACCAGTTTTCCACAGAACAATATGAGTGCACAAATAAGGAGGTATGAAGCAGGCATCTCATCTCTGGCTGAGGAGTTTCAACAGTGCTTTCGGGATTTTGCAGCTATTGAAAAGGAGATCACGCTTTTTTCATCTCCTTTCTCTGTGGACCCTGATGACGCTCCAGACCACCTGCAGCTGGAGCTCATTGAGCTGCAGTGTGATGCCGAGTGTCACAGTCGGCACCAACAGCTCCCTCTTATCAACTTTTACCGCCAGCTGGATAAAGACAGGTTCCAAGAGATTCGAACATTTGCTAAGAAAATGCTGAGCTTGTTTGGTTCGACATACTTGTGCGAGAAGACATTCTCAGTTATGAACATTAACAAGAACTGCATGAGGACAAGACTAAGTGACTTTCACCTGCGTGACATCTTGCGCATCAAAACCACTGTTTTTGAGCCAGACCTGGCCTATATAATGCAGTCGAGATCTCAGTATCACCCTTCACATTAGTGCAGTTAAGTTATTTGTTTAGTCTTCTATAAAATAGTTCATTTGCATTTAATGTTAAGGTTCAAAGAATGTCAGGCTGAATGGTTGGCCCCCACACATTTTCACCTCACCAAATCTGGCCCTCCTTGCAAAAAGTTTGGACATCCCTGATTTAGGGAGTAAGTCAGTGTTTCCCAGCCTGGTACCCTTCCAACATCTTGGACTGCAATTCCCAGCATCTCTCAGCCACCATGGCAGGGAGTTGTAGTACAAGACATCTGAATGGGCCAGTGTGGTGAAGTCTGGACTAAGCAATCTGTTGGCGAAGGGAGGTGGGAGAATGGAATGAAAGAAGCAGACCATAGGACCCCCTTTTCAAACCAGGATGCTGAAAGAAAGAGAGGATCAGGAGTATTTCCCATGTTATTTCCATGTATGTATCAATGTGCAGTTGAAGCCCAGACTCTGAATTGTGCAGCTTGTTCACAATATAAGACTGGTGTGTAGACAATTTGGGGCACAGAATTTGGCCCAGAATGGGTCCCAATTTAATTTGAGCTGGAGCCCATTCTGAATGTCAAATATTAATTTTCAACATTGTGTTCAACATGCCTTCCACTTACTACGAATCTGTGACTTGGTGCAAGAAAGCTGTCATGGTACATGGGTGAACTGTCTGTGTCTCTTCCTTAGGGCCTCCAAGCGTCGAATGCAGAATGTAGCAAATGTCTCCATCCTGGCCATGTTTTGCATGTATCTGTTGACTGCTGTCTTTGGCTACCTCACCTTTTATGGTAAGGGACCAGTCCCCTGGGTCAGACATAGTTGAAATCTTTTTCATGCACACACGCATGAATGCACATGTGCTTGCACACATGCAGGAAAGGAAGAAACTGCCTCTCACTTTTGTGAGCATCTCTCCAGCTAGCAGAGATGGGATGCTTCACTGTCTTGTCTCACAATGCCCCATAATCCTATGCCAACACTACTACTTTGTAGACCGTATACTTTTACACATGGAAGGCAGAGAGGAAAGATGAGTGTGGAGAGGCTTAGAATGAACTAGAACAGCCAAGAATTGCTCTCAGTACTTCTGTTAGAACTTCTTGAACCCTTGCTGGGAAACCTTGGGGGCTAGGACTGACATTCATGCCTCATTTTTCTCCAAAGACCAAAAAGTAGTATAAATGGTTCTTCACCTCACCTCCCCCATTTTATCTTCACAACAACCCTTTGGGGAAAATGAGAGACAGTAACTGACCCAAAGTTGTCCCGTGCTCCCCATGGCTTGGTGCGTGCCAAGGGTAGCCAGTTACAACTGAGCCAGTTGCACGTGAATTGACAGGTGTTCCTGTGAGACACTTGACGGCTGGCCCAGCTGCCAGTTTTGACTTTTCCCCATGTTCCAGGTAGACCGGGCCCTGCTTTCAATTTTTAAAAGCAGGGCATGAAGGCTTATGCTTCAAGCAAATGGGGCAGCTGCCTCTGGTGGGTGGGATGCTGAGGAGGTGTGTGTGTGTTTTGGGGGAGCAGGCACAGAGCTCCTCCAGCTATTCCCTTCCAGAGGAGGACAGAGCTGTGATTGCCACACAAATTGTCCTGCACCCCTGGACTACCTTCTGCGTTCAGCTGCAGAGGAGAATGCTGTTCTGTAGTCTGCACTGAACAGACTGGTTGGTTGCGGGAACCATCTTGTCCTTCACCCCAGAGAGCAAAATACTTGGAGCCAAACCTGCCCCATGTGTCATCTTATGGATTCTTACAGGATTTTTTTTTTAACTGCTCCAAGGGTGAGGTTAAGGTGGAGTTTATTCAGCCAGCATCATCCAGAGCCAGCTTCTGTTTCAAACTTGTGAATCACTGTTCCCATGGCTTTTCTGGAAATGGGGAAAGATGCCTTGGCACTGAGGGATGATACCAAGTAAGAGTTGTACAAAGTGTGCACAATGAATTTTGCATTCATCTGTGCAGACCTGAGAGGTTCTCCTTTTTCCACATTGTATTGGATGGACAAACTATTTGGTTTCAACTTGTGCTTCTTGCACTTGCATCTTTGGTGCAAACTCTGAGTTGAAAGAAGTACACACTACATCATTTCTTTTGAATGTGTAGGAGGTAATATAAAAATATCCTCCAGCAATGTGTGCGTAGCTTGACAGACAGATCCATTTCCTGTCATACTGAGGGCAAGGCGGAGAGGAAGGAGCTAGTAGTCAGCCCAAAGAGCAAACCCCCTGACTTGATCACAACCAACTTGCTGCAGAAACCTGTGGCCTGGTCACATAACTGTGGCAGAGCAGCAAGGTGACTCTGCGACCTCAGGTGGCCATGTGTATTGCTTCACCTGGGAAGCACACAAGCCAGCCTGTCCTTCCTCCCCTTGCTTCCATCCTATGCTTCAAAATGGCTTCTGCATTTCTGATTTTTTAAAAAAAGAAACATTTGAGCACATGTGCTATTTTGCATTTTAAACTGAAATCAGCACCATCATTCCACTGACCTGAGTTTAAACATGTTTGTTTAAGAATGAGCATGACCTTTTCCACAAAAGTGTGTGTATGTGTGTGTAGAGAGAGAAAAATATCTGAACAAAATATATAAAGTTATATGGATACAAATGTAGCCTTTATTTTAAAAGACTACATTTATAGATACATGCATATAAAGTGAAAATAATAAAATAAACATTTTAACCCCAGTTATACTCAGTCAGCTGCCTTCCTAACTTTAAAATGTTTACATATATGAAGGACACTGGCAGCAGCGCCTCCTTTGGGCCACTGGCCTTATCAGCTGCTGCTTTCCAGAAGGTCATTTGGGCCCTGCCCAGGGCCATGAAGGACCCTCCACATGGGCCCTCAGGTGCAACCCCAGATTTGCTCTGGCCTGTTTGTAGGGGGCATTCTAGCTGTAATGTCTGGCTGGCTTCCTTTTGCTTCCATCCTTGGGACAAAGGTGCCATACAGGCTGAATCCTGCTCCCCAGACGTTGAATGTGACTCTAGAAGAAGTTCTGTTGAACTTCTTGAGCCATGGCAAGAGCATCCACATATGATGTTAAAAAGAAGCCTTCCCATTTAGCAGCTCTCTGACAGTGTGACTGTATCCCTTCTGCTTTTTGGCAGAGAACGTTGAAGCAGAGATGCTGCACACCTACATCAATGTGGACCCGCTGGACAAGCTCATCCTCTGTGTGCGCTTGGCTGTGCTGTTGGCAGTGACACTCACAGTGCCGGTGGTCCTGTTCCCGGTAAGAGGCAGCCTTTCTCTGTTTCCCCACTGGACGGGTGTATGGCTGTTTCCTAAAGTGCCTTTGGCTGAGTGGCAGGCAAACAGGAGTCCCCTGGCATCTGCCTTGCTCCTTCCCTGTTACAATTCCATCCCAGCCAGCAGGGTCAACTGTGGGTTTGGCACACTTCAGTCCTAGTTAACAGCTGGACCTTGGCCTGATCAGTAATAATGCCTGGCATCTATGTTTAATCATACTTTGACATGTGTAACTGAAATGAGTGCATCTTTTCCTTGTTTACTCCTACTTTAATTTTCTTCCCATTTCCCTCTTGCTTTCCCTTGTTTCCCCTATTTCCAGATAGTTAAGTCCCTTGGGGCAAAGAACTGTCCTGTTATTCTTTGTAAAGCACTGTGTACTTGGATGACATTATATATAGCAAGAAAAAATTGTCGCTCTTTAGAATGTTCCAAAGAGCTTCACATTATGCATTATCCCAGTAATCTCTACAGTAGCCCTGAAAAGTAGGCCAACCTTTCCCCTCCCCCTCCCTTGTTGGTAGGGAGGTGGGTATGGAGTAAGGATCAATAAAGCCTGAATGATCCAAATTACCCTGGCTGTTTAATATCCCCCAGCCCTGCCTTCTGCATGTGAGTGGGGCTGACTGTGCCTGAAACCCTTGGCATCAGTCCTCATACCTTGACGCAAAGCGGCATCTCCAGAAATAAGCAGCTTTTTAAGGCACCTGCATTTAAGCTGTGAATGACAGACTTCTGCAACATTAGTGAGCATCTGCTTGTCAGGCTTCCATTATGTAACTCACACTTTTGATCCTGACAGATCCGCAGAGCCATCCACCAGTTGCTGTTCCACAAGAAGGATTTCAGCTGGCCGCGTCACGTCACCATTGCCTGCTGCCTCCTCGTCACTGTCAACCTCCTTGTCATCTTTGTGCCAAATATCAAGGACATTTTTGGAGTCATTGGTGAGTATGTGGCACTTTCCTTACCCTGTGATGATGCATCATAAAGGAATGGCCTTTTGTAAATGCTGCCCTGGCTTGTTCTTGGAGGGAGCAGGACATGAGCAACCCAGTTCTAGAGCTTTGCACACCATTTGTAATAGAAATATAGTAGCTGCATGCCAAATTATGGAGCATTGATTTCCAGATATGTTTTTCATTCTTTTCCAAATTCCAAAAAGATGGGAAGCGTTCATTTGGAAGAACAATGATTTATTTAAAATACCACAACTGGACACAATCTGTTCATGTCCTGATTGATGGCCATCCCAATTCACTACACAAAAAGGCTGCAGGAGTTGTGGAAGAAAGACAATTGAGTTTACGAAAGAAACCGTTCCGCACAATTCCCAACACATTTATGGTAGTGCTGTCAGTCCCTCAGATTTCAGCTCCATAAAGTATTTGCACAATCACTTCACTATATTTTTTTAATAGTAAGGTTAACACTAGAGGTGCAGAACTATTTCAACCCAGGGGCCAAATTTTATTCCCAAGAAGCTCTCATGGCTTGCATTTCAGCGGTGAGCAGGGCTGACAGCAAGGAGTACTGCAAAAATACCAGCATATTTTAGTGGAAAGATCTTCCTGCCAATGCTTTGCGAGAGAGGCATTTTAGGATATGGTCCAGTTTGGATCCTTGCTGCCCCCCAAACTGGGAGGATTACAGATGCCTCTATGCAGAATGGGAGGAGCACAGAGGCGAGGATTGCCCCAAGCTTCTCCCATTCTACAAAACACTTCAGTGGTGGCACTTTGGAATGTGAGGAAAGGAGACTGTGGCACCTGCAGGATGCTTCGTATCTTGGTGGGGCCTGCCTCCTCTCCTCACCACCCAGAATGCCTCCCAAAACTGTCTCCAAGTTGGCTTAGTGCCACAGGCAGCAGGGCTGCACGGGCAGTGGGAAGGTGCTTGCAGTTCAGAGCCACAGTGTGATGTTGGACCAGGGCCTCCAAAAGGTTCTGTGACTGTCTTGACTCAGCCTTGTGGCTGTTGGATTGTTCTGTTAACCCTTTAGGATAGGCACCAAGTTGTGCAAAAGCTGGGTGAGAATCAAACCATCTGTCAGCAGGTGGAATTGGATGTGGATTTCTGAGGACAACAGGAGGACCAGATTCAGCCCTCTGGCCTAAGGTTCTGCAGCTCTGATCTATTTATTTTATTTATTTATTTAAAACTTTTGTATGCTGTCCCTTAGCATCTCGCAGTGCCTTTACAGAAATACAGGGGGGCTGAGGTAGTAGTTTCTAGAGATGTTAGTGAACATCAACTAGACGTCTTTGGAGCTCTCCTGAGAGAATGCAAATTGCCCAGAGTGTAGAACCTACAGGCTGATCCCACAGCAAGGGTGGCTGAGGGGCTAACTGTACAGTGAATTTGTTGCTTCGTTCATTTGTTCGTTCAAACAATTTTGCAGTACAGTTTGCAATGCAAACTAAAATACAATACCAAAATAAAATAAATAACTATAATAAAATAAAACATGTTATTTTACATTTAATAGCCTAGGAGAATACAAATGGCTTTGTCTAGTGCCAAATATGAATGATACTATTGACTCCATGTGGGTGTATAATTGAAACTCATTGTGTTTGTTTTTTAAATGCAAAACTACTTTGGAAGAGGGTTGCGTGGAATGGATAAGCAGGAAGGAGGTGCTGAACCTTTCTCATTTGCTATTTCTCTGAAGTTCTGCTCTTCTCTCCACTCCCAGCAATGGTAGAAACATGCCTATTAAGATAAATATATACCTAACACACTGAGGCTGGAGACAGCTGGTGGGGACAACTCTGAGCAGAAAAACAGATGGCAGAAACAGAACTGAAGCACCACCTTCTTGGCTGCCTTTCTTCCACCCCTTGCAACCTCCAGAGGCTTCTTTTTATTTAAAAATGTGGTGTGGACTTTATTAACACACAGTTGCTCCTAAATGACCAGGAAAGAATCCCCCTGCGCTGCACTACTCAATTAACAATTGATTGAACTGCAGAAAAAGTTCTGCAGGAAGTTTTAGAGCAAGAATGAGGAATGCTTTTAGACTAGGCCCAAGTTCAATTTCAAGGAAACTCTCAGGAACCACCTTCCAGTGGTAGGAGAGGCAAAATACCGAATCTTCCAGCATATTATAGCTTAAAGCTCTTCCCGCAAGAAACTAAGCCTTAGGAGAGCCGTTCAACCTTATAGAATGGAGAAGAAACTGCTGAAAAGCAGCAAAAGCACTAAAAGATAGATGGTAGGGGGAGAGGCCTGGAGAATGAGGCATGACCATTTGGGGAACCCTAGAGGACCCCAGCCTAAAGTTTCCCAGTCTTGCTTTAGATCACGAAGATGGTTGTCGCCACCTGCAGGTTCCTGTGCACCAGTGACAGTGTAGATGCTAGCAGCGCTGCTCCCTTTCCTACCCCTTGCCCCTGCTTTGCAGATAAGTTGACTGTTCAGCCGTGGGGAAACTCCCTGGCACAAGCATCCTTGCTGCAATCAGAAGGACAACTTGGGGTAAAAACAATTGCATTCAGTCCATTAGTGCTTAGAATAAATGCTTGCAGATAAATTGTGCAGAAGTGGCCTAAAGCTGCCTAATCGTAACTGTGGCATTTGAGGTTTTCCACATAAATTTCAAGAGAGTCCAGTTCATGAGGAAGCAGTTCAGATGGATCTGTAAATAGCCGCATGAACGAGTCAAGGTTTAGTGCTCTTAAACTGGAGTTACCTCCTAAGGCTGAATTTTCCTTTTCCAAGATAGAAAACTGAACTATGGAGTTGGCAGCTCAAGCATTCAGCAAGCATGCAAGATTTTAAAAATAGATCTGTGCTAGAGAAATGTGACACCTTACATTTGTCATGTTTGTGAGCTATAAAAACTCACCCAACGCATTTATGATGAGACAAATGAATGCTAATGACACAAATAAAACATTGGAGTGGGTCTTAATAGCCACCATTGAGCTGCTCTACAGCCTGCAAGCACAAGCAGCATGTAATACTGAAAGCTGATTTATACCAAAGCTATCTAGCTCAGCGTTTCCTGCATTGCCTGGTAGCAGCCCTGCAGGGTTTTTCAGACAAGTGATTGTCTTACCAGATGATTCCAGGAATTCAGCCAGGATCTTCTGCATGTGGAGCAGGCGCTCAAGCACTTGAGCTATAGCCCTTTCCTAAAGTAGCTGGCTGGATCTCATTTATACCTTGCGATGTTACTGTGATGGCAGTTTGTTGACATCGGAGATAATTTTCTTGAACTTGGTGAACAGTATTTCAACACAGTTACCTGACAGGTACTTACTGGAGGGCTTATCCAACATAATCTCTTATCTTTAATCTTCTGCCTTGCAATTTTCCATGTTTTTGTATTGCCCCGTCTTCAGCTGGGGAGACTTGAGTAAGCAGAAAGGGATACTTTTGAAAAATAATAATTTATATTCTGTTGTGAGTTTCAGAAACCAATAACAAAAACCAAAGTCATAAAGAAAGTCAAGGTGGAGGGAGTAAGGAAAGAAAAATCAACAATTTTCATTACACAATATTAATTACAGTATATCAATTGTAATTAATGCAGATGAAATGTCTGCCTGCATGTATTATATATGGGTAGAAAGGTAAACTGTTATTGATATAAATAATTATATATAAGCTTTAATAAAGGTAAACAAAATCATTTGTCCATGGATAGATGGCGTCTAAATACCACCCATCTGAAAGTTGAAAGTGTCATTAAGTCCTTGATCCATGCATTATCAGGGCTGACCATTCTTCCATTGTTACAGAATCAGTCCTTTAGGTGTCAAAACAGCATGGAAAAGCCATTTATGTTGATCTTGTGTTAAGTTCCAAGAAACTTGTTAAACAGAATATGTACATCACTAGATAATAAAGAGGGATCCGGCACAAAATTTACCCATGTTATAACCTCCTTCCAAAAGGAGGCAACAATTGGACATTGCCCAAACATGAGTTAGCGAAGTCTTACCTATGTTATACCTCCAACAGTCAGCCAACTTAGCCACATCCTTATTGAAAAGATGTTGCTGTGTCCAAAATATATGGAGAAGTCCTTGCTGAATAGCATGTCACCTGAATGCCACTGACATTTCCAAGATGAATCCATTAGTCAAGACATCACACTCTGATTTGCTGTTCTTAAGACCCTTTATATCATATCTATTCACCACTAATAAGTATTTATGCACCTGGATTGTATGTCAGTATACCTGATCTTTAGCAAGGATTTCAAATATCAGAGGGGACTCTGGTGCATTGCCATTCAGCCATAGCTGGGAAGTCATATTTAGCATAGAGGATGAAAGATGGCAGAAAATTATCAGGAGCAGCATTTGTTCCAAAGTATAAATCATTTTATCTGTCCAGGTCAACCACAGGGATATTCTATTTCCTATTTTTAAATCTGGATTTCCCTGTAAAGTTAGTTTAGCTTAGGAAAATGAGTAAAACTGAAATTGATCTGGCATTTTGCCTCATATTTCTCTTGCTGCTGTAACTGGGGGAGGTATCCTATCTGCTTTAGTGTATTGAGAACCTAATGCAATTCATTTGGAAGGACACTCCAGAAATCCAAACTAACTGGTGAGAAAAAACTAATCTTGGAGAAAAAAGACAAAATGTAGCTAAAGTCACAGTGTAAACTAAGAACCAGACTAGTTCCATCCTCTTTCATTGAAAATTTCATTCTTTCCAATGATATTCCTAACAGAAGAAAGGAATCTTTTTATGAGGCATTGTGTTTTTTTGAAATACTGTCCAAGTATAAATAAAAGAATCTCACATAAAACATGTACAATTTGGGGTATAATGTTAATCTTATATGCATTTATCTTATTCACAAATTCAATCTCAAAGATGCCCATTTTTAAAAAATCTTGAGAAATTTCATTGTTCAAATTTAACTTAATTATTCCTGGGAATAAGTATTCCCAAATAGGTAATAAACTCAAGACAACATCAAAATTCCCAGGCAGCTAATGTATTGTTGGGGGCGGGCCAAGTATCTCCAGTAGAGATCAGTTCTGACTTTGACCAGTTAACTGAATAGCTAGCGAGGGAAAAAAACTAAGCAGAAGTATTAAGCAACTGCATCAAAACTAGGATGGGCACTGATGTTCCAAAATAATAAAGGATTGCCAGCACTGAGGATGGATTTGAGATGGTTATACACAACTCTGTGAATCCTACTACACTGTTTAATAATACACAGCAGAGGATTCCAAAGATAAGTCAAATATCAAAGGAAAAAGTGGAGATCCCTGTCTGGTACAGTGGTACCAAACGCCTCAGTTCACAACCAAATCGGATCGCGAACAAAAATTTCATTAAAAAATTGACTCAGGTCGTGGGCGACTGCAGTTGTGGCCACACAATCGTGCTGGGGGTGGTGGTGGGGGAGATGGCTGAGATCACGCCTGTCTTTCCTGCCCGGGCATGCCCGTGATTGCACCCATCTTTTCTGCAGGAGTGCAACCGTGATCTTGGCCACTCCCCCACAAGCACGATTGCACCCATCTCCTCCCCACGCTCCTGCATTCGCGCCCGTCTCTCCCCCCCCACGGGCCTGCATTTGCGCCCGTCTCCCCTCCCACGTGCCCACATTTGCCCCCGTCCCCCCCCCCCCCCCGACACGCATTCGCGCCTGTCTGTCCCCCCCCCCCGGCCCCAGTTCGCCGGGATGACGAGTGCATGCAGGGATGACAGGTGTGATCGCAGTCGTGCTGGGGGCTGGGCGGGGAGATGGCCGCAGATCTTTGTTGCTCTTTGTCACTTTGCTTCACATTTTTCTGATTTAAAAAAATAGTTACAGAACAGATTAACCTTATTTACATTGAACCTTATGGAGAAATTAAATTGGCTCACAACCAGAGTCCTGGAACAGATTAAGTTCATGAGCCAAGGTACCACTGTACTGCTCTTCAATGGAAAATAATAAGAAAGTCCATTAGTCATAACTCTGTTGGGAAAAAATAGATTTTTTGCAGTTTGGGTGTGGTCTGAAACTTCTAACAAGCACTAATTTGATATATCTAGTAGTTTAAGTAAAAGCAATTGTGGGGGACAAGTGAAACAGATGATGTGTTCCCATCCAAATGCAAAGTTCTCCAAAAGTCATTCAGACCTGATTCAATTGTGTGGACCTAAAGTATGAATTCATTCATTCATTCATCATGTTTATATCCCACCTTTTTTGCATTATGCAACTCAGGGTTGCTACATGCAGTTCCCAGGTGGTCTCCCCTCCAAGCTCAGGCAAGCCTCAGACCTGCTGAGCTTCAACATGGTGGATGGCTTATGTGCCTTCAGACCATACTCTGGACCTCATCTCAACTCAATTTGCCTCTCCTGAGTTGGAGTCTAACAAAGGTCTAGAATTCCGCCGAAATCCATACGCACAATCAAATCATTTTAAGCAATATCAATCATTTTGCTAAAACCTTCTCAAAAGGTCTGATCATTATTAGGCTCATAGACATTACTCACAGCAATTCTTTTGTTCTTTTATTTCCCAACCAAAATTAAAAAGTGATCATCTGGATTAATGATGATCTGCTGTACTGAAAACAGGAGCCATTGATGAATTAATATTGTGACCCCTTGAAATCGAGTGAGGTTGTTCATTATGTAAGGGAATGTTTTTGAAAATGGAAATGAGAAAGGAAGGAAAGCAAGTGTGATCAGAGAAGAAAAGGCAAGGAAAAACCTGGTAGAAGCCAGAAGGAGCCATTGTGCAGGGCATAATTGCTCCCTTTTTCTTCCCTAGCGAAATATTCCCAACTCTAATGTCTCCTTTTTCGTGGTTCAAAAGTCAAGCTAGCCATGTACCAAAAAATATATCACATCATCTGACCCTGTATTTTTCTTTTATCATAGGAGCCACGTCAGCCCCCAGTCTCATCTTCATCCTTCCAAGTGTCTTCTACATCCGCATTGTCCCCAACGAGAAAGAGCCTCTGCTATCTAGATCTAAAATACAGGTATTGAATGCTGGCTGGTAGGTGGAAAGGGGGTTCCACAGTGTGGGAGACCTGTGGGGAATCCAGGAGTGGTCCAGGGGAGACCCAGGACCAAATGCAATCAAGGTCAACCTCAGTCAGGAACAGGGTAGAATAAGCTGTAGCAGGCCAGGCCATGAAAAGAGCTGTAGATGGGTGCATTTCCTGAATCTCTGCCAATGTGGCTAAAAACACATTGACAGAACAAGCCGAGGTAAGGTGGCAAGAGACCTGCCTTGTTCACTTGTTTACCTGTGATGCTGCCAGGTCTGGTCCACAGAAAAACCTCAGTTGGTCTGCAAGACACCTGTGTCCTCTGGCACCCACAGGAGTACACCTTCCATTTCATGAGTCTGAGAACATCCTGATGAGGATGATAATAATCATAATATAAAAGTAATAATCTGCAAAGATCATGGCTGGTTTTGAGGACTGCCTATGGCTTTCTGAACTTAGTGTCTTCCTCAGACTTTTAAGGATAACTGCAAGGGGGTGGCAGAGTAGAGGAACGTTCTGTGTACAAATAGAATGAAGCAATGCTTGAGGAGAGAGGGTTGCTAGCAGGGACTCTGTAGAAAATAATGGAGAATTAAGGGGTTAGGTAGCGTTTTGGAAGTGAGTGGGAGAGGCTGCTGTTTTTCTCCTCATGGATACCACGCAATCACCCCCTTTCCCCATGGAAATAAGCAAGGTAATTTAAAGAGCACTGTGCCACATGATTCCTTCTTTCCCTTGCAGGCTGCCTGTTTCGCGGCCCTTGGCTTCATCTTCATGGTGATGAGTCTCAGCTTCATCATTGTAGACTGGGTCACGACGGGAAAGAGCAGCGGGGTGGGGCACTAACCCACTCCTTTGCCCCCAAGAGATGCAGTGGGGGTTCCAGCCAAGGAGGACCATTCATTGCCCCAAGAAGAGCATCACCTCTGCCTGTTTATCTCTACTCCACCTGGGGAGACACCACCATTCCCTGCCCAGCACTATGGGGAAGTATTAGACGGCACCATTTATTGCCATGGTATGCAAACTTACCCAAGACAGCTCTGCGGCTTCTCCTTGGTCCTTCTTGGCTCTGGGGCTATGCAACAGCTTTTCCCCCACAAAGAGGCTGCCTGTTGCCATGGTCAAACTCTACTCATTCTTCAGAATTGGTGCTATGACAACATAATTGACCGTTATGTACTTTCGGCTCCTATGGTAGCAGCCCAGGGCTCCTGGTCTTTTTTTTAAAAAAAACTATTATTTCCTCCTGGCAAAATGATACCATTGTGTGCTGGGGAGGGTTTTTTCATCCAGGACAAGGCTCTCAACAAGATGTATGGGGGGTGGGTTTTACTTTGGCCATTATGGAAATAATCCCTGGTTGGTTCTCCCCTCCCTCCTTCATTGTCCTGGTGCCTGACTGTCCAGGTGGCAGAGCTTGCAATCTAAGCTCTTAGTGATTAAGCGTGGGAGCTGGCCCTGCTCTTCCTGTTATAGTCAGAAGACAGGCCCAGCCTCCATCTATGTGTCTGTTCCCCTTACTGGTATCAAACGGGCAATGAGTTGAGCTGTTGAGGCTTGTACAATAGCCCCAGGATGGGGGGTGGCCAGCACAACAGTGCACACAGTGGACAATCTTAATTTATTTTCTAGTATTTAATCTGGGCCTGGCTACCAGACCAAAGACTGCAACATAACCATCCTAGTGCCAACACAATCCATGTTAGGATTCCACATTCCTTTGATGGAGGTGAGGTTTGGGGAGTTGAAAGAAGGGATTTTGGTTGAGCAGGCCAGAAGTCTGGACTCCTGGATTCTCTTCACAACTCTGAAGGGCTGGTGGGTGCGGCATGGTCATACAGGGTACAGCAGAAAGTTTCAAAAGGAGGGTTCTAGGTGGTGGGAGGGAGATGCAACCATCCCTTGGCGTGGTAGAGGGTCTTTGCTGTGTCCTGTCACACAGTGATGCTCAATTTTTCCTGAAGCCATCCAGGAAAGCTTAAAGCTTCTTACGCTGTGTTGGCACCTGCTGACTTCCCATTGGCACAACTCTCTGAGCTGCAGCAATCCACTTTCTAGATTCTGCAATGCTGCATCTGAATTGGAGCTTCTGCCATTTGCCCTTTTAAGAGCTCTGACCTGAGGCAGCGTATATGGTGCAGAGCATGTTTGAAAAGCTTCAGGTTGACATTAATGTACCGCAAACATCAAGAGGCTTGACTGAAGGACATTACCAGCAAATTAAAGAGGACTAATTATGTGGCAGATACTTTCCTATTTGCCATTTACTGTGGAATAGCCATGCTTTGTTCATTTACGCTTCATGAGGCATCTTCATCATAGCATCATCAAACCGTCGTCCTCCAGTGTTTTCCCCATGCACTTTTTTCGGCTTGCACAAAATCTGGCTGTTGGAAAAAGAACAGAACGATAGAGCTAATCCTCACAGTTATGGACTGCTTTAGCACTATTTTCCTATCTGCCTTCAGAGGCCTGGTTTTGATTGTTGCATCGTTGCTTATCAGTTTACAGCCCTAAAGCAGTGATATAGCCAAACGCAAACAGACAACAAAGTTCTTGGCTGTCGTTGCTCTAGACCAGTGGTGGCGAACCTATGGCACATGTGCCACAGCGGGCACACAGAGCCCTCTCTGTCGGCACGTAAGCCAAGTTGTCCCAGCATTGCCCCAGCAGCCGAGCATCAGATAACAGCGTATATAGGGGCCGTGCGCATGCTTGGAAAAGAGTAGTGGTGGCAGGCGATGACGTCACGATCCACAACTCATTAGCCGTGACTCATCCAAGCTTTCGCATAGCTGGTCAGCGTACTGCCAAGGATATGTTTATATTTGCTTGAACTGGCTGTGAGTTGTTTTCTCTAAACTAAAACTTCAGTTTTCAGGTTTTATTGCAGTGTTGGCACTTTGCCATAAATAAGTGGGTTTTGAGTTGCAGTTTGGACCCTCGGTCTCTAAAGGGTTCATCACCACTGCTCTAGACTCTGGAATCTTTCCCTCTTGCACCAGGATAGGCCCTTCAACTAGGCAGAGCAACTTGGCCTTCCCCAGATAAAGCCAATGCAGGCAACAATCTGTCTTTTATGTTACAGATACAGCAACAACATTCATTAGTATTATACACTCACCACCAGACTGGAGAGAAACGCTTTGAATTTTCGGTGTCAGGCACCAAAGCACCTTATACTGCTTTATGGGTGGGGTATTGAGCAGTGCCAGCTCCAGGTTTTGGAGGGCCTAGGGCGAGCCCTTTCCTTTGGTGAATCTGCCTTCTCATCACTGTGGTCACCAGCTGCTCCTGCCCCTGTTCCTCATCCACTTCCTCGTCACTACCACTTGCTTGCTTGACCGGTAGAGACTTGGTGGGCAAGGAGGCCGGGGCACCTCCTTTCTCTCCCACCACCACCACCGCTGTCTTAGGCCGGAACAAGCTGGCAACTGTGATGAAGGAGGGCACAACTCCAGGGGGCTTTTGTTGGCGGTTTAGGCCCTTTGCAGGTGTCCAGCCATGCCTGCTTGGATGCTGGTTCTTCTGTTGACTGATGAGATTAAAAGAAACAGTGGACTGGGAAAGGGGTTTTTGTCCTTCTCTGTCAAGAAAGTTTCTCTGCTGGTTTAGCAAAGGAGAACATGTCCACAGTGATTTTCCAGGGTTCATCAGTGCAGTGCCCATCTGCCTCTCCCTCTGCATTGTTCGTATTTCTGTCCTTTTCTCTCTTCCTACCGTCCCTGGCCTCATAGTTCGTCCCCACAGTATTACCATTACTTTAACCTACCACACACACTTCTGCAGATGCTAAATCTTCCTTGAACTGGTGTCATCGCCACTGGCTAAGCAAGCATATCTGTGTGTGGTTATTGCGAATGAATTACCAGTTGAGGTAGACAACTTCGTGCCCTCCAGATGTTTTGGACTTCAGTCTAATCACCCTTAATAACTGCCCATGCTGGCTGGGGCTTATGGAAATGGTAGTACTAAACCTGGAGGGCACCAGGGTTGCCCAGGGCATTGAAAGGGATCTTTAAAAAATCTAGTCCCTCCCCCTGCTAATGCAGAAGGTCTGCTGCTATTGGCTGGAAATCCATCCATGATAGGTGGTCACCTTTGGAGGCAGCCTGGCCGCTAGCAAAGGGCTTGCACTCTCAGGCAGTTCTTTGTAGTGATTTTGATCTCCTGCTTTGGGTCCTGACTTCTAGAGTGCCAAAAACAGGTTCAAATATTTGAAGATGGGTCTCATATCTCCTCCTTTGCAGCACAGAAATTGGGGTCAGCATATTCTGCTAAAGGCTGGTGGACTTGTTTGAAAATACTACATGACAGAAAATCACCTTTGTCCACCGTATCTCAAATATTAATCATCAAACATTGGTCCTTGCTGCCTTAAATTCATTAAGCTATATTCTTTTTTGCCTGTCTCATCTTCCAGAGAGCACTTAGCAGCACAGCATATTTTCTCTTTTAACTTTTTGTTTTATTAAGCAGAATGGAAGCTGAGATTCTTGGTGGCTTACTTAGAGTTGTGTGTTCTCAACAGATACTGTGACATAATGTGCATCGCAGCTTTGGATAATCTGGCCAAGCAGGGACGGGGTGTGCAGGGAACCTATTAGGAATGCATGAACAGGACACATATTGACCAAATTGCTATTTAATAATCCTTGTCTGACAGCACCATCCATGTCCATGGAGTATCGTAAGCAGAAAGCAGCCCCTGGCCCAAGGACTTTACAAAACACTAAATGAGATTTGAAGTGGCTAACCTCTCAACATTAGGGTCCCCGTGTCAACAGGAACGTTGAACTTCTCAGATTCCAGTGCTGCAGGGATTTGAACAGTTGTGCCTGCTGAAATTTTCTATATAATGTTATAGCCTTAATGCTGAAAAGCTTGCCACCCTCAGATTAATCCTAGGCATGTCTATTTTGATGTAAGTTCCATTCGCTTCAGTGGGACCTGCAGTCTAAATTTTCAGAGCTCTCAGACCCAGCAACAATCTTGTAGAATGAGGGTCTCTGGTGATAATGCTTCTAAGTCAAAATCATTGCAAACCTTGTCATAGGAATTAATCAAGAAGAAAATTCAGCATATATTTTCTTCTTTGGGACAGCTTTGGGTACATGGGTGCTTAACCTAAGAGTTCTCTTCTGATCATACTTCCAGTTTGTACTGTGGTTTTCTATGCATATAGGTTGCTTCTACCTACCTAATTTATTTGTAATATTGTAACTTCTGGATATAGACTGCTTTGGTGGGCACAATTTGAATTTCTTGCTTTGGTACCAAATCTCCTAGTGCCATGTTTACTAGTATGTATACTGAGCTTTGAAGTGGGAGTGAACTGTATTCCAAGCCTCCCCTGAAACTGCTGGTAGTTTTGCTTCTTGCTCTTTAACTTACTTTGAGAACTGTAATCCACCTGATTTCAGCTGACATGCATTGGGCGGTTTGTCCTACATCTCCTCAAAACTCATGCCATTGCTACATCTGAGCGTAAGCATTAGCCACACTTTCTCCACTGCCTTATTCATCAGTTGCAGCTGTCTGTCACCTCCTGGGGCTCACAGTCACATCTTTCTGAGCCCACTGCAAGGCCAGATGCAAAAGATGATAGGACTTTGTGTAGCAGAGAACATCTTCCTCAACAGGACTATTAAAGATACTGCCCTCCTCAGAATCTTAATTAGCTTAGCCATCCATTTTGAAATAACCAGACACTAAGCATTCTGCATTTACTCAGCTGCTGGAACCTGACTTCCTCCTGGCTCAGCTGGGCTAGGACTGAAATTGTACCAGGAGGCAGAGTTAGGCCTCCTGGCTGAAAGCGTTGACCATGGAATCAGTGGCCACGATGGAGGCTCCCTCCCATTCTGCAATAGCCACAACTGTCCACTCAGCTCCATATTTTTATGTCTTTTCTCAATCTAGTATGTCTAGCTCATGAAAACATGTATTTCCCGTATGTGCCTTGATATTCTCTCTTTCTGTCCTTTTTGCCTTTGAAAACCTCAAGATGGTTTTTCATATAGTCTCAAGGGCTCTGATTCTGCTTTGGGGTAGGGAAAGAGTTCATATTTAAGGGAGGAGGGAACACAGATTCAAAATGTGAAACTGATGTAAGGACACAGTATTTGTATAATTTTGGAATTCAATAAATAACAGTTCTTCAGTAAAAGCAGCCTTATGTTTTTATTTTGTTTTTAGGGGTTACAGTGCGGTATAGACTTACAAAATGGTTTACAAGATTTAGACATGACAAAGATTTAGACATGTATATGAAACATTTGGCCATTTATGCATCGATACATACATTCACTGAAAAATCTATTGTAAAAAAGGAAAAAAAGTGTGGGGAAAATCCATTGTTTCTTTGGCTTCCCTTAATTTATATTTTAAAAAATGACAAGTGTGCAATGCTTTTGTTAGGGTTCCTTTGTCCATGGGTTTTGCTCTCTGCTCTGCATGTCAGTCAGCATCCCTTCCAGGCTGAAGGCACACCTGTTTTGGTCCCACTTGTTTGCATTTTTTTTAACCACAGAATGCTCCAGTCTCAGCTACATTAAAATCTTGGATTCATCCCTCCATTTCTGTGGGCTGCTCCATTCCATCTATGGGAGCATCTTAAAATGGCTTTTCTTCCTCCCTTTTCATTCACTCCATTTTATTCCCCCTTCATCCTCACTGTCATCCCACTAATTGTCACTCAACATTTTGTTTTACAGAGTTATTACAAGACTGTCTGGGATTTTACCCATACCTTAGGGGATTTTGTTTCGTTGTTTTTCCTACCTGCAAACTTCCTTTTCCCTTGTAAGGCAAATGTGGGGAGTGTGAGGGGATGCATTTTCTGAGGAACAATCAGTGACCAAGGGTTGCTTTACGTTTTTCCATCTGTACTAATTTTTCCTTAACATGGCTTCCCCAGACAGGCTCCTAAATGACAGGTGAAACTTACTGAAGGGAAGCGGACCTGCAGAACTGGCAAATGAGAGTAGTTAAGCATCTTCCCCACAAAATGACCCTCTGCCTCCATATTTATCTTACTTTCAAAAACATGAGAGTTAAGGGACAACAGATCCACGAGTACAACTAACACTCAATATTTAAAATGTTTGTTCACATACTGGAGCGCTTCTGTATTTTCAGGGTTGAGAAATTTACCAGCATACACCTGTGCCAGTTTCTGCCTCAATCCTCAGTCCTCCATCCAGGGTGTCTTTCTGCATGAAGGAAGTAACTCAGTGATTGAGAAACAGAGAGGCAAACAACCAAGCCATGAAGCCTGTCTGAAGGAATGTGGAGAAGAGAAAAAGATAATCAGCTTGAAAGAAAGTTTGCTACTTCCTATCTCATCCTCCCAGTAGTTTTATGAGATGGGGTTGTAGGGTAAGGTGAAGTTAGAGAGGGGTGAAATAGTAAACTTGTAGTTATAAGCATGCAGGCGTAATAGGTTGATGAATATTAACTCACACACCTTGAATAGACAATAGGCTAATTATAATGCACATGTGATGTATGTAGATGTATGTAGTGGGATGAGATGGGAGATATGAAGTAGGCAGACTGTAACCTCCTAGTACCTTACCCAGTGAGGGAAAAGGGGAGGACTGTGGCAGCTGGGCTGAGGGGTAAAAGAAGCTGTTTTGTGTGTTTGTACTTTGGAGAGATTCTGATAGAGTGGGCTCTCCCCGTCTATTGCAATAAATGAAGGAATCACCTCACTCTGTTGGTAGTCTTGGTTATTTAACTTGAGAAGTATTTTCACAGCTTTTTGCATAACATGCAGAAAGTGGATAATTAGACATAGAACCTGGGACCTGGTGCACCTATCATAGAATCATAGAAAAGTTGGGTCAGAAGGGGTCAAAAAGGCCATCAAGGTCAATCCCCTGCTGGTGAAGGATGCCAGTTACACCATGCCACCCAGATAGCTGCCTTATTTGCTTCTTGAATATCTATTTGCTTCTTGAATGAGTGTGGAAGAACATGGCAATCCTGACAAGCGCTACCTCTACCCCCCCCCCCCCGCCATTTCACTGTAGTGAAGAAGGTACATTTGAAAGCCTGCTACCAGACTCTGCCAGAAGAAACCTCCATGTTGGCAGAGCAAAGTTTTGGTCTTCTACATAGCCAGAAGGGACTTTTCAAAACAGATTTTCACTTATTGTCATGCTCTTTTTCCTACCGCTCAGTTTTGGAGGGTTTCTCGCATGAAACATTCCAAAATAGATTGAAGAAAAGCAAACCAGTAATGTTTATTAAGAATATGGCACACAAGGCTGTTGACATATTATACGTGTAAGGCAGAACACTCTGCAACTGTGCAGCACACAATTAGTACTAAGCTTTTATAGTTTACCTCATCCTCTGACAACTTTCTCAGAGGCCCCCTCCCTTCCCAAGGCTGGGTATTGTCCTCCCTCCATTCAACCCCTTCCAAGGATAACCCTTTCAAGATGTAGCTCAAACACTCATCCTTGGCCTTGTTCCTTCTTGTTCTCTCTTATCTAGGAGCAGCTCTCCTAGAGCTACATACAAGCAAGTTTTCTCTTTAACCCTGTATTTGTAAGAACAAAGAAAGCATCATCTTCATCAACAAGAGTAAACGCTAATAGTGGGCTCAGAATAAAATGTCCTTATTGAATGTATCGAGAGGTCGTTGAGGCCCCATCGGTGCGGGTGTTCAAGGATAGGCTGGATGTCCACATGGTGGGCATGTCATGAGCGGAGCCGGCTGGTGCTGGAGGTCTGACTAGATGGCCCGGGAAGCCCCTTCTGACTCGCTCTGTTTTCTATGTTTTCTATGTTTCTATGTATTTATGGCAAAAAAATCTGTGTATATTTCAAAAAACAGGGAATTTATTTTTTGCATTCAGAATTTGGACAAAATTATTAATTTTTCACAGAAGAGTCTTGTGTTGGCCTCCCTCCATTTTAGGATGGCCAGTTATACATTGTCAAAAACCAAATAGCATAAAGAGCACACAGTGTTGCACCAATATTAGATACACCAAAGCACTGCCCAGTGGATTAAGGCATGGTTGACTGACCGAAAGCAGAGGGTAACCATTAGTGGGGAATCATAGGGATGGTGGCCAGTGACAAGTGGGGTCCCCCAGGGCTCTGTCCTGGGGCCGATCCTGTTTAATCTTTTCATAAATGACATGGAAGAAGGGGTGAACAGTCCGCTGATCAAATTCGCAGACGATACTAAAACTGGAGCAGGGGCCACAACTGAGGAGCAGGTACTCCAGAGCCAAAAGGATCAGGACAGACTATGGAAGTGGGCAGAAGACAACAGGATGGCGTTCAATGTGGATAAGTGCAAGGTCTTGCACTTGGGGCATAGGAATAGGTGTCATAAGTACAGGTTAGGGGACAGGTGCCTGGAGAGCAGCACTTGTGAAAGCGACCTCGGGGTACTGGCTGACTGCAAGCTAAACATGAGTCAGCAGTGTGATGCGGTGGTCAAGAGGGCGAACGCCACCCTTGGTTGCATAGCCAGAAGTGTGGCTTCTAGATTGAGAGAGGTATTACTACCCCTCTATACGACTCTGGTGCACCCACAACTGGAGTATTGTGCTCAGTTTTGGACCCCTCATTATAGAAAGGATATAGCCAGGTTAGAGTCAGTGCAGCGTAGGGCCACAAGGTTGGTGGCCGGTTTGCAGGGGATGGGGTATGAGGCAAGACTGAGGGAACTGGGTCTCTTCAGCCTGGAGAAGAGGAGACTCAGAGGGGATATGTTGGCGACATACAGGTATGTGAGGGGATGTCACACGGAGGTGGGTAGAGGCCTGTTCTCCCCTGCAGAGGAAGGCAGGACGCGCTCCAACGGAGCAAAGCTCAGGGAGCCAAGGTTCCATTTGGATGCCAGGAAGCACTTCCTGACAGTCAGGACCCTGAGGGTGTGGAATGGGCTTCCACAAGAGGTGGTTGAGGCCCCATCGGTGAGGGTGTTCAAAGATAGGCTGGACATGCACATGGTGGGCATGTTGTGAGCAGAGCTGGCTGGAGCTGGGGGTCAGACTAGATGGCCCGGGAGACCCCTTCTGACTCACTCTGTTTCTATGTTCTATGTTTCTAGTTATGCTAATTCATATGTATGGAAGCAAATTTGGAAATAATATATTTTATATAAAATAAAAATACATTTCCCCATAGTGTGGAAGATGGCACACACGTGCTAACTTTTGATGAGCAATTTCAAGGTCCCCCCTTTCTCATAGGTCTTTATCTTTACACTGGATTTCTGTAGCCCTTTAAATAGAGGACTGTCCTCTATAAAGTAGGTCATTCAGCCATTCTAATGAATTCATCTTAATCCACACTTGGTATCTGTTTGCCCATCAGTCTTTCTCGAAACTGGATGGGGTTTGGACTTTTTCAGAAGTCAGGGAACCCAACTAGCTCTCTACTGTATGACCCTGTGGTTTTGAGCTTCCTGTTTAAAAAAAAGAGAGAAATGCTTGCAACACGGAAGTTAGTTCTGGGTGAAGCTGTGGGGTGGAGAGGGCCGATATGAGCCGAAGGTCCAAGCCAGCAGTTCGAGGGCAGCAGCAGAACACACCGTCCTCCCTCCTTGAGGACAATGAGAACCAGCAAGTGTTCGAACTCTTGGGCAGAAAATGCACGGTAATTCTGTTATTCTTGTGGGGAGTGAAGGCCATTAGAACCCAGGGCTTTCCTTGAGTTGGACGGACTTCACTGCTGGGATAACAGGTAGTTGTGGGCTGGGGTTTCACTGCAAGTTCGGAGAACCCAGGTGACATGAGGAAGAAGGTGATATGGGGGTGCAAGAGCAGGCGAGGGGCTTAGACCAGTCCTATTTTGGAGCCTGATTTCTACTGTGCGGTTTGGAGGATAAATGAGAAATTGAGATGACAACCAAGGGGTAGTATCTCAGATGCTGGAAGAGCTTGGAGAGTTGGAGCTTGGCCTGAGGATGCAGACCAAGACTAGGCAGCAGTTCAAGTCACCATCTTTCCCCAAAGCAACTCCCTGCTCATTTATCTTTTGAAAGTGTCCATCTGTCTAAATGATTGCATACAGAGATGGACCATTGTCTAGTTTTGAAATGAGAAAATGCTGATCAGGTCAATTTTTTAAAAAACAACAACAAGCGGGAACTCTCCTGGCTCAGACATGGGCCAAAGCTCCCCCACCCCGCCCCAGTATTTTTAATCATACTCCATCTTCTGCGTAGAAAAAATGAGAGGCATCTAAACCTGAAACAACTTGATGCCTTGCGGTGGCCAACTATGGTGCAGCTCACAGCTTCTGTATACTGTACTTGCTCCAGGAAATGGGGACAGAAAACCACTTCCTGAAAAGGCCCAGTGAAATGGCTGTGACAGCAATGATATGCACCCAGCCCTGTTGGGGGGGGGGCGTCGAGGGCGCAAGCCAGAACCACCCCCAGGCAATGCTTCAGACAGGCCCTTTTTTGCTGGCTCCAAAAGCCCAGGCCAGAACTGGAGGGGAGTCTCCTTTGTTACAAAACAGGTGTGGGGTCTGGACGTTGCTTAACAGCATCAAATTCCATATTTGAGGAATGCCACATCAGACTGTTTACAGGAGAAAGTAGTTCAGCTGTAGTTATTTCTCCCCAGGTATCATCAGGAGCTGCAGTTTTGTGAGAGTGTTAGCCTATATATGTATTTGTTTCTTTTATTACTATTTCAGTTCCGGCCATTTTTGCAGTGAGAGCTTCCTCCAAAGCTACTAAGGGCATACAGCCACTCACTTACTGGCTTCCTTGGTACTGTTGGTTTATATTCGTAATGTAGATAAGCATTTATCGTACTTTAAACCAGGGTTTCTTAATTCCAGAATATTCCAAATATCAATTGATTTCAAAATGTCCTATCAAACATAATGGCTTGGATTCTAAGGTAATTTCAATTATGGCATTATCTTATATGTGTCTACTCAGACTTAAATCATACTGAAACTAGTGGGACTTAATCCCTAGTAGAGCCAGTGTGGTCTAGCGGTTAACAGTACGGGACCACGACTCAAGAGATCTGGGTTCAAGTCCCCACGCAGCCATGGAACTCACTGTGTGATGTTGGGCCAGTTACAGACTGGATTAGATTAAGGATTAGATTACGAGGAGGAGGAGGAGGATTATGCAAACCACCTTGAGTTCCTTAGAAGGATATCAATATAATATAATATAATATAATATAATATAATATAATATAAATAAATAAGTGGTAACTGGGTATAGGATTGCATTTTTAAGGAAGTAATGTTTCCAATCTTGTCCATCCCCTTGTGGCCTCCTGTGCCCCAAAAAGCCACTTGAATTTTTTTTTTGCGGGGGGGGAGGTCCTGAACAATAAACAAACAATCTGGAATGGGAAGCAGGGGAATAAATCAAAAACTGACATTTTTCGGGTGAGGGGGTTCCTCCTCCATACATTGTTCATGCGGGCTCCCCCACCTCCAATAAGATTTTTCAGGTGCAGGAGGCTGCTGTGGGGAGGAGGAGACAGCAAACTTGCCTTCCATGAACTTCCTTACATTAATTTATCTTTGTATCCAAGACAAAGTATTTCCCGGCTGTGTATTTTCCACAGCTGTGGAGAATCTGCTCATTTGTGGTGATGCTTTAGCTTCCACAGACATTACATTGCAGCAATCAGAATACATTTTTGGATGTCTGTTGCTTTAGCTGCATATGTGTTTCCATTTGCCCTTCCTTTGCAATTGCACCTTCATTTACAAATTTTAAAAATCCCCAAACTCCACAGTGGGGGAAGAGAAGTCAAAGACAAGACAGAAGGAGAGTTTTTCTCTTCCATGACAATACAAATGGGTCTGACTGCACAGTATTGCAGGTTTTGGGGTGCACAGATACTATCATAATGTTTTATAGAGAAAACAGTGCCCAAGCATAAGGGGACCCAATTTCTAAATATTAACCATAAATTTAAAATAAGTCAGGCTGCCTATGTGGCAACCAGGCTATACATGAAGTGGGAATGGCCAAAACATGTCCCATGGAGTCCTAGTTAATAATTTGATTTGTATTCAGCTGGATTGTCAATACTTTTTTAAAAAATCTTTCTTTAATGTTGGTTAATTAAAGGTGCAAACCTAGGCATGTTTAGACAGCTAGCTGTTGAACTCCCAGCATTCCCCGGCCAGCCATACTGAGTTCTGTTGGACTTTTTTTCTGTTTAAACTTGCCCAGAATTACCTGAAAACAAGAAAGGACACATATAGGAAGGGGAAGGGAGGGCAGGCTATGAAGGAAGAGTACAAGCTTGTAGAATGGAATTGCAGGGATAATAGTAGGAAGGGTAAAGCTGAGAACAAGCTGAGGTTAGCATGGGGTGCTCAAAGCAACAAAAAGCCTTCTTTAATTATGTCAAAGTAAAAGAAAAAGGGGAAAATGGTGATTCAACTACTCAGTGGGGGTGGCAAAATGCTAACAGATACCAAAGAAAAGACAGAAGTGCTTAATTTCTACTTTGGCTCAGTCTTTTCCTAAAAGAGAGTCTAGACCTCCATTGCAAAGGGGATGCACAAGGTGAACAGGCAGGATTGCAACCTGAGATTGGTAGCCAAATGCTGAAGGAACATTTTGTTACTTTGATCAAGTTCACGTCTCCAGGGTCTGATGGACTGCATCCTAGCATAATCAAGGAACTGATAGGAGAACTCCTGGAACCACTACCTGTTATCTTTGAGAAATCATGGAGGACAAGGGAAGTGACTGGAGGAGGGCTAATGTTGCCCCTATCTTTAAAAAGGGCAAAAAGGAGAATCCTAGGAATTAAAGACCCATTAGTCTGACATCGATCCCTGGGAAAATTCTGCAGCAGATTATATAATCATCATCATCATCATCATCATCATCATCATCATCATCATCTATATAGAGCCTTTACCAGAGATTGGGAATTATAAAGCAGTCAGTCTTCAAACACCTTGAAAACAATGCAGTCAAGAACAAATCCTGCGAGACTAATCTGCCCTCCTTCTTTGATTGGGTAGACCTCCCTGTAGATGGGGGAATCCAGTGCACATAATATATCTTGACTTCAACAAAGCTTTTGACAAAGTGCCCCATGATATCCTGATTAGCAAACTAGCTAAAAGTAGTTTTCAGTTTGTGTAAGTTGTTTTTGTTATGTGCGCTCAAGTTATCTTCAAAATATGGTGACCCTTTCATTCCGCTTCTTACTTTGCGATTTCCAGTCTGCCTTGGTTCATGCTTCTCACATTCCAGGTCTCAGTTGTATGTGTTGCATAACATTGGACTTTCATGTTGGATTCTGTGCATGTTGGCTGCTAGACTTCCTTTTGAGTTTGATCTAATAGCTGGAATATTTCCTTTGCCTTTCCTCAGTAGCTCATAAAGTGCCTTCCAACTTGGGGGGTGGGGGCCCCATCTTCCTCCTCCTGTGCAGTGCTAATCAGAGTTAGCTTGAGTAGCTCTCCCACTGGCTGCAAAGGAGCCTCTGCACCTTCTACTGCTGCCAAGTAGCTTCCTTTCAAAAGTTCCTCTGTCCCCATCACCATTAATGAGAGCCACTCTCTTTTTGCTGCTGTGACTGTTACTCCCAAGGTAGTCTGGTGTCTCAGCCTAGACCATTCCACCTTGGGTGACCCTACCAGGAGACCAGCCTAGTGAGACCATTCTTCCCCCTGATGGCATTGCTCTTGGCTTCTCTGACACTCTTAAACCCACCCACCACATTAAGGTGTGCATCCAAGAGGGGGTTGTATAATTAGCTATGTTAAAACAACTAACAATTTTTAAAATGTGCCTCATTAATCAATTTCCAGAAATGCCTTTTTAAATGTATTATTGTATTAATTTGAAAGTTGCAGCCTCAGAACTGAATAATCTTTCTGTGTGCATACCTCTTTGTTACATTTTGGTATCAGAGAATAGCTGAAGCTTTCCAGGCTGCTCACAAATAATACCATAAAATACAGTGTAAGAGAATATACAAGTTGAAGCTACTATATAAAAGAACAATGTAATAAAACCCAAAATTAAACCTAGCAGGCATGCAAAGATTTAAAACATGATCAAATATTTAAAATAACAGAGACTAAAATGTCTAGGAAAATAGAAAGATCTTCATCAGGTTTCAGAAAGAGCGCAAGGTAGGTGCCAGGTGAACCTCTTTGGAAAGTTCATTCTGCAGCTGTGGTACCACAAGCTGATAGCTCTGCCCAACTTCCTTTGGCTGGAGCTCCTGGAGAAGGGCCACTGAGCATGATCTCCAGGACAGGGCAGGGATGTATTGGAGGAATGGATCTGCCAGGTTTTTGAATCTTCACACCAGGACTTTGAATCCAGCCCCAAGATGGACAGGCAGCCGGAGTAGGTGGACACGTACTGGCATATGATCACATTGGCCAGCATACATGATCCATCATAATGACCCTTCAGCATCTGCATATTCGACATCTATCTGAAACTGCTGGGGGAGATTATCCAGAGGTGCAAATCAATGGGCCACCGATAGGAATGTGACAACCAGCTCTGTCTTTCCTCCTCATCAACACCGGGTGAGGCAGTGGCCACTCTGAATCAGTCCCTGGGCATGGATATGCACTGGAGGATGGACAATAAACTGAGCCTTGATCATGCTCGGAGAGGGGTGGTGGTGGCCATGATTGTGCTCAGGGGGGAAATGGCTGCGATCGCACCTGTATATGGCCCCAATCGCGGTCGCGCTCATGCAGGGAACACGGGTGTGATCGGCTCGTGCTGTGGGGGGGGGGTGGTGGTGAGGGAGATGGCTGTGATCTTTGTTGTTCTTTGTCATTTTGCTTCAAATTTTTGTGATTTAAAAAAAAAAAGTTACAGAACAGATTAACCTTATTTACATTGAACCTTATGGAGAAATTTGACTTGGCTCACAACCAATTTGGCTTATGACCAGAGTCATGGAACGGATTAAGTTCGTGACCCAAGGTATCACTCTATAATTGATAATACAAGAATTGCAAGGGTCTCCTCCCTCCTAAAAGAAGCACTCCTGTTCCACCCAGACATATTCCCCAAGTAGAACATTCTGCTCTCTTTCCTCCCCAAGTAACTGGAATTTTTGCTCCCCAGAACTGTTATTTTACATTGGGTGATTTCAGCATATACTCAGAATTTGTTGGGCTTTCCCCTGTCCACTTCTCTCTCTTTTTTAAAAACTTCTACTCCTGTACTTCTCTTTTTAGACAAGCTCTTAGGGCTTCCCCCAAGCATGTGGATACTTCCCTCTTGTTTCTCAGTGGCCCCATTTTGGCTGCAGTTGGGGTAGTACTCACCACTCAAATCTGCTTTTAGAAGGCTCACCCTTGGGCAGAGTGAGGTCACTCAGATACTGGGGGCAGCAGCAGTGCCCCCTTGTGTTTTTCTAGGCATTGTGACCATTCTCCCTCTTGTAAGACACAGCTGTGTGTGCTGCAGGACCTCTCCTGCACCCCACTAAATCAGCTTGCTGCTCTGGTTGATGACTCTCTCTCATTTACATGGTTACAATCAGCCACAATTGGGATTTTGATCAGCTTCTGTACATAGCACGGAATGGGGGAGGAGGCACCATTTTGTCTTTTGCCTCAGGCAGCAAAACATCTTGGGCCTGCCTTGTGAAATCAAGTGATATATAATATATGAAAATAATTAAAAAATGAGTGAAGAAACAATAATTCTTAACCATTTCCCTTCATCTTGTGAAAATATATGCACTTTGCCTTTTGCAAAGTTGAAAATTAAGGCACAATAATATGCATATTGGAACAAAAAATCCTGTTGAAGGACTTTGTTCTATCTAAACATATATAGGTTGTACCTTTAGATAGCTAGGTGTTCTTCAAGGGGACAGTCAGATATAGAAGAGGACAAGAAGGAGGTTGAATTTTGGCAGGTGCATCTTCCTTCACCATTACAGGACAAGTTTATACTTGCCAAGTATCAGCTATACCACAAGTAGGATGTATGCTGCTCAACATCCCAGGATTTCCAATCATTTTATATAAAAACACACACATTAACATATAAATCCTGATATAAAAAGGGTACAAAACAATAAATATCATTGAAATATTGTAATAAAACTAGTAAAACAGAGCAGTTTCTTAATCACAAAAGCCCAGTGCACACATGCAAAAGTGGAGGATTAAGATGAGGGGAATCCCAGGGGCTAGTGCAATGCTTCGGCCCAAATCATGGGCTGGTCCCTTGCCCAGTGCATCCATGGCCCAGCTAGATCATTAACCTGTCGCTTGTTCTTTCCTGCTAGGCCATGGTCACGACGGTAGCCCAGCTCTTCCTGGCTTTGCCTCAGGGCAGCAGAAGTTGGTCCAAGCAGGGCTGCGGGGTCCTGTGCTTCGTGAAGGATAACCCGAAGCGTTCGTACTTCATCCGCTTCTATAATCTTAAGGTACCAAGTCCTGTCTCTGTCATAACACACACATGCACACATTCCTGCTTTCCACTTTTGCTCACAGCCATTATGGCCCTGTAGCTCATTCACTAGCATGAACTTGTGTCACCACTGGATAATTGTCCCGCCTTGCACAGGGAACTAAGAACTGACTCACAGCAGCACCAAAGAGCATGGAGACTGCTCACCATGATTTAAACCAAAGTATCTTGCATGGTAGGGATTTCTAGGAATAGATTGAAACAGTTTGGAAGGCAGTAACAAAAATTGGGAGTTTTGTGGGATTTTTGGCCTTTCGTGCCCAAGTAAATTGGCTAGCCTTGGTTACCGTGCACCTTGACAGAGAGGGGCACCACCTCTTGCTGCTTCACCTCGGGCAGAAAAACATTTTGGTCCAGCCCTTTGTCTGCCCTATTTACATGTCAGGGCTGTATGTGTGCATCTTTTTATCAAACTATGCATATGGATAGGGGGAGTTGAATTCTTCCATCATGGTGCTCTATCAGTTCAAACACCTCTCCCCAGTGTTTTCAGTACTGCTATCAGAACTGGACTGAAGAAAAATGTCTGTGCAGGCCAAGGATGGGGCACTGAAGCAGGAGAGAGGATGGCTCAGTCATCTCCCCTCATCCTTGTTACCATTTGTGGCAAAGCATCACACATGTATCAGTTTTAGAGCCAATGTGTCTGCCCCCCCCCCATGCACAGTTTGGTCCTGAGAATCAGGCCATGGTGCAAATCCTGACTCTAATCCCTCACACCTTTAGCATTTATATCTGGAATTAAAAGTATGTAGACATGGGGGCATGTAGAAAGACAAATGGTTAATTCATGGGTGCCTCTCCTTACCCATTTCTTCATTACAGAATAGCAAAATGATCTGGGAACAGGAATTGTACACCCAGCTAGTCTACACTTCCGCCACCTCCTATTTCCACACCTTTCCAGGAGATGTGAGTAATCAGGGGTGGAGTGGGGAGGGATGCTTATGTGCATGTGTACAATGGGCCGAGCAGTTAAGGGCTCTGTGAGGCCTCGGAGTTATATTACGTTGCAGCTGATGTGAGGAATGACCATGGCTGCTTATCGCAGGAGCGCTGTGCTCAACTTTGGTTGCTTGCAGGAGTGCAATGTGGGGCTGAACTTCACTGACCAGAAAGAGGCGTGTGACTTTCAGCAAATGGTGGAAGAGAAGATTCAGAAGAGGAACCAAAGGATGGGTAGGTGGGACTGGGCTTCCAAGCAAGTTCTCGCTGAAAGGGGGGTGCTTCTCTCCTTGGAAGTGCAGACCTGTCCTTGTTCAGAGCATGATAGCAATGTATGAACAGTCCAAGGTCAGTTACTGGATGGTCATAGATCAAGAGCCAAGATAAGTGAAGAAGAATTTACCATGAGGGGATCACGATTAGCACCATAAATCTGTCATTGAAAGGAATGAGCAGCAGTGCAGCCAGTAAGCAGAACACCAAGGTTTTCAGAGCAGGCCTGTCACAATCAGAGAGTCTGGCATGTCGTTTTCACAGCTTCAGTTCTCCTACAAAGCAAACTTGTTATGCTGGCTGGCTGAGCTGCTCCGTACCTTACAGCCTTGCTCCTGAGTAGGGCTCTTTAATCTCTTGGGGGCTTAGCTTGCAGTTCTCCTTCGAACTGCAAGGACTGCAAACTCTTCCGCTCTGGGAGCAAAATGTCAGGATGGCCCCAGTTCATGGCTGGCTGTGTGCTGAACTTTCCCAGGGGAGGAAGGGCTGTGAACCAAAGGCAGGACCTCGTGGCCCAGAAGCAAGTTTCCCTCCTTCCCAGAAGAGCAGGCCTCCAAGGGAGACCTGACAAAACCCTCAGCAAAACTGTTCTGCCTTCCTCAATATGATGCTTCTGGGAAGCAGAGCTCCGCTTTGGGTTTACAAAGGATACATTGCAAACAATGTGCATGTACAGCAGAAAAACGGGCTGCTTTTTCTGAAGTGGAGCAGCTTTAAGGAATGCCATTTTTGGAACAAGGAGATCGGTAGCTGGTAGTTGTTAGGAGTACATGTAACCCTCTGCTGGCCACTTTTCCAAGTAGACCCCCTCACAGTTCTGCTTATGGGGTTACAATCAATTTTTTAAAAAATACAGTAAGGAAAGAAATGAGAACATAATTTGCACTTCATCTGCTTCAAGTATGAACACAGAATATGCTTCAGATCCCAAAACTATCGTTGGCCTCTAAAAATATAAGAATCCCTGGTTTAAGCTAATTGGGTAAAGGGTTTTGCTAATTTAGCTAAAAGGTTTTATATGAGAGAGAACCATTCTTCAGGGCTCTGGTTCTCCCTTGTGGCCTGTTCCTAGACCATAGTTTTGGACTTGCTGCTGCCTCAGGCTTTCGAAGGGGGAGAAGGTCTTCATCAGTTTGCAGCAAGGATGGCGGCTTATTGCTAGCATTCCACTGAAATGGTGCCCCCTAGTGCTCGAGGAACGAATCCCACGATTCGGATTCGGCTTTCAACCTTTGGGTCTCAGAGTACTCGCTGCATTTTAGAGCTGCATTTTATCATCACTTCCAGAAGCTGGAACCTCCAGAAGTGTTGGGTTGATCTGCAACTCTCATCAATCCCAGCCAGCATGCTGGATGGGGATGGTGGGGCTTGGAGTCCAGCCCCTCTAGAGGGCACCCTGGCAGGAAAGGCTGATCTGCACAGCAGGCTCAGCCATGAAACTGTGCATTGAGGCTGCTGTGTGCAGAATCAAGTGCAGGTTTTGTACAATGATACAAGCATGGCCAGGTTTTAAGATTTGACCTCAAGTTTCAGAAGTTAATAATTCTACATAGGAGCTCGGTTAGGAGAAGTCTGAACTCACTTTAAAACAGGAATAGGTAGAAGGCAGATCTCTAGCTGTTTTAGACTTCACTTCCCAGAAGCCCTTGCTGTAATGACCTTTTATATTTTATATTTTTATTTATTTTATATTGTTAATTTTAATTTTATATTGTTATTTTTGTATTTTATTGTATTTTATTGTGTTTGTAAGCCGCCCCGAGGCTTCGGCAAGGGGCAGCATAGAAATGTTCTAATAACAACAACAACAACAGTGGGAGTTGAAATCTAAAACATCTGGAGATCTATCTTCTGCCTACCGCTGTTTTAAAGCTTGCACATATGCACACACTCCATCAAATATCTACTTCCTTCTGACACTGGCTCTGCCCTTGGCCTATAGCTCAGCTTCATGAGTATCTCTGGAGTACCTCCACAGATGTGCACAATAAATAAACTCCATCCTCAGTTTTGCACAATTGCAGCATCATGAATACAAGCAGGGCAGGCTGGTGGCCCCAGTGTCTGGGCAACAATGACTCCTCTCCAGGTTGTAGTCTGAACTTTTACAGAGCTATCCTTAGTACTGAACCCAGTTTGGGGTTTCAGGACCATGGACCAGAACTCCTTTACATTTCAGAGTGCCAATGAGAATGGATACACTGCCTTAGTGACATTGCAGCCACCAGCCACTGCTGTGTATACAAGCCCTCTTAGAGAGAGGACTGTAACTTGGAGGCAGAGCAGACAATTTGCATGGCAAAAGCTCCAGGTTTAATGGCTGGTAGAGCTGGGAATGACTGCTCTCTAAAAGGATGCCAAGCTACTACTGCCAGTCCAGAGCTAGTTGAACCAAGGTCCTGACACTGCTTAGAGCAAGTCTTCATATAACTTCTGAATAAGGCAGCCTTAGCTGGAAGGCCACCATTAGTGATGGCTCACCCAGGTACTTAGCCTGGATTGCAGCCAGGGCTCTGCACAGGTGTGATGTCACAAAAGCTTCATGTATGTATCAAAGAAGCTTAGCTTATGCTCAGATTAAACCAAGCAATTCTACTGATGACTTGTCAATTAAGTGGTTTTACAAAAATTTCCTAAATATAAGGACCCTTGTTTTTATTTCAAGCCTCCTCCTTAACTTTTGTAGGATTTGGGGCTTGGTGACTGGAGCAATGCAACAACAAAAGAGCTTTGGTTGTGTGTGAGAGAGATACACCACACACAGAATTTTATTTATTTGTTTATTTCTATACTGCTCATAACCAAAGATCTCTGTTCATACCTGTGTGTGAACAAGGTCCAATAAATGCAAACAGCTAGCTGGTGTGAAGAAGCACCATGCCATTATGGCATTGCAAGAGCTCTGCCTGCTAAATTTGTCTTTAGCAGACATAGTATGCATGCTTGCAGACATGTTGCTACAATGATGAGGGATAGAAAATTTAACAATTTAAATGCTTAGGAATTCAAATTTTGCATAGCATCAAATTCCACACACATAGAACTGAAAATGAGTGAAGAAGTCTGTATATATTTTTGAGCACCTCATCTTGAACATATTTTCACTAATAAAGTGAGTGGCTCTTACAAGAAAAGAACTCATACCTCAAACCAATAAAAAGATGAGCCCTGCTACATGAGAATAAGGCTCCATCTAATCTAGCTTCTTGTTTCCAGCTGAGGCCAGACAGATCCTTTTAGGGTATGAATGAACCTTATTCCCCTTTTCATAAACCCTCTTCCTCTTTTACAGATAACAGACAACTGCCACCTCCACCACCTCCAGTCAATGGAGGTACGTAGCCCTCCTGTAAAACAGGCATCATGTCTGGGAGGTCTTCTCATATGAATGTTGCAGTAGACCGCACTGGCTGTAGACTTAACCCAGTTGCAGGAAGAAGATGAAGAAACATTGCTATTAACTTAAGGCACTTGAGTCCTGGAATCCTCATTTTAGAGCACATGGACAGCAGAGTGAAGCCCATGAGAAGCTCCTAGCAGCTCCAGTTCTAGAAGAGACTGGGGATGAGTTTGGACAATCATGGGGAAAAGAAGCCACAGTGGTTCCTTTTCCATGCTGCCATGCATACTGGGCACTCGCTACCCACTTTGCCTCATGGCCCTCAAGGTGTGTGGCTTGCTGTGTCATCCAAAGCCTGAGAGGTGCATGGTGGGAGGATCCTTGAAGATTACAACAGGTCAGGGTGTGTTGGGGTGGGTTCAGTGCCACAGCTCTGAGCCACTGCACACCTCACTGGGTTCAGATGATGCAACAAGCCATGGACCATCAGGGTCATTAGGAAAATCATGTGGCACATGACCAGGATGCACAGGAGAAGCAAAAAGAAACCACCATGGCTGCTTTTCCGATTATCATCAGAACCTGACCTATAACAGGAAAGTGTCCTGGCACTGTTGGTGGAGAAGTAATCCTGGTCATTCTTCTGTTTGCCTCTGTTAGACAGAAGACCAAATCTCCCACGGTCTCCATCATCTGGGGTTGACCTGAATGGTAAGCAGCTCATGGGTTTGGTGGCATACGGTGCTTCCAAGGAGGCTTTTATTGTGCAACTGCCCTGCTTCATAAATGGAATCGCAGAGGTGGGTTCAGATGTTTTTGGCTTCCACCTGTCACTGTCCTGCTTCTTCTGTCCTTTTTGTTACCAGAAGATCTTTTAAGGAGGAAACAAAGGAGTGGGTGCACAATGCCTTTTGTTCAACGGTGTTCAAAGCCCTCAGAGACTTCTTCCATTCTTCCCTCCCTCCTTCCCTCTCTTTCTTTCTTTACTCTATAACCTCCTCCTTCAACTACAAGAGACTACAGGGTGGCTAATGAACAACCCATGAAAATGGAATATGATTATAACATTTAAAACAGACAGTACCAAAGAATAAAAACAAACTAAACAGAATCAGCAAAAGATGTCCCTGTACAACAGTGACAAAACCTTCTTTACCTGCTTAAAAATAGCTCTGATGCCACTAACAATGTGTGGCTGGCCATGGAGTGACACTTTCCTGCTCTTACCATCCAGCAACATTGTGGAGCTGTCGGTCTGAAAGTACAAAAGGTCTTCAATCCGGCTGCCACTCTTGGAAACCTCCTGCTTGTGTGCGCAGCTGTATGTCTTGCTGAAATGACTGCTAGCTATCGTCTCCATCATATCCATGGGATTAACCTGAGCCTCTCTAGCCATGATCAAGAGGAAAGAATATGGGGCTGTATTCTTTAACTTTCTGTTCTTGAGCCACATTTCTACTGCAAATGTGGCTTGTCTTATTATGTCCATTTTACACTCTTTTTTTCTTTGCCTTTTTATGCAATCTCCCCCACCCCACTGTTCTGTTTAAAGAATAAGATGTATATATTCCTATGTAAAACACAGAGGATCACCCAGCCTTATTATGTTAGAGTGTTTTTACTCTGCTCTTCTGTGGAAAGGGGCTTCTGGAAGTCACTTACATAAGCTGAATAACAAACAAGGCAGCTCAAAATGAAAAAGGATGAACAAAGAAACAAAAAGGGTTTATGAACTGCCAGGCATGGCTGAGCGGTGGGGAAGGGCACATTTGCTGAGCTTTGGCTCATTGGCTCACTTTGTGTTTCCCAAAGGACCCAGTGTGCAGTCAGCCTCCCCCTCATCTGCTTTGGCTCTGCCAACAGTAGACATCCAGAATCCAGACATCACATTTTCCCGCTACCGTGGACTCCCTGTTCCTACTGCAGTGGATAAGAAGAAGGGGAAAAAGAAGATTTCAAAGGCTGATATTGGTGCTCCAAGTGGGTTCAAGTGAGTGCCTTCAGATGTTACTTGTCCCTTGTGAGGAGACTGGATTACAGAGGGCCTTTCCCAAATGTTAGGTAACACCAAAGAAAGGATTCCTTGACTTCTGCCCTTCAAAAACTCTCATTTTTAAAAATTGACATGGATGTTTTCTTTAAAACAGTTTGAGAACTCCTGTACTTCAGAGTGGTGCCACTCAGTTATGCTTTGAATGGGCACTCCGGCTCCCCTAATTTCCTGACTGGGATGAGGTCATGGGGGTTTGCTCGCCTTGACCAGGAATTACTTATAATGGCAGTTGGCAATCTTGTTTTCTTCTGGTTTGCACATGCTCAGATGGTGTAGTATCAAAAGAAGCATTGGTAGGGAGCAAGCAAGTCATGGGAGACAGCAGAAAGAATGTGGAGGGAAAGAGGCAGAGAATCTTGGAAGGCAGATGAGCCAAGCCCTGATGCCACCTGTGGGCTTCTTATGGAGAAACAGGATTTTCTTGGGTGCCAGCTCCTGTCCTGCAGCTTCAGGGCCAAAGCCAATTGAATTCTAGGACTCAGATCTGAGTGGTCTTCAGATCCATTATGTCAAGGTGCAGAACCCCTTTGAGCCTGAGGGCCAAAATCTATTTTAGAGACACCCTTGGAAGCCACATTTCAGTGGTGGGAAAGGCCAAAAGTAAAATGGCTGTAGCCAAACCCAAATGGGGTGATGTCAAGATACCAAAACAAAACAAATCCATGTTTTAACTTGAAGCTCTTACTGTCACTAATGAAGACTAGGAGAGACACTTCAACCTTTATAAAATAGGGGAAAATGCTGGGTAACTACCAGGTCATCTGCAGTCATAAGAAAGGGGATGGGTGTCAAGTGTAAGGGGGTACAGCCATCTTGAGATCCCCAGAGGATTGGATGCAGCCCCTGAGCCTGAGGTTCAGTACTGCCACATCATCAGCTTAATCAGATGATAATTTTGGATCTTTCCTGGGTTCCTCCAAAAGAGCAGAGAGACCATAAGCTATTTTCACTTTCCATGGAATACCCAGGAAGCTCAGTGCATCTCTCCATCTCTTCCAAGGCCCTCCAAAGCTCCACAAGGCCAGCTCCAGTTGACTTAGACCACTGTGCTCCAGGGCCTTCCCTTGTAATGGGATGCTTTCTGTGATTTTCTTCTAGGCATATCCAGCACATCGGATGGGACCCCAACAGTGGATTTGATGTACGTAGCCACTGTGGTTTCCCTGGGGACTTGAAAGAGAGTGGCTGAATGTGGGGATGGGACTCAGATGGGACTAAGAAGGGTAGAGTCTCCAAATGATGTGAGATTAGGCTTGTGAATTAGGGGCAAACTCTGTGTTTCTGTGGGAGCTGCCTGTTTACCACCTGCCTGAGGGGAAGTCCCAAGGCCTTGCTGCTAGGGTCGGGATGCATTTTCCAGTTTTAAGCTGTTGTCAGACCTAGTTCTTGCACATGGAAGTCCAGGTGGAGGCAAAAGCAAAGGGAAAGCAAAGTTGGTCTGCAGCTTTGTAGGACTCTCCTAGTTATTCAGTGTGCAAGTCTGGACACAAACTGAGGAGTTTTCTCTGACCTTCTTTGCCCTACCAGCTGTTGTGGCTGGTCTTCATCGCTCCTTTCACCAATGTTGGGCCACTAGCTGAATTCCCAAGGCACCCTTCCCCATTTTGGCACCCTTCCAAGGGTTTGGGCTACATTTCTAATCAGCTCTATTACATCTTTGCTTCAGTGCACATATGCACCCTCCTGAAGGCCCCTTCATCGTAACACAGGAACAGGCAAATGCCTGAATGTTTGGAACAACAACTTCCATCAGCTCAATCAGCATGGCTTTGGAGTTGTAGTCTCCAAAGCATCTAGAGGGCACCGGGTCACTGACTACTCCCATAATAGGCTCTTGGAGTTTTCTTGCAGATATTAGCATGAAAGATTGAATTCCTTCTTCAGTAAGCCAGGATGTGTCTCCATAGAACATTGACTAGTCTTTAAAACTCTGTATTATTACCTTTTTCCTTTGCACACAGTCAGCAAAATAAGCAATTCAAAACAACAGTGCTTCATCTATGGTGGCAAAAAACATAATGGTTTTTTGTTTTTTAGGTGCAGTGTTCCCACAACCCTGAATAACAGCATGGCTGCACTAAAGACAGTTCAGGTTTTAGGACTACCTTGGCTACGAATAGTTTGAGACTATCCTTGCTGCCTTGAGCATCATGTTCCTGGTGGAAGCAAGCTATAAACTGATAGGATAGGATAGGATAGGATAGGATAGGATAGGATAGGATAGGATAGGACAGGACAGGATAGGATAGGGGTGTGAGCATTATTCTTGGGATTTCAGGAAGGCAGAGATTTATTTATTTATAACATTGGTATGCTGCCTATTGTGTCATAGCATCTCTAGGCAGCTCACAATCATTTGAAAGATTTGAGTTCCATGACCTTCCTGCTATCCTATGCCGGAAGCCAGATTTTCCTGCAGTGTGAAGATGACCACTGTTCACTGAGCAATTTTCTGTGGTCATGTGCATTGGCTTAAGAAGGCTAGCATTAAGAAGCAGCTATACAGTGACACATTGTGTATCTCTGTTTCGGTTTCAGGTGAATAATTTAGACCCTGATTTGAAGACTTTCTTCTCCCAGGCGGGAATTAGTGAAGCTCAACTGACGGATGCTGAGACTTCAAAGATTATCTATGATTTCATTGAAGGCCAAGGGGGACTGGAAGCTGTGAAGGAAGAGCTGAGACGACAGGGTGAGCTGCTGGAATGGGAGGGTTTCTCTAACCTCAGGTGTCTTTGGATCAGTTAAAGTAATCCTGGTTGCTAGCTAGAACTGCATCATCTATTGAAAGGATGCCCTTAATATTATTAATATCCCATCTGTTCCCACAAATGGGGAACCTAGGTGGCTAGAGACTCACATAGATTTTTGGTCTTTGCTTGGACACACCGTTTTCAGTGATAACTTTCAGAGGAACTGCTGTAGCAAAAACAACCAAGAGTATTGTGGAACTTTAAGGATGAATAGATTTATGATGTTTTGTGGAGTTTTGTGGAGTGGTAGAGTCCACTTGATGAATGGAGTGTTCTCCTCCATTGTTGGATCAATATAAGTTCATGTTGTACAAAGTCTGATCAATCATCCATCTGCACCGTCAGCCTTGAGTGTTAGACTGTGCATCTTTGGGTACTTCCAGGTGATCAATAACCTTCCCATGTTTCCTCAGTGCTGCATTTGCCTTTTTGTTTCAGCAGAAAACCTGTTAAGGAGGCAAAGATGAAATAGCTGCACAAGGTCTTCTGATTGGTAGTGTTAGGAACTCTCTGTCGGGAAGCACTCTAGGGGCGCCTTCCCCATCCAAAAGTGTTGGAATTTAGCTCCCATAACACATTGGGAAGGTGCCAAGCTGGGAAAGCCTGCCCTAGGAGCTCTTCACTTGGAAGCACCCTTAAACCCAAACACACATGAGAAAAGACTGCTTGAGGCTTGAATCAAATCAATTCTTTCCTGTTACATCGAAGGTATTAACTAATATAGCTGGGATAGTTGCATTATCACCAGCTACTGTTGATGTGAATGGCCACTGTACTTGCCCTGTATACATTTTAAATTTTACGTAGCAGGGTCACAACCTCTGTTTTTACAACATGGACCTTATCTTTACTGTTTTCTTGTTTATACTTCACTGAGGAAAGCATCTGAAGCTGTAAGCTGTCCCATTGAAAACTGATGCCATAACACATCTTCTAATCTTAGAGAAGGTCAAGAATCCTTGCCAGTTTTACACATTTCTAAAGATGTATCATATGCTTTTTACAAGGTGCCGCTTTATACAGACTTCTATCATTTAAAGCTTTCTTCTGGGATGTGAATGTTCTTCTTTGTCTCTTTTCAGGTCCAAGTCACCCCCCACCCCCACCTCCCAGTCGTTCAGGCCCTCTTCCACCCTTACCTGGGCATTCCCGAGGTGGCCCTCCACCACCTGTCCCGGGGCCCCCACATGCAGGTGCCCCTCCCATATCAAGCAGAGGAGCTGTTCCCTCCTCTCCACAGCCCGCCTGGGGAAATTCCAGCCCCCAGTGGGGACCCCCTCCGCCTGCCTCTCGGCCTGGGACAAATCGCCCTCCCCCACCCCCAGGTGGATCGGCCCCTCCGCCCCCTCCCCCACCCCCACCCCCTCCCTTCATGGGTTCTGCACCATGCCCCCCTCCCCCTCTTCCCTCTGGGAGGCTTGGCACTCAGGGGACTCCGCCTGCTGCACCCTCCTCGGGCCGTGGTGCCCTGCTTGATCAGATACGCCAAGGAATACAGCTCAACAAGGTGAGGCTTGCTGGGGAGCCTGGGCGGACAGCTTGCGCTTCATGCGTGGGGCCTATGTGTCATGTGTCCTCAGGAAGGGTCGTTTCCCCTCCCCACTCCTCAGGTCAGCTCAGCTTTGCTTCCCGGAGATAAATCGGCAAGGGCACAACCCTCCACAAGTCCAGGCTGAGAAAGGCCTACCTCTCACAACACACCTCAGTCAATGCGTAATCTGCCAAGTGTATGGCGTAGTGAGAAGGTAGCCATTTACAACAATGAAGGAAGGAGGTACCAAATGAAAGGAATATGTGATCACATATATATGTTCTCCATGCAGGCTCCAGGCCTTGAGGGACATTGGGAGGGGCTCTTCCATGCCTACCCCTCAGTGAGGGCACTTCTCACCTCCATGGTCACCAGCCACTGTTCTGCCTCCTCCTCGGCTACAATTTGCTGGCTTGACAGGCAGAGAGCCAATGAGCAAGCTGGCAGGGCAGCCCCAGCACTGCCTCCCCACCATCACTATCTGGGCTAGTGGGAGGACAGGTGAACATCCAACGGGAAGTGGCAATGTGCGAGAGTATCCCCAGGGGCTCTTGTCAGTTGCCCCTTGTTGCAGGGGAGCAGGCACTCAGCAGGTGCTTGACCAAGCCTTCCCTTGATACCAGTCCCATGTGCTTTCATGCCCTCCCATTTGATGAAGCCAACCATCCCAAATTGGTTACCGCAGATCTGCAGATCATCCAGGTGGGGAAGGCAGATGAAGGCCTAGTTTCCATTAGGGCCATCTCTCTTCAAACTGCAGGGGTATGTGTAGAAGTATGTGAAGACTCCTCCATGTGTGGCTGGGGAAGATTTTTGCAGATTAAAAATGGTCTGCTGGGGAATCTTAGCTAGGCCCCTTCTGTCTGACATGTATATTGAGGGAATGTTAGTGTCTAGCATTCAATGGTATGAGTGAACACATTTGAAGCAGGTAGCATAGCAGGATCACCATGCTCATGAGAGCTCAACCTAATCCGTTGCCTATTCCCTCTCTGCTCTCTCCTTTGTGCCAACCTGCTGTGTGTACATTTTGAGGAGGAGCAGGCCAAGAAGAAATGGCTTCATGTGTTAGCTTAGTCAGGGTTCTAGAGTTTCCCACCCCTTACCATCGTCCCCTTTGCCTTTCAGACGCCAGATGTGTTAGAGTCGCCACCGCCTGCTCAGAACCCTGAAGGCCTGGTTGGGGCTCTTATGCATGTGATGCAGAAGAGGAGCAAGGTCATTCACTCCTCAGGTGAGCTTTGTTGTTCTCCTTTGTATGGTACTTCTCACCTTGGGGCTTGCATGCACCCAAATGCCCTTTTCACATGAGCTCAAAAGTTCAGCTCTTTTTTGCTTATCTAGAAGTGCAAGAATAAAGCAGAGTTCTAGGACAAATTTGGTGGTATTTTGTGAGGTGAGATCTTGAGGTCTGCATGGGCCCTGTGTCTGGTGTGGTGTTGGACAGTTGAGGATAAAGGGACCAGCACAGGCTGAAATCAATCTCTCTCTCTCTCTCTCTCTCTCTCTGTGTGTGTGTGTGTGTGTGACTGTAATGCACATTCATCCCATTCATCCCCTCTGGAGACTGCAATGTCTTCAAACCTTGTCTCCTTATACATTGTTGTCCCATTCTTCTCTCCCCACAGATGAAGATGAAGACAATGGAGATGAAGACGAAGATGATGAGTGGGATGACTGAATCCAGAAAAGTTATGACACAAAGCCTGATCCTTCTGTCAGCCCGTAGCCATCTGAATTACTGTGGGCATTTAATCAGACTGCTACTCTGTTGTTGCCTGCCCCCACCCCAGTTTGTGCAGACCTTTCCAAATGCCAATAGCTTCAGGGGCAACACTGCTTTAGTTTAGGCAGCAGAGGGTCATTCATTTCCCATCCTCCTTTCCAGCATCACCTACAGGCCCAAGCATAATTCTCATTCTATTCCCTTGCCTGTGCACCTGGATGTCTTTGACAGCCTTAGAAAGTGAGGCTGTAATCCTACCTCTTCCAAACTCTCAGTCTTTACAATGCCTCTTGTAATCCCCTGCTCTAACTTTTTACAGCCATATTATATTTCACCCAACCCCCTCATCATCCTTTTCATTCCCAGGGCCATTTAATAGCATGTTGTTGTTTTTAAATGGCTTTCTTTTTGAGGCAAATTTGCAGGCATGAAGATGATAGGAATGTAAGCAAAACCTCTCTCTTATAACCTGTGCATTGTTAACTCACACTGAATCTTAGACGTCTGAATTTTTGCACACCTTTCTAAAGAATGTTTTCTATTGCTTTTCAACATTAGAAGTGGACAAAGGGAGGAAGCAATCTCTAAAGTTGAAGACAGGTACACATATAAACCTTCAAACATGGCAGAATGGTTTGATCATAGCATGACTAAAAGAGCAAATGCCACATTTGATCCTAAAGGTTCTAACCTTTAAAAAAAGTATTATTGCAGAGTTACGTATTGGAAACAAAAGCATTTTCAGTGGCTTGGATTCTAAATTGCATTCATAGATTTCTGCTAACTCTCTCCTTGATCCCACTCCATTTCCAATGGCCTGGAGCACCCAGGAGCAGAGTTTTGGAGGGCATAGTATGCTGTAGACTGAGGAAAGGGGAGAGTGGGAAAACCCCATTCTGTGAAGTGTTCAGGGAAGGGAGACTTGGCTTGGATCCTAAAATGCCAACTTGACAAAAATAAAATATAAACTAAAAATAATTTGGAAGATCACAGCACAAATAAATACCTATGCCACTTAATATGAAGTAAGTGGAAATTATTCAGCCAACTAGCTCTACACAGGAAATCCCGTTTCCACCCTTGGTATTTTTGTACTCTTGATAACAGTTTAGCAACATTTTTTTTTTTTTAGCTCCAGCACATGTACAACCGTAATCTTTCAGGTTTAGAGACATGCTACATTTCTACTTCTAGCTCATAATTGTGTGCATATCCTGATAATATAACTACATTACAAATTTATATTGGTTTTGTACCAGTTTAAGTGGTATGGGTTCCCACACACGCACTGCCATTAGCCCCGAATAAAGTTAGAGATTTTTCTTTTCCAGAACTACAACTGTGAGAATGTTTTGGTCAAGATTACAGCTGGGGTGAGAAGCATTGAATTTTCCTTCTCTGAATGCTGCAGTCTCAATAAAAATTGTGAGGAGCTGGCAAACTTTTTTTTTTTTTAAAGAAGAACAGTCCTGACATGCTTCCTAATAATAACATTTTTGCATCCTGTTTTGTTTCTCTCACAATTTCCCTGACCTTTTTTCTTTAGACAATCTCTCACTGTTGCCTTTACTGGCTAAGGAATTGGCATGATGAGAATTGCCATCCAGCAATACCTGAAGGGCTACAAGTGGCCCATCCCTGGCTTAAATCCTTCTCTCTGCATATTGGCTCAACTGCTATCAAGTTCACTGTGTAAGCTCATTAAACAGGTGTGTTGTCCTTTAAATGTCATTCTCTCCTCAGTCACAAATGGACTTTTGTTCTTGTGCATACTTTTTCCTGAGCATGGGCACCTGCAGGAATTTTCCCAGCTGTGTGTGTGTACATCTGCATGCATGGAGACTTTGCAAAAATACAGTGCTATATGATTATGTCAATCAGTTTATGAGTATAATTCACAGCAAACATACAAAACACACCTGTGCACCTTCCCACTGTACTATCTTGCTTGGAATCACATTTCATGTCATTTAAAAGCCTATAAAAAAGTGCAAGCTCCCCCCCCCATCACTTTATATGGTACCAGTATTTTAACAGTGTATTTATAAGTGCATGTGTCTGGGTAGGAGAAGAAAGGATGTGGAGCTCTGTAAAAACAAAAACCCCTTTTGAAAAGGAACTGAAGTTTTAAAATCCTATTGGCCTCTTTACACAAGCACAGATCTCTCAATTATACTTTTGATTCGGTTTGACAGCTTGCATTTTGACCCTGTCAAATCAAGCCAAAGGGTGAGGGAAAAGGCTATTTGGGACCTTTCAAAGCTCCTATTTCCTTCTGTCACATGATGGCAGGATGGTACATGGACTCCATCCGGATAATGCCTGTAGGCCAGGAAGCAACACATTCATATAGTTCATGAGAGTATGCCCATCTTGTACTGCATACTAAAGAAACAGTACTGTGTTCTTTATATTGCAGTTTAAAGAGTAGAGAGTAGGGATGGATAAAGAATCACAGCAGCTTGAAAATGATAACAGGGAGGTCAAAACGTTAACAGAGGAATATAGTAAGGCTGAGAAAAGGTTACAAGCAAAATGTTTAATGCAGAGAGTGGTTCAGTGTCAGGCATTTTATATACTTGTCCTGGCAATCCTGAGGCCAAGCTGGGGAGAAGTCAATAGAAGTTTCAACAAGCTCCAAGGGAATGGTAATAGATGCTGAAATCATACTGTTTCACAAACTCTTTGCAGTTGCATTCTTATGCCTAGTCATTGAACTTGCTGACACATACTTCTGAGGAAATGTGTACGCGATTGCAATATAGTTAGTTAAATAACTGTGACAAACTGATTTTCTGGGTCCCAGTGTCTATTGTTTCATCTTCTGACCAAAAGCCATTGAAGGGATGGACAGGTTTCCACTGAATGATTTCCAGAAATCCTCTTTTCTACTAGGCAGCAGCATCTTGAGTTGGGCGGGGAGGTGGTGGGGGAGGACATCATTTTCATTCTGAGGAAGAAATTCAATTTCAGAAAAATTGAAGTCCCACATTCTAGTGGTAGATGGGATAAAAAGCAAAGTGTGTGTGTGTGTGTGTGTGTGTGTGTGTGTGTGTGTGCGGGGGGCGGGCAAAATACACAAAATGGAGAACATAGCAGCATCTTTCAGCTTAAACCTTTTCAGGCAAGTAACTAAACCCGAAGAAAAGCATTTCAGAACAGGAAAATGCTGCACAGAAGCCAGGACACCACTAAATAATTGGTGGGACCAGAGCAAAAGGTCATGGCTATCTGGGAAGGAAAAGAGGATGAAGAGAGAGACAGTGGGAGGCAGCTCCAAGAGGCCATTTTCCTGGGTGCCTCTGCAAATCAAGAATGGTTTTTTTTGGGTGGGGGAGTGAGTTCCCAGCCAGGTGGTGTGCTGAAAGCATGAGTAGAGGTAAAAAGGAGGTTGAGGTAGCATGAAGGAAGCTCCAGCACCCACCCCATTCCAATCTGAACTGTTTTAAATGGAATCCAACAAATGGGTTTCCTGTGGGCATCTGGTTGGCCCCTGGTCTGATCCAGCATTGCTCCTTTTCAGTTTTGATGGTATGTTCTTCCTCTGTGATTTTTGTATTTGGCTACCTTTAACTATGCATGATTGGTGGAACAGAGTTCCAAATCATTATTTTTAAGCCTTTGCTGCCCTGCACCATCAAAGGGGCACATTTTGTCAGCTGATTAAAACAACCGCCACCTGAGGTAGCAGCTCATCCATCTCACTTTGAATGACATCCAGCCACTACAAAGCAACATGTGGCACAAACCTGCATTACAAAGTGATGCAACTATGCTCATGTCACCTTTCAATATCTTTCTACTTTTTCTACAGTCAGAACGCTAGGGAACTTTGTGTGGTACTTGCTCATATTAGTAGCATGGTGGATGCTGCATCCTATTAGGTTGTGTCACCCTGGAAACATTGCATTTTGAAGAAATACTACCATGGTGGTGACTCACACACAGAAGGTGCTCTAACCTCGATCTCCTCAGTCTAACACTAGCCCCATGCATCTTTACTAGGGACTTGGTTGACAGAGTGTTAAGACAGAAGGCTCTGCAGAGAATCCTGGTTCCATACAGAACACCCTGAGGATATTGTTGCTTTTATGCATCTCAGGTATAAAGACTGAAAGAGAAATTTATACTTATGATCAGTTTCTATTTTAGTAGGTGTCCATAGGACCATTTGTCCATTGAGACATGGACAGATATACACATACAGGAGGAGTAGGTAGTCTTTGACAGGGATATTCCTCACATGTCTTCACAGTTTCCTCTTCCAATTGGTGAGCATGTTTTTTCATTGGTTGTATTCATGTTGATAATCTTGAGCAAGAAGGCAAAAGGTTTTCCTGTTCTTCTGGTCTGGGAGGGTGTGGAGCTCTTTAAACATTTTTTCTTCTTTAAATACATCAGAAGCAGGAAACTTATTCAAAATTCAGAGATTCTAGAAAAACTCAGTTGCTGATGTTAAATAGCATTGCAGACAATTCTCAGCAAAGGCCAAGAGGAGGCCCTTGAATCCTTTAAGTGAGCCTTGAAGACTGATCTAAATAGGGGACAACACGCAAAGAAATGTCCTAGGAAGGCCAGATGATGAGGGCTTTTATTAAATCTTTGCAATGAAAAGACCCCAAACCTCCAGGATGCTGGGTAGGAAAGGCTATTTGTGATATGAAACCACCGAGATTGCTAGACACCAATAAGGAGGGGTTTGGCAGGAGGTGGATAATGATTTAAATCACCTACAAAAACCCATGCTTTAGAGCAGTGGTCCCCAAACTTTTTTGGGCTACTGCCCCTTTGCTCTTGGGCAACAACTTTAGTGCTCTCACACCCTTTTCTTTGTATTAGATCTATTGCTCTACTGCAAATGGAAACAACCAATCTGGCACTATAAAGTTAAACTTAACTTTGTAAAACAATGTAGTGTTTTTTCAATGAAAACATAAATGCATGTCTCTTCTATAAATACAATGTTTTTATAGTCCCTCTATCAATACCTTTCAATTGTATCTTTATTTTACTAAAATATAAAATTATGTACATTACAAGACTAAAGGTCACTTCAGTGCTTACAAACCTTGAGCACTGGCCCTTGCAGGCATAAAAATGTGATGATCACCACTCTAACAGCATCTGCTGTCTGATTTGGCTAGTGTGAGGCACATGCCCTGTCCAGACCAAGTCACCACAACAATAAAAAATGGGTTTACTTTTTATTATTATTATTATTATTATTATTATTATTATTATTATTATTATTATTATATTTCTATGCCGCCCCTTGCCAAAGCCTGGGGCGGCTTACAACACAATAAAATACATTGAAATACAATAGAACTTTGAACTCCAACTTCAGGCAAATTGTTTCACAATATGAAACAAGACCATGCTGTTGTATATAACTCAATGTTAATTTTTTGTGTGTAAAGCATACAAATAGTATCCAGGTTATGAACATCACATTAATGTACAACTCCTACTTAGGACAGACAGTTACTAAACCTAATACATACTTTGTGCGCGTACTTATCAAAACATTCTGCAGCCTCAGCAGCTTGTCAGCTCTAATCTGGCAGTTTGAACTGGGTCACTGTGATGTTAACATTGTGTTAAGTGTGTAATTTTGTGTTTATTTATTTTATTTATTTATTTAGAAAATTTCTATGCTGCCCCATTCGCCGAAGCCTCGGGGCGGCTCACAAACATAAATAACTTCAATTAAAATAATATAAATTAACAGTATAAAGTTATTTAAGTTATACCTTTTTCTTAGTAAACCAGATATACAAAGTTTAATGCTTGTTGATTAAAAAACCTTGTATAGCTTACCCAGCCTAATGGGCAATTAAAGCATGAAAATGTATGGTTAGGAATTCTTCGAAAGTAGGTTTAACAAGCATTTTTATATAGGCTAACACAGGGATGAATTTGGGTATTTAGTGGGGTGCAGCAATGTGTTACTTGCTTTGAATGTAGATTTTCCATACCTTATGTGAATTAATCAATGCCCCTTGTCAATATTAGTGAACATTAACCAAACTACTGCTTCCTTTTCTTTTAGTATTTACCATTGAAAGCATTTTTTCAAAGTGTAAATCCATTAAAATATTTTTGATTAGGTTATTCTTGATAGTTTAGTTTTCATCTGCTATTTTACAGTCTTTTGCCTTTTCACTTTCTTTGTTTCTTTTGTAGCAATCTTCTAATGCCTCTCTGCTACCCACCCCCTTTTTCTCACTGCCCCCTGGATCTTTCCATTGCCCCCAGCGGGGCATTACCAACCACTCTGGGAAACATTGTTTAAGAGCAAGTTTGACACTACAGTTCTTCACATATTTCTTAAGCAATGGTGCAAATCACAATTTACAAGTATTTTACAAGGAAGGAGGATGTGCTTTGTGTAAGTTCTTATATACTTGATGTTTTAATAATTTAGGAAATTGTTCAAGCTGGAGATCTAAAAGCTGTACATTAGGAATAGTAAGAACTAAATTGCACACACAATCACAACAGTCCTTATTTTATTAAATAATCTTAAATACTACGAAAAGGTTTCAGATTGCAATTGCAACAGTCTCCCGAGTTGCCAGCTGTCTTAAATTATTTTTTAATGTTCAAATTGTATTAATAAGTGCACAGTGCTGTGCTTCAAACTTTTACGATTAGATTTTGTCTTATCCACTTGCATTGCCATTTTTATTCATGAACTGAAACAGAAATGTTATTTTCCTGCTTTTTCAGCTCCTAAAGAACAAGTGTGGTGTAGTGGTTAAAAGTGCAGGACTGGATCTTGGGCAATTTGGATTCTAGTCCAACTGGAGTGACTTAGAGCCATGTCACAGACATTCAGTCCAACCTACCCTACAGGGTTGGAGATTGGGAGCAGCAGGAAGAGAATTGTGTAAGCTGCTTTGTGTTCTTTAAAAAACAGAAAAAAAGGTTGAATATAAATCAAATAAATAAATACATTTCTTAGTTCTTATGCCAAATTATAAATATATTCTCTCTTTCCGCCTGCAGAGGAAACTACAACTGTGAAAAAAATGGCTTAGTTTCCGAAAGAACTCTGGTTCAAGGTGACTGGCCAATAATTTCCACTAAGGCTATATAGCCACCTTGGCTTAAAGTATTGGCCAAATCCACTTATTGTCTATGTGTAGATTATTACTCTATCACTGCATAAACAACTATAATCTCATGCAATTTTTAGTAAGAAAAACTGAAACTGAAGGCCCAGAATTTTCAAGAAGTAAGAACAGATAGATTGGACAAAGACAGATTCCTGAGATGCATTAAAAACTGAAATGAATGCTCATGTCTGATTGGTAGGTAATCTGGCATCTGTGATGGAGCCACAGCTTCATTTTTATGAGACTGAAAGTGTAGGTTCTGCATGTTTGTGATGAGATTTAATTCTATCTGATTTGTTTAAATAAGAATTTAATATTTTGATAACTTTTTAAACAGCTCTGAACATAAAAAGTTATCAAAACTGAGTGGCTCTGCAAGACATACAATGTGGACAAGCACTGTTAAGACAGATAAGTAGATGCATATGCAAGATATACACCCATGACGCAGAAAGGTACACCCCACTCTTCTGCAAGAATAGAAAGACTAATTCCATGGCTTCTTTGCAACTTGAAGTCAAAATGGCAGCATTCAAAACCTCCACTAGAGCATATGTTCCAGATGGATCATGAGTGAAGTCACAGATGAAGTCTGAAAGTGCCAAAGGAAGAAACCAATGCAGGACGAAAATAAAGCCAGCACCAGTGGGATGTCAAGTGGGGGTGGGGAGGAAGATGAACATTCCCTATATTGTAGTGTTTGGTATCTAGACATTAAATAGATGCTAATACTGTAAAGTTTATATGAAATCCTGGTACCAAAGAGGGGTCCAAGGTTTGGAAAGCTTGCAGAATAAGTGCAAAGTATTGACCCAATGACTGCTAGAGTCCAGGGTCTATCTACGTGCCAATGGTATGGAATCCACCCCCCCCGCCCCCCGCCACACACAGAAACACAAGTATACTAGCATTAACTCACAGGCTAGGTTTTTAGAACCATGGAACATCCTACAGGGCAATAATATGCAGATATGATGAGTTGACCTATATACTAAGGCTAGGAACTCTCTGTTATGGAGAATGAAGATGTGGTGTTGGCTACTAGCAATAGTAAATAAATGTATGGATCAGGGTTAGCTAAAAGCAACTTCCTAAATGGTGGCTAACATTTAGAGGGAAGATTTGTCTGAATACCAAATCTAAATACCATTTAGTTACCGTATTACAGGAGAGGGATATTGCCTTTTTGCCCTACTGACAGGCTTCCCAAGGGTAATTACACTCTGCATGTGCCTAGAGGGCATATGAGGTACAAGAATAATTTTAAAAAGAAAGTTCTCCAATATTTCACAGATAAAAATAGGAATACTTGAGCAATTCTATTCTCACAAGAAGATAATTACCTGCACTCAGCTGCACCACCCTTACACATTGCGGAGTGCTCTTCTGACCAGCAAGGTTATCTTTTAAGGAGAGAGATGTTGAATAGAATCTCATAATGAATCTGGTGACACTTCTAGAGTAGCTGCAAACAGAATATGTTCAGTAACATTTCCTATCAGAATAAACAGATGTGGAGATATGGAAGACCTTGTAGTCAGGCACATTATTGTCTGCATATGCATTTATTTATACCTATGTGGATCAGAGCCAACATGTAACTGCTCCCCCTTCAGAAATTCATCCTTCATTCCCAAACACATTGGAGAGTAAACTATAGATCACATTAAATTTAACAGGGTTTCAATTTGAGAAAACAGGCTCAAGAATCCATCGAACGTCTAGAAACCCAACATCTCCCCTAAAGGCAAGATAAGGACAGAGATGGAATGGGAACCGTTGGCATTAAATACGGGATGGTAAGGCTGCAGAACCACTTTAGATTTCAGCTGCATTTTAAAAAAATGTCTTAACTTGCTCTTAGTGGAATTAAGGACAAGAGGAAATTATGTTTTCAACTGATAACCCATTCCTGTTCATATTTCCTGAAGAGGACTCCAACTCATAATTCTTTTCTTGCATTTTATGTTTGTTTTTGCTCCTACGGTTTATTTTGCATTTCTTTGTATTTATAGCCCCCCTCCCCTTTCCTGTAAAGAGTCCCAGGCAGCTTGCATATTCCTCCTCCTCCATTCTATGCTCACAACGACACTATAAGGAAAATTGCGCTGAACCTGAGTGGCTCAAAGTAAAACTTCATGGCCGACCGCGGAGAACTGAGAGAAGTTTATAGTTTTGCGTGCATCGAACTCGCTGTACAAAATTCCTCTACAAACAGGCTTGCTGTACAAGCAAACTTTCTAAAATGATTCCTCAGCAAGCACGCTTATAATAATTACAGCGTTTGGAGTGCCGGCAAACGTTAGCAACTAATAATTCGCGCCGACTCGCGATAATGCACGAACCCGCTGCTGCACAAATGCAAATAAGGTCACGGGAGGCGGCTCCCGAAAGCGTTGGGCGGGAGCTAGAAAAGTTTCAGAAGCTCCCATTGGGTTCAGTGTACATTACTCACGGGCGATGCTCAATGGGAGAAGTCCGGAGGGAGCCACAAGATCCTCCAGCTCCGCCCTCTTCCCCTCGCTCTCGCTTGCTCGTGAGATGAAAACTTTCTGGCGGCCTCAGTGGCTGGAGGGAAATAAAAAAAAGCTCAAGATGGCGGAAAATTTAAAAGGTGAGTGAAAACGGCAAGAGCGCGCCGCGGTTGTGGCGCGGGACGGATTTGGAGAGGCTGGCGTGCGCGAGGGGCAGCGGTTGGTCACCGGTCGAGGGCTACGGGGCCAGTTCGCACCCGCCGCAGCATTCTTAGCGGAGGCGGCGGACCTCGACGACCGTTACGGGGCAGACAGGGGAGCGCGCGAGCCGGCGTACGTGGCGTGGCCGTGGGCCGCCTCGCGCTGAGAGCGGGAAAGAAGTGAAGCGGACGCGGGGGAGGGGGGCAGGAGTGCGGTGGATGGGGATGGGTATACCTGGCGGGCCAGAGCTGGCTTGCCCGCCCTCCCCCTATTCAAGATAATATTTTCACCTCACGCCTGCAGTGGCAGGTAGTTCAGTTGCTACCCTGTTGAATCCTTTTTCGTTAGCAAAGGAGCCTCCCTTTGCCGCTTGTCATTTATTAATACTTTTCAGCCAGCAATCCCTTGCCTTTTGCTGGGCCCTCGTGTGCTCTCACCATGTGCTCACCGCTCCCGTCTCTGGAAAAAAAGCTATGTCACATATCACTTCCTGTTGAAAAGTCTCTTAAGAGTTTTAGGGATGAACCTCAAAAGTCTGGTTTACGGCTCCCTTCACAAGATGATCTTGCTGAGATGATTAATGCCACTCAAACTCTTCGTCTGTCAGATGTTTGATTTAGCCACTGGAAGAACTATCTCAACCATGTATTTGTCTAAAGTATATTTGCCTTGCTTCTTGACCAAAAAAGACCCAAGAGTGCTTTACAGAACAATTAATTTTGTTGGACCTAGACAGCAGTGGTGATCAAGAGCAGAACTGAGCACAAAATAGATTGCCAAGTTCTTTTGTACTTCAACTTTCTGGCTACTGGCCATGCTGATAGGTGCTTCTGGAAGTTGAAGTCCAAATCTGGCACTTTTATCTTCTGTCCACCCTTGATCTAGAAGAAACAGAGATCCAGTAGCTGAGAGTGACCAGCTCTAATTTGAGTAGCATGATCATGAATGCATGATCTTGAAGGCAAATGTTGAAATATTTCTGTCATACAGCAGAAAAAAGACTGCGACCTTCATACCATCTGGAGAAAGGCTAGAGAGATTTAAATAGTTACTCTTGTTTTCTTAACAGTTACAGTAATCATTATAGTTATACACCATTATTTTTCAGTACAAACAGAAAACCCACACAGATTTGTTTTAAACTACCTTTTCCCACAAGTCATCCTTCCTGCTTGCTCAATTCACCATTCTAGTAATCAATTATGAGCATTTTTTTCTGAAATACATGAAATGTATATATGCTTTAGGTATAATGCAGTCTAAGCTTTTGCTTTCTCTTTTCTCTTTTTTCTCTTTAAAATTTGGGATGATCTGACAGTAGGGCATCTCAGCATGATGCTCCCTGTACATGGGGGGGGGGGCATCTCAGCATAAGGGTGCAGGTGGCAGAATTAAATGACTTTCATGTTGCTTCAGATCCTAAGTCTGTTGATGCTAAACTTTCCTCCAAAGTATAGAGTAATAAAAGATGGTGATCTATGTTACTGAAAATGCAGTTGTGATGGCCTTGATAATTTATTTCTGTTGCATCAGATTTTATAGCCTCCCTGAGTCCAAGGGCTTGGAGCAGCTGATAATATGCTAAAAGGATAATAACCCTCTCACTTTTCACTCACATATATTTGGCACTAACTAATGCTGTCAGCTGTATAGGTTCAAAAAGAATGAAGATACAGGAGGTGAAAGGTAACATGAGTCAACTTGTTTTCTAGAGACTTTGCTAAATTTCTTAGTTACTAAGAGGCATAGGATTTGGTTACCCAAACCCAGATTGCTTCAGACTAGAATGCAGCAAAAGAAAGCCTCTCAGATTTTTATATCAGTATGTGAAATTGTCTTACATTGAGTCAGTCAATTGTTTTATATAGCTCAGTATTGATTACTGTCACTGGCTTTCCAGGGACTCAGACATGTGATCTGCGGGGACCAGGTATTCTGCAAGTAAATTAGGTGCTCTACTACCACCCCTGGCCCTCTCAGAATATTGTTAATTGATCTTGTGAACATTAAGAAGAAATATTGTCCCTATTGTCTCACTATTTACAGTGAGAAAGAAATAATAAAGTATTTTCTGCCTGGCCTTCTGGCACAATTGCTATAAAGCCCCCATGTTGTTTTATTTCACTGTCATGTTCTTGTTTTATTTTACTGCCTGCTCCATTCCCCTGGAGAGAACAGGGGAGGGGGCAATTCTAATAATTTTGCCCCCTCAGATCATGCCGCCTCCACCATCAGCTTAAAACTATATTTAAGTTAAAGCTGTGTGTTGGTTAGAGTTATCTGCAGCGTGGAGACCAAAGTTGATAGTACAGACTTCAAATACATTGTTACTTTTAAAGTAATTGAAATTAATTGTTAAGACCAAATAACCCTGGTGTTACCAGACCGAACCAGTCAACAGCTGGGGCAAACCTGGGTGGACCCCAGACCCGAGCCGAACAGAGCCTGAGACGAGACTTAGAGCCAAAATCAGCTTTATTCTAGTGCACTATAGAATAAAGGGAGACAAAAGGGGACATTCAGCCCAAAGCAGTGTCTCAAAAGTTGCACCCCAGTACATGCGTTTTATACCCTAGGTAACCAATTAGGTCACCTAATAAACATCTGATACATCAATACATCAATGTATGCACCCCCTCCCGTGCTGGAGAAAGAGTCCTTTCTTCTGTCAAGGACCAGACATTTCCCATGTCTATTTCTTATCTGCTCGAGATTCACACAGGCTTGCCATGTTCTTACTCCCTGAACTTTTGCAACTTTCATGGCAGCTAGAACCAGTTTCTACTGTCCCTTTGATTACTGTATGCGAGGTCAGGCTAGCGTGTTAGCTGAGGGTTACACAAAGTTCATTTTGTTCTTATCCCCCCTCCCTTCTGGGACAGTATAACTGGTGTTTTTACTATGTGGCCTTCCTCTGGCCAACTACTTTTGGGGCCTTTCTCTGGCCAATTACTCTTGGGGTGTTTTGGGGTGCTGCAATTGGTAACACTGGCATATGCACCTCTAGGGTTCCTTTATCATTCTGGCCAAGTTTCAGTTGTCTAGATTTCACAGTCTTGCAGCTATGAAGCTGACAGACTGAAAGACATGTATCTATTGTTATAATCATTCTAATGACTGCAGTTGGGCCACCAGCAAATGGAAAATGAAGACTGGAAGAAGGTTTTAAATATTAGAATAGTGGCAGTTTAAAAGTGATTTCCCTGAGAGAGTGTTTTATTATTTAATATATTTTGAGTCACCCCAATGACTAATGTTATTTGGACATATTATAACAATTAGTTTTGGCCTTTATTTATAAAACAGGGAAGTAATCCTCTTCCCTACAACCTAAACCAATGGTGGGCATGTCATGAGTGGAGCCAGCTGGAGCTGGGGGTCAGACTAGATGGCCCGGGGGGACCCCTTCTGACTGCTCTGTTTTTATGTTTCTCTGTTAAACTGGTCAGAAAAACTGGCAAGCTAAGAATGATACCTTATTTGGGGCATAACATTGTTCATAGTATCATAGATACGTGTTACAGGTAGACCTCGGGTTATGAATGTGTTCCGTTCCTGAGAAGATGGAAATTCTTCTTTAAGAAGAATTTGTATGTAAGTCAAATCACATATAATTGGCCCTCCACATTTGTAGGTATTGAGAAGCAGGACTCCCATGAAAGGGGAAATACCGCAAATATCTCTAGGGCACCCCCCTGCCCAAACTCACTGATGCCTCCTCTTTGTAGCAAGGAAATGCTGGAGAGATTTCCTTTTCCTGATAGGTGAGGCAGGAAGACATGCTTCAGAGACTTCCCTCTCTACCCTTTCACTTCCTCTTTCTCTATGGTGATGCTTTGCAGGCCCTTCCTCTCTCCCCTTTCACTTCCTTTCTCTATGGTAAAGATTTTTGCAGTAATTCTTTAAAATTAATAGGCTTCATGGCAGTTTGTAAGTATGGGCTGTTTGTAACTTGAGGATTGCCTGTACTTGGACATCAGCAACTAGTGGGTGTGTGCTTGATAGGTGTCATAGAGATACGGCTGAGGGAAGAGGGATTCCACCTACCATGGTATTTCATGATAAACATGGTATAGCTGACTGGGGGAAAGTGAGATGGAGTAACAGTAGTGTAAAAGAATTGTCTTGCTAACCAGTTCCTTCTTACCAAGGGGACAGCAGAGAATGAGGTGGCTAGATGGAGTCACTGAAGCAGTCAGCGTGAGCTTAGGTGGACTCTGGGGGATGGTGAAGGACAGGAAGGCCTGGAGGAATGTTGTCCATGGGGTCGCGATGGGTCGGGCACGACTTCGCAACTAATAACAACAATTTTGAGGCCCTGCTGCTGTGGTTGGGTAGCCAGGTCAATGCAGAGATTATACTGGTGTACCACCTACCCTGATGTCTCCCTTCCTAAACTAACTCGGGTCATATTGGGTTGACACTGGATCATCATCTCAGGCTTCTCATAAAGGGAGTGTTTAACATTCAGTCTGACATTGCTTGGTCAGGGATGGTTTAGGATTGTCATGTCCTCCATGGCAACTGTGGACCTTGTTTCAAGTTGTATTTGGTCCTACACATGAAGCAGGGCACACTCTTGATTTGGTATTCTATTCTGGTGGGGTGGATGCTTTGAAGAGGAAGGAATTACCTGTGACTCCATTGTCATGGCCAGATCACTGTCTGGTTAGCTCTGGATTGGCAAATCCTGGTCTGCAAGGGTTAGTTTCTTAAATATGCTTGGAGAATTTCCTGCCATATTAGTTGCCAGTACAGTTAAAACTCTCACTGATTTGTGGCTTACAGAATTGACCCAGGCTGTTGACAGCTATTACTTCTAAAGCTCCCTCTGTCTCTTGAAAGAGCCATGTCAGCTCCCTGGTTTAAGAGTGGGTTGAGGACAATGAAATATGAAAGATGGTGGATACAGCACCACTGCAGAAAGACTGGGAACGAATCCAGCTGAACACAGGTGAAAGACCTATACTGTCATCATGAGGGAAGCTGACATTCACATAGAATGGACTACCAGTGCTGTTACCACCATCATGTTCATACAGAACTGACTGGCAGTTGCTGAAGAAGGGGTGCCAAAGCAGTTGCTGGCTCACTGTGAAAATAATACATTGTGCTTTATGGATAAAGTTGATCAGTTTTGTCTTGACCTGGTCTCCAATACTGGGATAGGTCAAATGATGGAAACAGCTTGGCCACTTGTTTTCAAGTTTTTTCAGTTCTTGAAGATGTGGACAGTGTATCTAGAGCAGTGAGGGCCACCACATGTATACTCACTCCTTTCCCTTTTTGACTAAATCAGCCATGTTGGGACTGATATTATAGCTAGGTGAAGTGATTAATCTCTCTTTCTGGGAAGTGGTGGTTCCCTTTCGCTTAAAAGAGGCAGTAATAAGACCTTTTTAAAATAACCCTACTCCTGGATCCAAGATATTTATCTAACTATAGACCAGCCCTGGTCAAAGTGATTGAGAAGGCAGTGGTGTTTGCCACTCCATATACATCTGGATGCTATTGATTATCTGGATCTGGGGTGAGCAATTGGTAGTTTTTCCCTCTTGATTGGCTAGAGCTGATGGCAGTTGTAGGTAAAAACATCTGAAGAGACACAAGTTGCCCACCCTGATCTGGACTGATTTCAACTGGACTTTTGGCTAAGTTATGGGACTGAAATAGCTTTGGTCACCTTGGTGGATAATCTCCTGGGTACTGGATGGGAGCATGTGACACCCAGGATCTTTCAACAGTATTTATTTGTTTATTTAGAAGTTTTATATGCTGTCCCTTATGCATAGCATCTCAGGATGACTTTTAATCATTAAAATCAAATACAGTAAAACAATTTCTAACAATAATAAATAACATAGTGAATAAAAATAACTTAAGTAAAAAAACAACTATACATTAAAATACTAACTTTTAAAATAACGGTTAAATAAAAAGTTTTTGACCTGATGCTGAAAAGAGTATAAGCAAACCTCTCTGGGGTTCACATTCCATAATCTGGTGCCACCACAGAGAAGGCCCTACTCCGAGTAGATGTCCTTTTTACCTCTTTCAAGGAGGGTTCTCGGATCAGGGCCTCTCGCTGATCTTAAGGGGCGTGAGGGCATAAGTATAGTACCTTTCTGGACTGCCAGGCAGGCTGGGTCTTGAAGGAACCGCTGTTCTAGCCCTCTCTGTGAGAAGAAAGTGCTGAAGGATTACTTGTTGACTCCATGGCTATTGACCTTTACTAGGTGTAGGTAATCTTTTTTGCTATAGGCATATTTGCAATTTGCGAAACTATCCTGGGCACTGCCACAAAATGCCTGCTGTGGGAGTTATATGAAAGGAAGGTAGTTCTACCACCAAGTGCAAAGCAGGGGTAGTATCTGAGCTCCAATACATTAAACTGGTCCTTTGAACCCACAGTTTTCAGCACCAGCAAACACCTATTTATTGCAATTCAACCTGCTGGTGAAAAGATGTGATTTTTTTTTTCTTTTACAGATGGGGTAAGCAAGAAAAGTGTCCAGGAATGCATTGGTGCTATGAGTTGGTATTCAGGGGAATTTGTTGAATTGCATATATGAGTAATCCAAAAAATTGTGATGCCTTTGGGTCTGTTTTAAGATTCATGGCTATTACATACAAATATGTATGCAAGAGAAGTGAATTACAGATGTGAAAGTGAAACACTGGCAGTATGCATGTTAGACTTAGCATTCTGAGGCTTTCCTTTCCCTAATGATATTAGATAAGATTCTTGGCAGGGTCTGACAGTAATACTATTACTTTTGTTTTTGTTAAGACAAAAGTTACATTTTATCTAACAATCCACATCTACCCTTATCACTGTAGCCTGTTCTGTGTATTGCAAGTCTTCTTGGTCCCAGCTTCAAGATCTGTGCCGTTTGGAGAAGGTGTGCTGCCCTGCCTTGGGTATTACCAGAAAAAATCTCTGTGATTTTGAAGTGGAATATCTTTGTGACTACAAGAAAGTCCGGGTGAGTTTATCAGGCTTCCTACAGTGTTAGCCTTAATTCCTTTTATACAAACTTACATCAGCCTTCTCCAGCTCTCAGCTAATAGAGGTCATGTATGTGCCCTTAACTGATGCAGATTTGTTATAATCCTTGTGGGATTACTGGGGTCTATCCTCATCTTTCACTTTTAGTAAACTATAGAAGAATGAATAGTTGGAAAATGTTATTTTCTGGGGTCTTGTCTTCTATTCTGGGAAGGGGATTGTCATGTTTCAGCCTGATGCTATCCATGTTACCTTTTACCTCAGGATGAAGAATACTACCTGGTGAAGTGGCGGGGTTACCCTGATTCAGAGAATACCTGGGAGCCCAGAAAGAATCTGCGCTGTATCAGTATACTCAAACAGTTCCACCGGGATCTAGAGCAGGCATTAATCCGGCGAGGATGCAAGCTCAGAAAGAATATGCGTGTGCTTGACCAAGGCATCTCCAACTACCTAGTACAGAAGGCAAAACAGCGGCGAGCTTTGCAGCATTGGGAGTATGAGCTCAATGCTAAGCGCAACCACAAGGGATGCATTGTGGTAGAAAATGAGGTGGACTTGGATGGGCCTCCCCGGGACTTTGTCTACATTAATGAGTACAAGGTTGGGGAGGGCATCACTCTCAATCAGGTGGCTGTGGGCTGTGAGTGCTCAGACTGTCTGTCAGAAGCTGTGGGTGGTTGCTGCCCTGGTGCCTCACACCATAAATTTGCCTATAATGAGCTGGGCCAAGTGAAGATCAAGGCTGGCATGCCCATCTATGAGTGCAATTCTCGCTGCAGCTGTGGGATTGACTGCCCCAACCGTGTGGTGCAGAAAGGCATTCGTTACGACCTTTGCATTTTCCGGACAGATAATGGGCGTGGCTGGGGTGTGCGCACACTGGAGAAGATCCGCAAGAACAGCTTTGTCATGGAATATGTGGGAGAGGTAGGATGTGCAGGTGTGAGGCAGATGTTGAGTTGTTATTCATGGTGCAGAAGATTAAAGCAGGTTCCAAATGCTAAGCAGTGGCAGGCAGCCTGGTATTCTCCAGATATTTTTGGCCACAGTTCTGACAATCCATGACTACGGAATGTTGGGAGTTGTAGGATTTGTTTATATATGTCTAAACATGCATAGAAATGTACCCTAAGTCTCACTTATTCTGATAGACTATAATGGATGGGCTGACTGCTTGGAATGCTTTTGTCAATCACAAGTAGCTTCTCACTTGCATTTTAAAGGGTCAGGCAGTAGGTATTTACATATAAAACAGGGAGAGGAATTTGATATATGCCAGTTAATTTGGGCATAATGAAATAGACAAATACATTACATTCTACAGAGTCCTTTTTAAGATGCAGAAATCTGAATAAAAACTTTTATGTTGTTTAAGTCCAACTGAAAGTTGTTTTGATCATGGAGAGCTTAAAATAACTGGATGTGCAGGAACTGTGTGACTGATTGATCATGGAGAGCTGAAACATGACAAATATTCTCTTGAGAACTTTGAGATTAGCAAAGGTGTGGAATGAAAATATTGTCTAGCTCCCCTGCCTACTCCCACAAATGGAAACAAGTTCTTTGAATTCTAGGACCAGTACAAATGGGGAAGAGTGCCTGGCTTCCTTGCTAGTTCAAGTGGAACAAATAGCTGTACACTCTAGAAAGAAGTTGCAGTATGACTCTTGTGGGCTTGGTTCTCATGGAAATCATTTTCTATTGCCACATTTAATATAGCATTTGCTTTGTGAGGCAGCTGCAAGACAGGAGTGTTAAGGGGAACATTTCATTTTGCTCATTGTTCAAAATAACTGTTACACAGCAGAATAATGTATGTTGGACCTATCAATTGGCCAAGGGAATAAAGGCTGCTGAGTTACATAGAATCATAGAATAGTAGTGTTGGAAGGGGCCATGAAGGCCATCGAGTCCAACCCCCTACTGTTTGCAGGACACCATGTTACACATGTGTGTTTACAATAATCTATAAATCACCTTGAGGATTATTCCATCGAAAGGTGGGATTTAAATTTTCTAAATAAATCAACAAATATATAAGCAACAAAGACATAAAGAAATAAATTCCAACTAATACTTGCAGATACAGGGTAATACAATACAACCACTGTGATGAGGATATACTTTGGAGCCGCCTAGTGAACATCTAGGATTAGAAGAGGATGATTTATTTTAATTGTGTGATTTTTTTTCATTACTCAACTTTGTCCTCTTGAACTTCAACTATCTGTAGATCAATACATCTTTCAGAAGCTTATTCCCTATGGTGGGAATGGTTTTAAAACTGTAGGTAGAAAAATTAGGATGGACTGAGCAACTGAGACAATCCACTATGTAGAGATGGATATATACAGCATGGAAGTCAGGAACATGGAAGGATAATTCACAACAGGGAACTAAGAAAGCGGAGATAGCCCCTTTTCTGTAGTACTCATTGTTTTTTGTGTCTCTTTCAGATCATCACATCAGAGGAAGCTGAACGACGGGGTCAGATCTATGACCGACAGGGTGCTACTTACCTCTTTGACTTGGACTATGTTGAGGATGTATACACAGTAGATGCTGCGTACTATGGCAACATTTCACATTTTGTGAACCACAGTGTGAGTGCAGTAGCCATATTTTGAACATAACTTTTCATGTGGAGTTTTGTCTTACTTTACTCTCAATTCCTGGTTTTTGCTTCTAGTGTAACCCCAACCTACAGGTATACAATGTATTCATTGAAAATTTGGATGAGCGGCTGCCACGCATTGCCTTCTTTGCTACTCGACCTATCCGTGTTGGTGAGGAACTCACTTTTGACTACAACATGCAAGGTGAGAAGAGGAATTGTGGAGAAATTTAGTGGGGGGGCGGTGTTGAGACTTATTGCAGTGACACAATGTCTGGCCAGTGGGGAGAGGTGAAATTAGGACTGATGGTTCCTATTTTTGAATAGTTACAAATTCCAGTTAACTTTCCTCTTTGATTTAAAACTGTCGCTATACTTTATTTGTAAGTTAACTTCTTTTGAAGATTATTATAGCTAGAAGTTAAAGGAGCAGGGAACTAGAGTTTATACTGATTTGCCAAAAATTAGCCTTCTTGCCTGGTGAGGAGCATGGACTGGGTTTTCATGACTGGGGAAGCAAAAGCAGCCACAGTGTCCTTGTAATGGTTTCTTTTCCTCGTGTGCATTGCATGTGTGCTGCTTTAGTTTCATAATAATGCATGCGATGTACAGATTGTAGTGTTACCTGAACTGAGTGGTGAAACTGCCTTCCAAACAACCTTGCAATGCATGGCTTATTCTAGGATCATTTGTCCACCCCTGCTGCTGCCCTCCCTCCATAGTTTTGGATGATACAGTAACCTGTACAGTGTAGGCAATTATGGAAATGAAGTGGCACAGAATTGGAATATACAGAGCAGGAAAAAGAGTCCACTGTGGCTTCATTTCCTTCCATAGTGTACAAAACTGCCCATTGATTAGGAATTGTAATTTGATGTCAGGTGTGCTACAAAGTAAGAGATTCTGACTTTAGTTTTGATCTCATACCTATACATTTCTTAAATAACGAATCTCCTCAACAGTGGATCCAGTAAATGCAGAAAGCACAAAGATGGACTCTAATTTTGGCCTAGTGGGAGGTCTGACTGGCTCACCGAAGAAGCGGATGCGAATTGAGTGTAAATGTGGCACAGAGTCCTGCCGGAAATACCTCTTCTAATTCCTTGCCAGTTTTGCTTGGAAGATACCTGGTCAAGCTTGAATTGGAAACCAAGGACAAGCTGGCAATTGCTGAAAGATTGCAGATGGAGGGTAAGAGTCAGGAACTTACCTGTTTAAACAAAGTACCAGGACCACGAACTGCAGCAAGGGCAAGAGCCCCATTCTCTTGTGCTACACAGCCCCACTTGGTTGCTTCTCACTGCCAGACCAGAGTATTCTTATGGCAGCTGGGGACTCTTCAGTAGGCAGGAAAGTGGTTTGATGTCAGACTTGCTGCTGAGAAGCTGGCTGAAAAGACCATAGGATAGAACACAGCTTCTATCACAACATCTGTGTTTGTCTTATCAGAACCTCAGTTACAGTTTCTTGTTTTTTTAAAGGCTTGATTGCAAGTGCAGCAGGGCAGAGAACACTGGCTAATTTCTTCAATGTGGGTTTCCAAGGCGTAGAAATCTTGCTTTTTAATAAGAAGTACTTCCTAGCTTCCTTTTGGATAGGTGGGGAAACACAGCCATTTGTTGTTGAATTTAATTTGCCTGTACACAAATTCTGTGTATTACCTCAATGTGCCATATGACTGCTGTCTATCTCTACATATTCATGAAATCTCTTAGTGAGGGTGGAAGAGAGATCCATATGATTTACTTGAAATCGCACTTAATACCCATCATGGAGACAAGCCCTATGCAAACCGAAAAGCCACATTGCCTCTTTTAACAAATATGTTCATTTTTAAAAGGAAATGTTTTTTGAAATATATCTTTGGACATGGGTTTGGGCAAAGAATCTAGCTTCTGGAAACAGCTATATTTTGGAAGCTGTTATGAAGTCTTTGAATTATGACTGATGAACTGAATTAGATGGTTGGATTCGTTATTTTGTTTGTGAGATCTTATGCTTTTTACTTAAACCAAAAACCAACCAAACAAAAAAACCCTCAGCTTACTTCAGTGATGTACCTCTTTGTAGAAAATAGGAATTAGAAGCTACTTTAGTGTAACAAATTTCCCCTGACTTTAGCCAAGCAGGTCATACTGGATTCCTTCAGTAGCTCTTAGAACTGCAGAAAGGGGGTTCATTAGTTGTAAGCACCATACACTTAGGTTTGACATACAGAAGTGAAACTTTTAAGATCAAATAATAGCATCACTTTCCCTTGTAATTATAGAACATTTCATAGACTGTTTTAATATACCTTGAACTACAACATTTTTTCCTCTTATTTCTTACCCTTTGATGAAAAAACTTTTCACAAAGTTTTCCCCACGAACTTACTTCTGTAGGTAAATTAAAATGGGGTATCCATAGAGAGCCCACAGAAGATACCTTTTTTTGTCCTGTTAAATCATCTGCTTATTTATTCATATGTATGGACTCGTTTGCTTTGGGCCAGCAATGACAGATTTCACTGCTTTTCTTTAAAGAATTGGACAACACAGAATTTCAGCTACCGCCACCAACTCTTGGAAGGTAGATGCACAGGAAGACTTCATTTCTCAAGGCTATCACTTTTTAAAACCAGATCTGTGTTTGTACTAGTTGCATGAGATGCAGAAGTTCAGGTTTTGGAGAGTAAATGAGAGAGACATCTATTGAATTCTTGCCTGCCATGCAACTACTAAAAGCAGAGGACCAGAGCCAGGAAAAAATACAGCATCATTATCAGGCAACATACTAAGTATCTGCCTGAACGTGAAAACATTTGGCTGCTCTAAACTAAAAGGAAAGCAAGATTAATAGTGTGGAAAGCCTTTTTTTCAGCCATAAGTACTGAGAAAACAACAAAGCGAGCAACTACACTTGCTATTATGTCTTAAAGTGTTTTTACAAGGATGTAGGCCATAAACCAGGGCCATCCGTATCCTAAAGCAGCTACCTCTGGTAGCAGATGCTGGTAGGTAGGAAACAGCATAAGATATTGGAGGATAGTAGGGTTATGCCAGATGGCCTTGCTTTGTGTCCCCTAAGCCAGCCAGCTATCCTTGGGTGTGTTGAAAGATACTGTCTTTCTGCTAGTACTGAAGTAAGATTTAACTGCCAAACTGCTCAACTTCAGCACATGGAATGGGAAAGGGACACCATCTTGTCCCTTGCCTCAGACAACATGTCTTAGGTCAGTATTGCCATAAAGTGTTTTCTGTAATACAAAGGACATAGCAATATTAAACCCATTTTGCATTTGCTTCATGCTGAGTAGAAATGAAAAACTTAATTCCATCTTCACATTTAATGTGCTAGTTTGTTTTTAATTCTATACAGGATACTATGTCTCAGAGCTTATTTTTGCCCTGTTTGGTTCATTTCTTTGCCATTTTTGCGAACTTGAACTCATTTGACTGATAGCCACATGCTGGTCTTGTCTCTCAAGCTCTACCTAGGGCTGCAGTAGTCATAAGTACTCTTATCTGTTGTACCCAACTTCAGAGAAGATTGTGAACTTTGGTTTTATATCTGTAGGGTGGCTACATTTGGAATACAGTATACAGTGCTGACTGTCACTTCTCAAAAAGGCTAGGGTAGAGCTGAAGATGGTGTAGAAAAGAGCAACCAAGATTATCAGGGAAATGGCACACTTCATACTGAGGAAAGACTACAATTTAGGAGTTCTCAAAACTGCTGCAGGGAAAATATGACTAAAGCTTATAGAATTATGCATGAACTTAGAGGAACATGGAGAAAGATAATGTTTCTCCTCAGTGTTAAAATTCAAAGTTATCCAATTAAACTGAGATTCAGGACACAAAAGGAAATATTATTGAGAGCAAATTAACGTAAGGAATTCATTGCCACAAGATGTGGTGTCAACTACTAGGTTAAAAGGCAAATAGGGATTATCCAAATGAATAGAGGACAAAGCTATTGGTTTTGATGGCTATATTCTACCTTCATGTTCAGAGAAACTGTCTTTGAATCCACTGTTGCTCCCCAGCAACTGGTGAGACAGTTTTTTGTCCTCATGTCTTCCCTTCCAGGCTTCCAACAGGCATCTGGTTGGCACTGTGAAAACAGGATGCTGAATGAGATAGTTCTTTGATCTCACTGGAATGGACTCTTAATACAAATATGTATGGGTCACTTGTATGGGCCAAATATTTTATAACAGTTATATACTATTCAAGCAGTACTCCAGAGCTTTCACTAAAAAAGCAGTGATGTCTGTCAAAGACATCCATTTATTTTTGTTAATTAGGGCTAAGGCAAGTTGCAGTTAGAATTCATCAGGAATGCAGCTATATTATTTGTTAGAAGCACATCCAGAGTGTGTGACCTTTCCTTAAATATATGCGTGATCATGGGAGGCTTCTGCTCAAAGTTTCTGTGATACACTGAATCCAAATCAATCATCTATCTAATGTATATATGGAGCTGGAATGACTGCATTACATTTTGCAAGCATTATTCAGCCACTGTTAACACACATTATCTTAATCCTCTCTCATCTATACACTTACAGATCTCTTAACCCTTCATTAGGCTGTTTAGTTTGTTTGCTGCAAAGATGTTGCTTGCTTGCACTTCCATCAATGTAGTTCTTCATCGTGGCCTCTGTGCATCACACATATGGGTGCTGTGCCTGTGCAGTGCCTTTGGCCGGAAGATTGATAGCTAACGGTTTTTGGTGGGAAAAAGCTGCACGCCCTCTCTAGCCTATAAAGAGCAGAGCATCCACCATTTTGTTCAGTCTTTGCGACTGCCGTTCGCTGTGCCTCATGCCGCTTTCGCTATCGCTCTTACCGTTGCTCGTCTTGTTTGTTCTCGATTGTTCTTCTTTCCCAGTTATTATAGCCCTGTTAGTATTAGTAGTTCTTGTTGAAATTCTTGTTCCTCTTGATAGTTCTGTTTTTTCGTTCTAACTCTTTCGATCTTCTATAAAAAAAAAACAAAAAACCAAAAATAGATTCTTACCCTCTGCACTATCTTCTCCTTTTTTCCTTTTCTTACGATGGCGCAGCGAGTGGCTTTCCGCAAGTGCAGGTCTAAGATGTCTCCTGCAGACCTGCATGACCTATGCCTCCTCTGTCTGGGGAAAGGGCATAGGACCAATAAGTGTTCTCACTGCCTGGCCTTCTCTAAGCAGGCCAGGAAAAATCGCGAGAACCGCCTACGAAGGCTTTTGTGGGATCAGGCTCTTCTGCAGTCTGACCCACTAGTCACCACTCCAAGCCTGGCTCTTCCACTGCTCCTCCGCCTCCACGCCCTTCGGCTCTACCCTCTTGCCCTTCGGACGAAGGCGTGTCTACCATGGGCGCTCGGCCCGCTTCTCCGAAGAAGCATGAGAAACACAAGCATGCCAATACCGACAAATCGGCAGGCCACGAGAAGACCAGGAAGGAGAAGGCTCCGAAGCCACCGAAGAAATCTAAGGATCCAGAGCGTCCCAGGCATCGTGACTCGGGTTCGACGGCCCCCTCAGTACTGATGGTAGTCACCGTACCAACTCCACCTGACCCCGCCCTTCAGGTGGCTATGAGGGTTACCCCTCAAGGGTCCCCTCACCGTGTGGCTGACCTTCTGGCAGAGCCTCTCCCAACTCTACCACGGGAGTCGATTTCTGAGGGGGTGATTCAAGATTCTCCCCCTAGGGCTAGGTCTCCCACACCTATGCCCGCAGCCACATTGGAAGCAGATGTTGAAATGTCCCCGCCTAAGAGCCGGAGGAGCCGCTCCATGGAACACCGTTCCGAAGGATGGTACCGTCCCTACTACCAATCCTGGGGCGATCTGCATTCCGTCTGATACTACCCTGGTCCCAGGGGTCGATCTTCACCACCTCCTCACGACCGTCCGCTGTCCTCGGGCCCAAGGCATGTGTCCCCGATACCTCCTCGGGATGAGAGTAGCCGGTCCTTCTCTGCGGCTGAGTCCTCTTCATTGGCTCCCTCGTACTATGGTGCTGCTTCCGATGATTTGGAGGCTGATTCTACCTCCCCAGACATCGCTGGGACCTCCCAGGGCCCTGCGTCACCGGACGAATCGCACGTCTCCTTCGTGGAGTTGATGTCCCGCCTTGTCCAGTCCCTTGAGATCGATGCCATCCAATGTCCGGGACCGAGTACGGACAAATTTTATGACGTCATCCGCAGGGAACAATCTACATCGATTGTCCTGCTGCTGATCACCACCTTGCAACAGGCGATGATGCAACCCTGGGACTTGCCCGCTCACCCTCAACCGACTTCGTGGAGGTACAAATCCATGTACCAGGTTCGGAAGAGGACATACTCTTCCTCCTCCACCACCCCAAACCGAACTCGGTGGTGGTGGAGTCCTCCCAGGGCAGAGAGGCAAGAGGTCGCACCGCACCAAAGGACAAGGAGGGACGGAAGATTGACTCCCCGGCCAGGCAAGTGTACGCTGCCTCTGGCCTAGGGCTGAGAATTTCCAATTACGAGGCAACGCTTGCGAGGTATCAATATTTCATTATGCAGTGCATCCATAACATCGTCTCAGCCCTCCCGGACCACCAGGGTGACCTGGCTAAGGTCTTCGTCAAGGAGGTGATGCAAGTCGCCGTCCAGCAGTTGTCCACTGCCCGACATCATGTGGACACAGACTCAAGGCCTTGGTCGGTGCTGTCTCCCTCCGGAGGCATGCCTGGTTACCGAACTGTAACTTCCCGGAGGAGACGAAGAGGCGAATAGAGGAAATGCCCTTCGATGGGTCCAGGCTTTTCCACTCAAGGACCGACCACAAGCTAAAGAAACTCCATGTGTCTCGCATGACGGCATGGAGGATGGAGCTACAGACCCAGACCAGGCGTAAGTGGTCATGGACCTGTCCATCTCATAGGCAATCATACCAGCCTCGACAGCAGCCTCAACACCGGGCAACAGCAACGCCGCCGTCAGCAGCCTCCACAACGGTACCAGCGGGGCCGTCATCGTTTCGACGGAGATAGGAGACAGCACTGACGGGACGGGCGAACCACTCCTCTAATTCCTTTTATACCCACCCCCCTCTCATCTGGGGACCAGCTGAAAGGCCGACTCCCCATTTGGGAGTCCATCACATCTGATCGGTGGGTATTGTCCATCATACAGCACGGCTATCGGATAGAATTCGACATCGTTCCTCCATCGAGTCCGATCTGGTTTACATCATGCTCGCCGGTATTGCTTGATGAAGTCCAACAACTTCTTCGTAAAGGAGCGATTCGACAAGGGGCCTGGGCGGACGGTCCTCACGGATTCTATTCCAGATATTTTACGGTCCCGAAGTGGGATGGTGGTCTGCGTCCGATCTTGGACTTACGCAATCTGAATCGATTCATCGCAACGAAAAAGTTTCAAATGACCACCCTTTCAAAATATTCTGCTGCTGCTAAGGAAAGAGGATTGGTTCACCTCATTGGACTTGAAGGACGCTTATTTCCACATTCCCATTCTCCCGGATTATAGGTGCTTCCTTCGTTTTGCTTTTGCATCCCAATTATTCAAATTTAGAGTTTTGCCCTTCGGACTGGCTACCGCTCCGAGAGTGTTCACCAAATGTATGGCCCCTGTCTGTGCTTTTCTACACCTCCAAGGGGTACAAATTTACCCTTACCTTGACAACTGGTTGCTGGTGTCCCAATCTAGGGATGGACTTCTCGCCTCCATCCGTACGACCTGTGCCTTATTAGACAATCTGGAACTATGCATTAATACCAAGAAATCTTCTCCTCTTCTGGTACAGACAATTACCTTCATTGGAGCCCGTTTGGATTCTACGGTGGGAAAGGCCTTCCTTCCTCAGGACAGACAACAGACCTTTGCTCACCACATCCATCGAATGCGACGAGACAGCACGGTTTGGGCAAAGTCCATCCAGAGACTTCTGGGGCATATGGCTTCCTCAGTTGCTGTGGTCCCACACACCAGACTTCAACTTCATCCCTTACAACTGTTCAACAAGATGTTCCGTCCACAGAGGGATCCACAAGTTGATTCGAATTCCATCCTCTGTGCTCCATCCTCTACTCTGGTGGTGGGTTCCAGCCAACCTGACTGTGGGGGTTCCATTCAGACCCTGATGCCCTTCAGTAACCCTCGGTACTGATGCATCTCTCCTGGGATGGGGAGCAGTATGCTCTGACCTACACACTCAGGGCACGTGGAATCATATCAACTTCCTGGAACTCCTGGCTGTATTCAAGGCCCTGTGTTCTTTTGAGGACGTTCTCCGACATCGAGTTGTTCAGATAACTTCGGACAATATAGCCACCGTCTTTTATCTGAACAAGCAAGGGGGAACAAAGTCACCGGCTCTGGCCAGACTCTTGATGAAAATTTGGGATTGGTGCATCCCGAGAGACATTACGCTGATGGCAGTCCATCTAGCAGGTATGGACAATGTGGAAGTGGATCTTCTCAGCAGACACATGCTCATCTCTCACGAATGGGAACTAGATCCTCGGACGCACAACCGTCTTTTCCATCGCTGGGGGTTTCCTGATGTGGACTCATTCACCACCCCACAGAACAAGGTGTGCAATGTTTTCTGTTCGAGAGTGGGAATCGGACATGGATCCCTAGGGGACGCCTTCATGATCCCCTGGAGCAACCTGAACTTTTATGCCTTTCGCCTCAGCCCTCTTATTATGAGAGTGATAGCGAAGATAGTACACGACTGGGCCATGGGATTACTGATTACCCTTTGGTGGCCATGCCAAGCTTGGTTTTCAACACTGCTCGACATCTCCCGCGGAGAATACCTCTGTCTTCCACTGCTTCCGTACCTCATAACCCAATGGGACGGCACGCTTCGCCATCCAGATCTACCATCATTGAACTTAACAGCCTGGCGAATCCGATATTTCGCTATCGGTATTGATGGCATCTGCAAGTGTGTCAAATCCTGCCTCCGGATCTGGTGAGTTCAGCGCTTCGTCACTTGTTCCTCCCATGTCATCGGATCCAAGCAACGTCCCTTCAGTGCCAACAGCCTTTCATCCGGATATTCAGCACATCCTTGATTCTGCATTAAAACCGTCTACACGGAAGTCGTACGTGGCAAAATGGCAACGATTTTCGACCTTTGCCGAGTCTCATTCATTCTCTCCATATGCTGCATCTATACATCAGATCCTTCAGTTCCTATTAGAACTGCATCAGTCTGGACTGAAGCTGTCTTCTATTAAAGTGTACATGGCAGCAATCACCTATCATCGTGGCTTAGTTGATGGATCGCCCATCTTCTCTCAGCCTATTATAAAAAGATTTCTGAAGGGACTTCATAATCTTAACCCATCAATCAGACCACTGATGCCTACCTGGAGTCTCTCTGTAGTTTTACAAGCCCTTACGAGAGCTCCCTTCGAACCTTTAGCAACAGTCAATTTACGCCTTGTTTCCTGGAAGACAGCATTTCTTGTGGCGGTTACTTCAGCTCGAAGGGCTAGTGAACTATACGCTCTCCACATAGATCCTCCTTACCTGAATTTTCACAGAGAAAAAGTTGTCTTGTGATTAGATTCATCTTTTCTTCCTAACCTAAGGTAGCCACCTCTTTTCATATGGGACTAGACATTGTCTTACCTGCCTTTTTCCCGTCCCTGACAACTCCGTTAAAAAGATCGTTGTACTCACTTGACGTTCGGCACTGCCTAGCCTTCTATAGATCGAGGACTGAGTCTATTCGATGCTCAAATAAACTCTTTGTCAAATACTCCACCCGAGATCAAGGCGATCCGGTCACTCCTCAGAGGCTTTCCAAGTGGATAGTCCATACAATTACCCTGTCTTATCAGCTGGCTAGTATTGACTTACCTACTGTTCCTCGAGGCCACTCGATTAGGGCTGTCACTACATCCTCTGCTTTTGCATCGGGAGTCCCAATTGATGACGTATGCAGAGCAGCTACTTGGGCAACTCCTTGCACTTTCGCTAAACATTATCGCCTAGATGTTCGTGCTAGGCAAGACTGCTCCTTTGGCAGGACCGTTCTTTCATCTGTTCTTTGTTGAGGACAACTCCCCTCCTCCAATAATGGTAAGCTTGTTAATCTACCCATGTGTGTGATGCACAGAGGCCACGACGAAGAAAAGCAGGTTGCTTACCTGTAACTGATGTTCTTCGAGTGGCCATCTGTGCAGTCACACAACCCACCCGCCGGCCCCGCTTGGTGCCGGTGAGTGGACATTTTTGTCGGTACCGAACGTTTCCCATTATAGTAGGGATATTTTTTCCACATGGGGGCAAACGTTCATTCTTCAAAGACTGAACAAAATGGTGGACGCTCCGCTCTTTATAGGCTAGAGGGGGAGGGGGAGCAGAGCTTTTTCCCGCCAAAAACCGTTAGCTATCAATCTTCTGGCCAAAGGCACTGCGCTACATGTGTGTGACTGCACAGATGGCCACTCGAAAAACATCAGTTACAGGTAAGCAACCTGCTTTTTCTTTAGTTAGTTCTTGCTCCTTCAGAAAATGGCATGATGGTACCCATGAAGAACTTTGAACTATCCCCTCATCAGCTCTTATTTTCCAGGTACCTGCCTGGAAAACCTATTTGGGCAGTGACAGTGGGTTTAGAAATATTTTCTCCCAATTCAGAGACAAAAGAATAAAACCAAGGAAAAAATTACCACAGCAACAATACAGAAGAGTTTCAACACAATGACCCTCCCTCCCTGTTACAATGCCATACATGCTGTGGAAGATAAGTGACAAAAAGCGGCTGCATTAAGTAGCTGCAGAAGTTTGGTCTGAGCAGAGTCCGCTTCATTTGCTTGCAGAGCTTGGATTTGAGGAGCAACTGGTTTTGCATACAACTGTCAGAAATATTGCAGCCAGAGTTCTTGTAATTACCAAGGATGGTGCTAGTAGTGTTTGAAGCATGATAATGTGGGAGCAAATCCTCCATTTACCAGTTGTGGATCCCTAGACCCCAGTTCTAGGAAGACTGGTTGTTGCTTCTGAGAAATATACTGGAGTTAAAAGCCCATTGTAGAGATGAGCAGCTAGTATGCTGTCATATTGAAGGAGAGTCTGTGCACCACAGTAAAGCTGCAGAATTTCATAGGTCCAAGACAGAGTGATAAAGCAGGCTGATTCTTTGAAGTAGATGGCTTAGTCTGGCACTTGATAGAAGCAAAAGAGAGGGTGTTGCTTTCTAGTGCTTGATATCCTTGGGGTGATCTAACACTGAGCATGGTATTTTAACTCATGCTGTGTAAAATGCCACTGGCCCTGTTATTTCCAGAAGGGAAACAGGCCACTGCTGGAACAGCAAAGCAGTTCTGCACCAGCAAGGTGCTGGCTATGGTTAAATGGAATTGGGAGCATTTGATTCCACAGTCATGAATCCAAGAAGAACCCAAATCCTATTCTGCTGATTAACAACCTTGACAAAGAGGCCTTGTAGAATTGTTTACTATCTTTCCTATCGACAGACATTGCTGGCAGCTGTTACCAACAAGAGACATTCTGAAAACAACACCATATGCCACAACAAAAGAAAACAACTTTTCACAATATAACCAGGACCCTATATAGCAACCCTGCTAACTGAAAAGCAGGGGAGCACTGGGCGCTGGTGCACTGCTAGAGGTATGCTCAGAACTTTCCTAGCTGCAGAAGATGTACAGGTCCAACCAGGGGAGTAAAAATTGTCCCTTTAGTCTTCTTTTAAGGTTGTGACTTTCATCGGTCTGTTGCAACCATCTTATGAAATATTTTTTCCTCAATTTGCCAAGGGAAGGAATGCTACTTCTGTTCTCTCTTCCAGACAATAACCATGCCTTTGGCATCACTGGATGCCAACAGGCTCTCATCACAATTAAAGCTGACATCCAGCACAGCAGCACTGTGACCCTGCAGTTTGTTAACAATAGCCTTGGTGGCACGCTCCACGTCAAAGAAGTAGACACACATATCCTCACTGCCGGTCACTGAAATATACAGAAAAGAGTTATTAGAGGAGGATAAAAGCTTCCCTAAACTATAAACTCTTTATAAATGAGAGGACTGCAATTCCATTCTAACCCTGCTGTAATTACTGATACTCATACTGACAGTAACATGAGACAAGGCAACTCCAGGCATGAAATTAGCAGCCCTTTAGAAATCCCAGGAGAAAAATAGCAGCTCTGCATGCACTTCACAATGTGATCCCATGAGTATCGTACCAACACAAGCTCCCTGGCGGAAGGACATGAGGGGACAAAAGATGCTGCGAACAGGATGCGAGCTCTGTTGTATCTGGAAACTTCTCTTAAGCTGGAGTGTTCCTTCATTGTCCACTACCCTGTCAAAAAAGTATTCAGAATAGATATAGGAACAGCACTATCCAGTTTCTACCCTATAATAGGGGATTCATTAGCAATCTGTTTATATGAGTAAGTAGTTAACTTCTAGAATAGCAGTACCACATAATGCCCCATACCTATATAGCAGAAGTTTGTTGATGCATGCATTGATGAGAAGGGAGGGGTCCCGTGCTTCTCTACTGATCCAGGAGCGGGCTGAGATACTTGTGATGGAGCTGCCTTCATTAACTACCAGCCTCTTGGCCTTGGTCAGTTTTCCTGCAGGTAGGTGGAAAACAGGGCTGTGTCTGAGCCAAACTAGACTAACTAATTGGTGTCCCTGCAAGGTGCCCCATCCCATTCCAGGCTCACCTGTTGCCATATCAAAGAGGAAAGAAAATACGCTGCCTTTGTCATCTCCTGCCCAGAGGATACGGCCCGGGGAATCAAAGGAGAGAGAGAGTACGCGGCCAGTTAGCTTGCTTGAACCACCTTTCACTTTCTTCCCTGTTGAGATGTTCACCACATGTAGGTTGTGCTTTCCATTCCCCACCTTGTGGAAAAATAAAAATATCCATCCATATTACTCTACAGAGAAAAATACAGTAAACACATTATCTTATTTCACTGTTCTTAGGATCTCTTCACCTCCACCTTGCTTTATTAAAAAGCTGGAATACATATAGGGGGAAAGTTAAATATTTCCTCCTATATTAACTCCTTTCTTGTGTACCAACCCACATGCTTCCCTCCATATTGCCTAAAAGCAGGGAAGACCAGTAGTACCAACATTATCCCATATTGTTTTTGACTCCACCAATTCATTTCTTGCTTCCTATGGAGAGAAATCCCCATCCCATCTAAGTTGGTGTCCTCTCTTTACTTGCTCAGAGGGGGAATCACAGCTTCTAGACACTACTCTTCACTCACCACTGTAAGATTGTTGTTCATTGGCTGGAAAGTGCAGCAGAGCAGTTCAGAAGCATCTGGATCTGCAATCTCCCGGATGCATTTGCCATCTTCCGTTGCCCAAATGCGCATTGTGGCATCAAGCGAAGTAGAAACAATAATGTCATTGGAGAGGGACCATGCAAAGTCAGACACCCCACGGCTGTGTCCCTTCAGCACCCGCAGCACCACAGGGGGAGTGGGCACTAACTGGCACACAGAGATGGTTCCATCAAGTGAACAGCAGGCTAGTAGGTGCTTGTCATCATTAGCAAACTGAACCTTAGGCACTGGATAGGAAGGAGGAGGGAATGGTTGTTAGTTGAATGTTGACAGCATGTGCAAGAACACCTCTCCCCACAAAGAGCCTGTTGGGTTTAAAAGATATTTAGGGTGCAATTCAATGCATATTTTGACAGAAGAAAAAACTACAAATCCTGGCATTGTTCAAGTGACAATGCTGAAATCTGTACAATACAAAAAAAGGTGCAAAAGTGGCCAGAAATGATAACTTTGATGTAAAGCTTAAACATCTTTTATTACTAATGTGTAACTTCCCATTACCAAACAAAACAAAAACAAAAACCAACCCATCCCAGCAAGAATGTATAATTACGGGAAATCTGGCTGCCTCCACACAACTCCCTCTGGTAAAGGTATTCACTTAAAGCACGGGTCTTCAAACTATGCCCATTTAACCGACCCACCCCAGAGGTTTTGCACTCACTGCACGTGCACATGCATGCACAGGCATGCAGCTTGCTCGTGCAGAGATTGGTTTGGATTTGCTCGGAGAATACGATCTCCGCTCGAGCAAGAGGCTTCCTTGCCCCAATTATTTTTCCACACACCATCTACAGACTTCCCTGTGCCAGATAGCACTCAGATAACATTATGCCTTTCCTGCTTCAACACAATTACTCAGCTCTTGGGAGTGTTTTGCACAGTGTTGTGGGGGAAGGGAAGTATTCTATTAGGCTGCTGAAGAGGATGCAACACACTGATGCTTGCTTACTGGCAAAAGCACCAGCTCTCCCAAGCTTCCACCTCTCCTGGCTCTTGCTGTCACCCCAAGAATGCAAAAATAATCTCTCTTCTTGGTCTGGCATCATTTAGCATGTATCTTTCTTGGCAAGGACAACCATCATATTGTTTCAGTTCATATTATACATGCCACTAATGTGACATCAGGAAGTCGAAAGGAGACTAGTAGTCAGTCTAAAATGTCATTTGCTTCTAAATTCTTGGACAACTCACCAGCCTCATCCACATGCTGGTCAAAGATATGGTACATTCCAGCAAAGGCATAGTTCTCACTTAGTGTAGTATCCCCGGCCATGGCACGACTGGCTTCTGCCACTGAAGTGGGGACAACACTGCCTGGGGGTCTAAGGAAAATGAAAATGCTGAGATAAGATGCAGGCACACTATGCAATGGAGGCAGTGCGGGGCAGCCAAGATTTAAGCAGATAACTTTTCTTCTGTATTGGAGACAGAACAGTGCCCAGGGGTTTTGACTGCCATCAACACTTCCTGATCAAAATTTGCTAGCAAAGCAATTGGAATGCATCAAATGAGCAGTCTGAGGTGCATTGCAAGTCCAGGCCCACTTTTTCCCCCAGACAAAGTCTCCGCTGTGTATACCTCTCATCATAAACAGCTCGATTCATTTGAGCCTGCAGCTGGTAGGACCCTCGGCTGACAGAACGGCGATGGCCACGGGCACCCAGTGATCTTGGATCGTCATCAAAATCCTATGGCACAGCACATAGTTACATTTGAAGGTGGCAAGCAACTGGAAGACATGTTGCAGGGAAATGATATGCTGAAGGAAGAGCAAGGCATGCTTCCCAGGTGAGGGAAAACACAAAAGAAATAATACTCAACAGTACAAAACTCAGATTTGTAACATAACATTCCGTTTCCTCTTTTCTATTGTCTATTTTCTAGTTCTTGCACCTCAAAATATATGGGTAGTTGCTAATAAAGACTCTGAAACCTGAGAAGCTTTCTGGTTTTCATAATTTCTAATAGTTACTGTGTTTTAGACTTGCTTCTGCCCTTTCTACTTAAACTCCATTATCCCATTTTTTTTCAGTTTCAAAGTCTTTGGCACCCCAAACTTGCAAAGCCTTTATACAAAGATATTTGTGTAAGTCTATTGTAGATCAATAGACAGGTTACCTAGGGGATAAGAGTACACATGACCCTTATAATGGCAAAAGGATGCTGTGCTGCATGGAACAGGAGCTTTTATAGTCCTGCTTTCAAATAACAATGTACTTAATAGGAGCCATTCTCTTCTCACACCAATATTAACTTCAGCATTTCAGTAAGGCATCTACAGGCCGCCTCCCCACAGAGCTCTACACAAGCTTCAGTTCAGTACAGCATCCTCCCTGTCAAAATGCTATGGGCTAGTATCACTCTGGTTCCACGGCTGCCCTCGGACACAAGAATCCTGGTTACCTCCATGCGGTCAAGTGTGGTACGACTGCTTCGGACAATGCTGTTGCTGTAGGCGCGGAAGCTGCTCTGTTCCGAGAGGGGGCCGTAGCGCTGGGCCAGAAGCTGGCTGCGCACCCGCAAGTACTGCTTACGAAGTGAAGGGTCGTAGCCGGCTTTGGCGTTGTCTCGCAGCAGCTGGCTGCGCCGGCGGATGTACTGTGTGCGGAACTGTGGGAAGTTGGGAGTGCGGTATGCGTTGTACCTGCAATAGGGGTTGGTGCATCAGCTGCTTAAAGCCTGAACCAATGGTGTCTTTGTTGGGCCCAGCCCACTACTACTGCTTTTCTTTAGCATCATGCTGGGTTAACACCAACTGAGGGGAGAGAACCTCCTGTAAAATTCCCTGCAACACAGTATCCTGCATTACCATGCAGGGGTCAATACTCAGCTGACAGGCCTGCAGTGAGATGTCAATAAGTGTCTGAGGATACTGAGTGAAAAACTCAAAATTCTGGAATGAAACCAATATTGCTGGAGAAAGTATCAAGCGTAAACACGAAACGGTGTTCAAAAGCAGGCTCCCACCAAACTTGAATCTCGGGTTCTCACACTGGACATCCATCTCCCTGGGCAACTACATTAGGATCACCCAGCTCCTCTAGCATTCCCTTCCCAGCAGTGAAGTACTGTGCCCAAGGCACCGGTAGGTCCTGCCCCATTAGACTTACCGAGCATCTACAGCCAACACCTGCTGCCACACTGCTGCCATGCCCCACACTGCCACTGGCCGCTCAGGGGAGCTTGTAAGTGGGTGCCTGCAATGAGACAGTTACGGTGAAGTCAGCCTCAGTGATGTGTGTGTAAAGGAGCCCAATCTAATGCCCCATTCCATCAGCAAGCCAGAAATTGTTCTGTGACGGGTTTGGACAAAATAAGGGAGCACCAATTCACACAGCTGACAGGTCTCTGCCACCATAGTATATAATTTTCTGCAGAGTAAGAGTCTACTCTGTCCAGTATTTGGAGCACTTCATACTCCATGAATCAACTTTTCTGGAAAGAAAGATTTAAAATTTTACTGAAAGGAGCTAGGATGCTGCCTCCCCATACTGGCAGCAAATTTGTGGTACTTCAACAGGGATAGCAAACTGGAACAGTGAATCGCTTTAGGCCTACAACACAACACTGTCTGTCCTCCCACTCAGGACCTATTATCTTAATGACTCTTGGCAGCTCTACCCAGGGAAGGTTCTATCTCCTCCCCTTACACACATAGCAGATCTGAAAAGAAAGATCCAGCTCCCACGTTTAGGACACTGGCTGTGGTTGCTTTAGAGTATCTATATAAAATAGCAGCAGCTTGTGAGTTCCAAGTAAGATCCAGTCTTCTACACAATATTATCTAGTCTCCCAAAATTGTCCCTCATGCCCACCCCCCCCCCCAAAAGGAGGCAAAAGAGGGATATGGATTAGCAGCAGCTATGGCAAGGACACTTTGGAACAGATCACTTTTGACTTCAAAGAGGCCCAAACTGCTGATGAGAGAAGTGCTGTGCCAAATGAGGAGATGGAAGGGGATAGAATGGGTTGATACATATGGGATAGGAAGGGATGTGTGGGGCAAAATCACGGGGGGGGGGGGAGGAATTGCATACAATCGTGAGGATTGCATGGAAAACGAATTAATTATGGTGATCGGGTTATATGGCAGGGGAGAAAGAACGCGGGAGGCTTGCGGGTTAAAGATGGGGTGGCACCGGCTTGTTTCTATGGTGATGGGGAGAAGTCGGGGGGCGGGAGAAGACAGACGAGGGACGTAGTCGCGGGCTTTTAGGGACAGGGAGGGTGGAGGGAGTGCGGCGTCCTAAAGGGGAGAATGACCAGCGGGTCTCCATGGAGATAATATCGTTTGTCAAAGGGGAGGCCAAGATTCCGGGACCAGAGGTGTGCCGGCTTGTTTCCACGGTGACAGGTCCCGGGGAGGGGGCATTATGGGATGGGAGCAGGGTGACGAGTCGGGACGGATCAGCATCCCGAAGGGGTTAGGGAAACTTGGCCTGGGATGGTACCTGCAGCGGCTCCCGGGTGGTCCCTGCAATGGCCGGCGGCGGCGGCGGCGGCGGCGGCGGCAAAAGCAGCGGAAGAAAAGAAGAAAAAAGGAGGCGGAACATGGGAGGTGGAGCTCCGCCAGCACCAGCCCTGAAGCAGGAGCAGCGCATGCGGATCGCCGCTCCCCGCCCCCCAACATTGCCGCACAAGGCGTCATTTTCCACTCCAGTATGGTGGCCTCGCTGCAAGGCCGGAAGGGACGGCTTCTAGGCTGCGTGGATTGTGGCAGCGGCGTTCACGGTGATCTGTGCGCAAAGCTCAAGAAGAGTGCCCTTAAGCTGGTGCAGAGTGCATTTCCCTCCCGGTTAAGGGTTAGGGCAAAGGGATCGAGAGATGATTGGGAGCAGTTGCGGAATACACGTGAAAAAAAATCCCCCCTCCCTCTCTTCTGTGTTGTATACATTACTTCTGCCAAGGGTTCACCGAAAAGCATTCCAGTTCGAATCCTGGCTCCGCAGTAGTTACAGAAAATGCGGGGAGGGCACTGTATTCCACTGATGAGAGAAAATGACTGCACATTTTGGTAATTTGGTTCCCACCCCCACCAAAAAAGTGGATCTCAGGATAACTAGCAATAAAATCTTGATTACAACCAAAATGTTAACTGAAAAAATAAACACAGTGAAAACAATTAAAAATGTAACAACAGAATTAAACCAATTAACGGCACCAATGGTTAGGGAAACACTTCAGAAACTGCCCACTTTACCAAAGGCTTGCCTGAATAAGATTGAGAGAGAGCACCAACCATCAGTCATCAATTCAAATGAAGACTGCAGCCAAGAAATTTTCTTTAAAAACCTGAGTCTTGGAAGGGCAGCAAGGAAGAAAGTAGAAAAGATCATCAAGCTTCTCCAGAGACTAAGGTCAAGCTCATTCACACTCTTTTATTCCCAATCACTGTGTAGGGGTGTGAAAGCTGGGCAGTGAAGACAGCTGACAGGAAGAAGAGGGATGCTTTCAAAACATGGTGCGGGGGAGAGCTTTGCTCATAACCTCAACTGACAGAAAGATGCACAAGTGGATTCTAGATCAAATCAAGGCAGAACTTTCCCTGGAAGCAAAATGACACAACTGAAGCTGTTTTGTCAGGCACATCATAAGAAGGCAAGACTCACTGAAGAAGGCAATTGTGCTAGAGAAAGTCAAAGGCAGAAAAAACAGAAGATGGATTGACTCCATAAAGGAAGCCACAAGTTGCATTTACAAGAGCTGAGCACAGTTGTCAAGGATGGGTCATTCTGGAGGGCATTTATTGGTATGGTTGCCATAAGTCAGAGACAACCACATATGACAGCAAGTGGGTGTGGCTATGCAAATACAGAATGTATATGCTCCAAGTCACTCTCACCTATTACAATTAGGTGCTCTATTCCACAACAGTGTTGAGGATTTCAAAAACAGAGTTGCATTCTGACTTGGCAGTGCCAGTAATGGAACAAAAGATAGATCAGGAACCTGGGGGTGCAGTGGGGAAGATAATGGACATTGGTGCTATGAGAAAGCTTTTGTTTCCATAAAGCTTAATGTGCAAACTTATTCAAAAGAAAGTATTATGACCAATGGGCCTTCCCTAGTAAATGTGCTTAAGGTTACAGCTTATGTTCATGTCACTGGGTTTGCCAGAGCTGTTTAATTTTGAAGTAACCTCAATAGCAGTGCATTTACGTGTATGTGTGTGTATGTCACTATTAATCTAGAAGGACAGAAAGTGAAACCTGTGTGTATGTACATGAGTGTATATGAGTATTAGAAAGATGGGAGAAATGAATGGGTATATCTTTAACTGAAGGGGCAGAGGGAAATGCCAGATCCACCCAGATTACACCTTCTCCAAGAATTTAGCCCCGAATTGTTCACATGACTTATACATGGCTACTGCGGGGAGGGGCAACCAGAGCAGTTTGTTGTGCTCCCCCAGCTGTCTATTGCACAGTTGAGTCCCACATATGCAAGGGCCTTCTGGAAATCAGCAAAAGGACATCTGATAATGTATCCACTATAGGTCCCATATATCCTCTGGGAAGCTAGACCTGGCATAAAAGGGGCAGATCTACACAGAGAGGCCCTGAAGGGCCACCTGATGCAAAACAAAGCCAGGCTTTTGCATTAACAGGGTAAAGGAAGGAATTTGGGCAGATGCTGCTTTTGTCACCATTACAGAGAAAGCTGCATGTGCCAAAGCTTGCTTTTCATCCCTCTGTTAAGGATCCAGGACATCACCCGCTTTATCAATTGTCGTCTTCTCGGACACTGGATAGGAATTCTCCCCCACTCTCCCTTGCTAATTCTCCTACCATGGATTGTCACTCTCCCGCTGCAGGTTGGTGAGGTCAAGTGGCCTACGGCAGGGTAAAAAGAGTGTGGACTGGGAACCGGTTCGTTTGGGTTCATTTCCTAGTTCAAATGCAAGGAAAGAAGCTGCATTCTCACATGTTCAGGCAGAGAGAGAGATAACCAACCACCCAGTCAGAGGCAACACAAGACAAAATCTCAAGGCGGACCAAACCAAGGCAACTTACTGCACTTTTCTCCAGCCTCCAGTCTCCCAGCTGCTTCCAGTCAAAGAACTTTTCTTCCGTTTCTCAGGTGTCCGAGCCATAATTGACCTACATACACCACTCCAGGTAAGCCAGCTACACCTGCTAGGCTGCAATGTGAGACTTCATATGGAGAGGGTGGAACTGCTTTGCAAATATGTCAGTGATAAGGGCTAGGACCAGCCCATTCCCTGGAGAGCATGGAATAGCAGTAGGTGCCTTGTAGTGTGTAGTGACTGGAACCTGTGTTCCTTTTTTTTCCAGAAGTGTAGTGTCAAGGGACAGAGAACAAAGGTACACTGGGGATGTACAATCAGAAGAACATGACAGTCTATTCAAACAGAGAGGAAATACATATCTAGCATCTAGGTAGCCTAAAAGGAACTACAAAGAAGGATTCTGTACAGAATGCTTTTATAATCTATTAGTCATAGACATAGCTTGGAGGGGGGTGAGATCATTTTGCAGAAGGCAGTGCAGACAAAAGTGTTAAAAAGGACAAAAGAGGATTAGTTTTCAGTGCAGACACACACTAGCGAATGTATACAGGTGTATTTGAGGAATCGGGACTAACATAGTTTCTAGACCAGAATTCCATCTTGACAGCCTAAAGTTGTTCTTCACAGTGTCAGGTTTCAGCAGGCATATGATGAGTTTTGGTTCATTTAGTCCTGACAATAGCCACAACAATTTCAACAAGACTTTACAATGAGTTTGCACAGGAATTCTAGTCATAGGGATACAAAATAGAGTTCCTTTGCTAGAGACAAGAGAATGCTTTAAATCTGGTTCAGCACACAAAAATTAAGTTAGGGGATTTTTTCCCCCTGACATAAAGATAAATGATGTAAAAGCACCTAGATTAAGTTCTGGAGGTGCAGGGTTGGTAGCTGGCTGAGGTCTACTGCAGCAAAAGCAAAAAATAGTCTTGCAATGCCTTAAAAACTAATACTTTTATTTTGCCATAAGCTTGGAAGTGGGCTATAGTTGATAAGAATGCTGTAATGCTTTTTGTTGCTTGTTGCTTTTATCTAGATAAATGGGTTTGAGACTGGTGCTAAAAAGCAGAAGAATACAGCTTGGGTTGGGGAATGACAACTTCACAGCAAGCAGTCTCATGCACTTTCTTAAGAGAGACTCCCTAACGTCTGTGTGGAAACTTCTTGAACATCCAGAAGATCAGGCTGTAAGCTGAGCACTAGTTAGAAGGCTATTTAAGAGTATTTATAGATTTATACATCAAAAGACTTCAAAGGGTGTATGCAAATCCCAGAAACATTTTTTAAGGACCAACACAATGAGATATATCTTGATAACATGGTAGGATGCAGGAAGGCTTGTATAACGGGGGACTTTAACGTGAGCCCCCAAATAGATCATAAGAGCCTTGCTGGATCAGGCCAAGGGCCTCTAATCCAGCACTCCGCTCACACATTAGTGAATCAGCTGCTCATAGGATTTCACAAGTAGGACATGAGTGCAACGGCAACTGCTCTACATGAGCATACAGTCTATGATCCTGGAGGTAGCCATTAGCCCTGGTGCTTTCTGCTCCATGAATTTGTCAATCCCCCTTTAAAGCTGTTCAAGTTGATGGCCACTACTACATTTCATGGAAGTGAAGTCTCTAGTTTAACTATACTCTGACTTACTTCAATCTATCTTGAATCTCCCACTCATCAGCTTTATGGGCTGCTCTTGTTGGGTTCTGGTTGTGTGTGTGAAAGAGGTGCCCCCCTCCCCCAGGGCTTTGTCATAGAACGCACCGGAACGGCGTTCCAGCACATTTTTTTCCAATGGATTTTACGAAGTGATTTTGAATCGTAGCAGATCAGCAGCAAACATCATTAACATAGTGCCTGTGGGCTGCTTTTGTGTCTGCTACCTGCTATCTGATAGTGAGGGCGCTGCTCCGCTGGGGGTTGGTGTGTGTGGTCGCGCGCTTACTGCCGGCGGCGAAGTGAGTTCCGGCACTTTTTTCTTTTCTTTTTTACAAAAAAAGCACTGTGCCCCCCTATCCACTTTCTTCACTTCGCTCCCCTCTTTTCTAAGCTAAACCCTCCCATGTCTTGTACCCTTTAACTCATTGGAGAGTTGCTCCAGTCCCTTCATTTATCTGCCCTTTCCTGCACATTTTTCAAGTTCTACAATATCCTTTCTTTAGGAGCCAAGATCAGAACTGCTCACAGTATTCTAAGTGTGGCCACACCACAGGTCTGTATAAGAGGAGTGCCATGATACCAGCCATTTCATTTTAATTTCCTACTTATACCGAACATATGGGCTGTTATCAGCCATTTTATTTTAATTTCCTATTTATACTGAACATATGGGCTGTTTTTTTTCCCCGCACCATGGCCTGATCTATTCCATAAGGAAGTTACAGCTACTTTCGGTTTCCAACTGAAGGGGCATGCAACACCAAGATAATAAGGCGGGTGCTATTTAATTTTGGGGTTCCTCCTATCTCCTATTTTTGTCTTTTAAAGAAAGGAAAATACCAAAAATATCTCGATAGGCGGGGCGCTTTTGTTGTTGTTTGTCGTATTTTTGCAACTATTTAATTTTCTATGAACCTCAGGTCGCAATTGAACGCAAACTTAGAACGCGGTCCATGCTGGGAATGATGCATCTAAACTGACTTACTACCGTATATTCATTCAGTCTTCTTCCGACCTTCTCAAGATGGAGAAAGGAGCCGCCCTGCCGCAGCCCCCGATGTCTTTACTGTCCAATCGTTTTGTACTCTAAGCTATTAGGCGGGGGTTGTTCGGTTTTCAGAGCACCAGTTGGTGGCATTCGGCGGACGGGGCGGGGAAAAGCTCTAACTGGAAGGGCGGGAGAAAGCTTGCAGAAGTGAACGCAGTGACTCTTGGGGCTCGGCGGATCATGACGGCGGCAGCAATAGCTGCAGAGTGAGTGTGTTTTATTATCTCACGTGACAGTACAGTAGACCCCCCCCATTAAATAATGGTATTTTCCATTAGGTGGAAAAGGGGGTCACCTCGATGGAATAAGCTATTGCATCTGATGCGGGGAGATTAGTAGGAATATGTTAGATCCTGAACTAAATGGGGAGCGGGCAGTTTGCGTTTGGGTGCTTCCCATCGCTTTTTTCAAAAGTAAACGGCAAGCTGGCTGTGCTCTACTTATGGCCCTTGCTGCTCATTTTGATGAATGGGCCCCTGGAGTCCCGTCTTGAAGGGCTCTGAGGACTTTTATTGAACATGCGTCTGCTACGTTACTGTTTTTGGTTAATTGACTGCTTAGGCTCTTTAAGATAATGAGAAAATTATAATTTGACTCATGGAAGACAAAACCTACCCCTTCTTGTTCAAAGGAAACACTGTTTCCCCTTGTTCCTTAAAATAACAAAGGGCCTGAATCAAAATAGCTATGGGCCTGCCCATCTTCCCCAAATGCTCCTTCTGTTTCTGCTGCAACATCACAATGTTGGCTTGTTTATTTTGTGCTGCTGTGGCAATCTGAGCATCTACCTGGAATGATGGCTTCTGCATGTGCCTACCCTTTTTCACTAGTGGCAATCCTGCAATCACAGACTGGCACAGTCTTGTTTGTTTTCTTAGATTTTTATCCTGCCCCATAGCCATAGCCTGTTCCAATGATGTATCGCTCTTCCCCACATTTGGCAGGGGTTGAAGAGGGGTTGGCACACTGGGGATTCAAAACGCGGCAACACCTCAGCACCAGAGCTCTCTCTAGGATGCATCCTATGCATGTTTTGACAGGAAAAAGGACTTACAAAAGTCATACATGGCTTGTTGGGGAATGCGGGGAATAGCAGGGCTTTCCCCTATCTGTCCACACATAGGATTGCTGCCTTAATACCTTGTCTCATTTAATTTTCTTTTGCCTAGTTCTGATTTTTCTCTGTTTAGTTTGTTTTTTAGAAAAGCATTTTTCTGAGAGAAGAAATGTTCTTTTGACCCAGTATTTTGAAGCTCTTAATTCAGAATAGATTTAGGTTTTGTAGAGCTTTTAAAGTCAAATTCAATTTTTGTTTGTTTACTTACGAAGCTCATGCTTCACTATTTTGTATTTTTCCCTGGATTAATTTTTTCATTTGAATTTTTCCGAGTTCTATATACAGTGTCTATCTTTCTGAACTTTTATCTGAGCCGCATGAGTTTGTCTCCTCTGTTTGCCTAGGTACCTGTACATCTTCCATCTTCAGGTTAAACTTAAACTTCTCTGTAGCTGAAAACATAAGATTTAACTAGTTTGGACTGGAGGGTGCAGTTTAAGGCTTACTAATAGAAACATAGTGTTGGTGGTAATTTCTGTTTTTTTCTTTTGTAATGCAATCCTGTGTGTTTTTGTACTCCGAAGTAAGTTCAGTGGGGCTTCTTTGCAGGTAAGTGGATATAGGGTTAATCTTGCATAGATTGCTGCTCTTTTTCTTTTCCCATTGTACTGACTTGTCCCTTACATTCATTTTTGTTCTCTGTATTCCTAGTTTATTTTCCTTTTCTGCTCCCCACCTGCAGTCAATCATTGGATGTATCTATTTTTCCATTTATAGGCTGCTCTCAGATCTCATCACAGCCTGCTTTTGTTAGTGAATAAATCACATTTCTGACTCTTGTCTATTCTGGTTGCCACCAGTAGCTCATTGAAGCAGTTCAACATGCCCATAATATTTTTCCTGATTTTTCTTTCATTTTTGGCTTTCTTTTTTTATGCAATTCCCCAGTCATGTGTAAAGCAACTTCTACCTCTGCATTCTAAGCCAGCAGTCATCCAACCTTGTGCTTTTCTTACTGAAAAGAGAAGTGACAGCAGGCAAAATTCTCTCTGTAAGGCAACTTGCCCACCCGCACCAATATTCTGGTGTAATGTGTAGCTACCAGAGAGTGTTAAGTGTGTTCAGGGCCTCTGTTTCTGTTGTTGTTGTTAGTTGTGAAGTTGTGTCCGACTCATCACGACCCCATGGACAACATTCCTCCAGGCCTTCCTGTCTTCCGCCATCCCCTGGAGTCCACTTACACTCACGCTGACTGCTTCAGTGACCCCATCTAGCCACTTCATTCTCTGCCGCCCCCTTCTATTTTAGCCTTAAATTGCTCCCAGCATTAGGCTCTTTTCCAGTGAGTCCTTCCTTCTCATTAGGTGGCTAAAGTTTCATCTGCAGTATCTGGCCTTCTAAAGAGCAGTCGGGGTTGATCACCTCTTAGACTGACTGGCTTGATCTCCTTGCAGTCCATGGGACTCGCAGGAGTCTTCTCCAGCACTACAATTCAAAGGCCTCAGTTCTTCAGTGCTCACTCTTCCCTATTGCAACTGGGTAAACCATAGCCTTGAATACACACTTTTGTTGTCAGAGTACTAGCCCTCTGCTCTTCCCCAGTAGCACATTGGACACCTTTCGACCTGAGGGGCTGATCTTCCACCGTCATCTCTTTTTGTCTTTTGGTACTGTCCATGGGGTTTTCATGGCAAGGATACTGGAGTGGTTTGCCATTTTCTTCTCCAGTGAATCACGTTTTGTCAGAGCTCTGCTATGACCTGTCTGTCTTGGGTGCCCCTGCACAGCATAGCTCATAGCTTCATTGAGCTACACAAGCCCCTTTGCCATGACAAAGCAGTGATCCATGAAGGGACTGTTTCTGTTACTGTGGGGCAAAAGTGAAGCATAGAAACCTTGGCAAGATCAACCAACTGTATGCCCTATGGAGCCAGAAGTCAGTCAAGATTCTCTGCCAGTGTGGAGGGTCTTCATGGCAGTTGGATCATGTGGAAACGGCTCCTGAGATTCATGACATTTTGAAAACCACTCTTCTAGCTTCCTCTCCTGCTTGCTTCTCCTCCTCAGGCTCCTGACTCAGCTGAAGGATGCACTCACTTTTGAGGGCCATGCCAAAGATGGTGCAGAGTCTGAGTTACCAGTGGAGGTCTTGGCTGAACATGCAGTGGTGAGTCCCAGCCCTGCTTCCCTTAATGGGGTGCTGTGTCAGTCCTGGCTGACAAAGTGCTGGGAGCCCCTTGTGCTCTGGGGCACTAACTCCAACTCCCCCACCCACACACTTTTGGTATATGCTTTCCAGAACATCAGGAAGACTCACAAGTTGATGTATACTCAGCTGCAAGTGATGAAGTTCCTTCTGGATTTTGTGTACTCTGCCCCTAGTATCCAGGATTTCTCTGATGCTGCTGTTCGTGAGTATCATTCTTGGGAGGCCTCTGGCAGATGAATAACTAAACTGATGGAAGGGTTAGGAGGCCACATACTCTAATCTGAAAGCCCTGCTTGGGTTTGTTTAAGCCCTAGAGAATTTTCTGGGAGACCTGTCTCTGCCTGCTTACCCCAGAGGTCCCATTGAATTCAGTGGGACTGATAAGCAGGTATGCCATAGGGTCGCAGCAGTGGTTGCCTTTGCACCCTAGGCAACTTTATTTAGGCCACTTCCTGAGCTAAAGTGGAAAGGCCAGATAAAGGGGGTTAAGACTCTCCAGCAAATACTTTGTGCTGCCATTGCAAGAGTTCTAATCAAACCATACTGGTGTTTGCTGTGTGACTTGCTTCATCAGTTGGCAGGGGTGAGTAACTTGTTTCCCTCCAGATATTGGACTGCATCCCCCATCATATTGGCTGCACTGGCCAGGATTGATGGGAATTACAGACCCACAACATCCAGAATGCTGCTAGTTCCCTACTTCTGGTTTGAAAGAACATTTGCCCTGCTTCCTGAAGAGTTTCTTTTAGGAGGGACTCACTGTAACACAGCTTGGAAACTCCTGCTTCAGTTTGGTAGTTTCAGAAACCTGGTTTATGTCTGGAGCAGGCCCTCCAGTGTCTGCTTGTGGCTCAGAGCAGAATCTTGGTCTCTGCCTTTTCTCACTGAGCACCTTCCTTGCAGGGAAGGAGATGGTAGAGGCGAAACAGCAGTGGAAGGCACTCAAAGCGGAGTACCAGCAACAGGTAGAGGCTATCAAGGAGGCTGTGCCACATGTGCTGGCCAAAGTGGAGGAGATGCAGAGCTGGGCTCGGCTCTTGGAGGATGCTCTGCAGCACTATCAGGCCAAGGTTGTCTCCTGACTTGGGGTGGTGATGTTGGGGAGTGGGGGTTGGGATGTCCCAAATTTATGGATCAAACTCTCTTTCAGAAACAAAGATGTCCAGACACTTCCGTATTTAAGCACTTTATGCTTTTTTCTGCTCTTTGATTTCGATCAGGAGTGGACAATATGAGGTGCTGCAAGTGTTTTGGCCTGCACCTTCCATCAGTCCTAGCCAGCATAGCCAATAAAACAGGACAGGAGGGAGGCCAAAACATCTGGATGCCACAAGTTGCCTGCCTCTGATTTAGCTGAACATTTAGAGTGGCCTGTAAAAGACACCAGTAGACAATATTTAAAACCACAGATGAATGCAATCATTAAAGCACCTGTCTGTAAAATCATTGGAAACACTGTCAGAACTAAACATGACGGGTTTGTCTGAATAGACATTCTGTCAGTTTCTATCAGTTGCAGCAGATGCAATTTGGAAGATCACTCTCTAAAGCAGTCGCCTCAGTCTTAGTTGTAATGCAAAGCAAGGTTCTCGTTGGCTGATCCCAGTTGTGTTTGGGAAGTGTTCAAGTTATTGGCTGTGTTTATGCAAAGCCATAAGCCAGATTTGCTGCTGCTTCTGGCTTCTCGATAATGGGTGTGCTGGTATACCCTGCCCAGTTGCTTTTATAAGTGTGAGGGACTGCTGTGCCCAGAAACTTACCAACCATGGAAAACTTAGAATTGCTTCCAAGGCTGGATTTCTGCTTTGGCTCCTAGATCTCTAAGCCAAATACAAACCGTGGCTTGAAACACTGGAGTGTTAGAGACAAGCCAACAATTCTGGCTTAGCATTCTGTGTGAATACAGAGTCGTGTGGTGCTGTATCTATAAATGCCAAACACAAAGAACCTTAACCCTAAACTGCAGTTAGTGACATGCAGGGACAGCCGCTTTCACAGTTCCATGGGTGGCTATTTGCTGGCCTCTGCATTTCCCCAAAGGTTGCTCTTTCCCTTATTTTTCTCTTGGATGGCACTACTTCACTCTGCCATCTCCCCTCATCTTTCCCTGATCACCTCTTCCCTCATTGACCATCTTGGTTCCCCTCCAAACATTCCCCTTGCTTCTCTACCTGCCCAGCTCCAGCAGTCTTTTAAAGCTTGCATTCGTCTCTCTTTCCTCTTTGATCCTCCCAGTTTACCTCCCAAGGCCCTTAGTAGTGGGTATTACATATGCCTTTCCCCTTGAAAACAGTAAACTACTAATTGTGGATGGTGCTAGTTAGACTGCAGGCAAATCTGTGATGCTTGATGGAAGCTCAAGTACCCCCTTGGGACTAGCATATACTGAAGTGGGGTAACATACCTGCCCACATGTCACACCTATTTGCATTCATACATGTCCCATCAGGAGTAATAAGCGGGTTGAATAGAACATCATGGTAATGGACATCCACCAATGCGATGGGACCATCCCGCTGTCCTCCTTTCCTGCAACCCTTCATGCTACCTGAACATCTGTTATGGAGGGAGTCCACCCCTCTAGAGCAGATCTAGGGGTGCATGAGAGACTGCAGAGTTTGGAGGGAAAAGGGAGAATCGCTCCCCTTCCTGGTTCAGTGGGTGGAACTGCTTCTCTCAGTGGAATGGCACCACTGGATGCAACTCTATTGAAACAGTTGATGGATTTGGACACGCTCTGGTTTTGGGCTGAGTATTTTGCTATGTATTTTTGTATGTATTTTAGTCTTCTGTTTCCTTTGTAGAAGCAGGAGATTGAGGAAAAGGCAAGGAATGCCAGGAACAAGTGTCTGAAGGAACAGGTGAGGGTACGGGGGTAGATCTCCCCAAGTCAGGCATGGGAAAAGCCAGGCAGACAAGTTCCTTGGTCCAACCCAGTCTGCTGTTCCCACGGCAGGAGCTATTGCTTGAGCGCCAGCAGCAGCTTGAGCAACATGTGGCAGAGCTGCAGTACAGGTTGCAGGTACAGCGTGAGGAGCTGCACTGCCTGCAGGGGGAGCTAGAAGAACAAGAGCACCAGGCCTCTGTCTGGCAGGAGAAACTGCAGAGGTGAGTGTTTCGATTCTGCCTGCAGGGAGAGGAATCTAAAGTGTGCCTATTGCCGGAATGCAGTTTGAAATCAGCATTAAGTTCTGGGTTCCACAGCGTGCCTGGTGTGGGCGTGTATCCATGCTATGATTTGGTGAATGTGCAGAAAAGTGGAAGGATGTGGCACAGGCTGCTTACCCCACAGGAAAGGGAAGGGTTCTTGCCCTATATGCCGGCAAAGAGATATGCTGAGAGTTGGTGGGCCCTGCCATCTCAAAGCCAGAAGACTTGCAGAGGCAGGTTTTTGGTGGTGTGCCTTCATAGCTTGTTGCTGCTTCATTGCTCTGTATCACGCTTCAGGTATAGGCCTGCCTTAGAATTAGCGAGGTGAAATCGCCTCTTTACAATGTGGAAGCTGACTGCAATCAGTGGTCTTGTCTGTGTAACCCAGTAACCCTTCTTTTTCTGGACTCCCCTGTTCCCTTGCAGCATCACTGACTTCCAGCACCTCCTGGAAACTTTGCAAGGAGTAAAAGTGACTTACGCTACATACAATGAGCTGGAGGTAGAGTTGATCTCATACTCCCAGCCTGTGGCTTCCGATCCCCATCACCTGAAGTTGCGCATGCACTGGGAGGAAGATGGCAGCATCAGCCTGGAGGTAGGGAAGAGTGAGGGACAGATCCTGCTCAGAATCAGTGTGCCAGATCACTGGTCTAATCTCTCTCCCCCTCTCCTTCTGTCCGCTACCTCCCATGTAGAGTGGCAGTCCTTTCTTCCTTCTCTCTGCTGTTCTTCCTGTGGGTGCCTCCAGCACCATCAGAAACTTCATCATGGAGTTACAGTATAGCTACGTCCAACAAGCGCAGCTCCTGGCTGAGATTGAGTTGCTGCAGAGCTGGTAAGCCTCCTATTTTGGTGTTCAGGGCTTTACTGGGTGGGGGCAATGGAGGGAGTTTAGGTTAGGACTTGGCCCTTGCTTTGCATGTCAGAGGGTCCAGGTTCATCCAGTGAAAGGATGCTGGGGAGCAGACTTGGGTGGGTGGACAGTCTGACTTGGATCAGTGGTCTTTGTATGCTGTTGCCTCAGAGATGCTCCATGGACTCTTTAGCAAGCTTTCCTGTGGTTACTCAAGCTTTTGGGTGGGATTTCTTTTAACACATGCACCTCATTTTCCTTTCTAACCTCAAAGTGGCTTACGCAAAAGGAACCCAAGGCATGGGGGAATAAATGAGCCTGGGCAACTGAGCAGGAGCTTAGCAACATTGGAAGCCACCAGATACAGAGTCAGCCATCACAGCTAGCGCCAGATGGTCAAAACTGCCTGGCAGCAGGTGGCTCTCCTGAGTTGTGGGCAATTTTCCTGCCTCACTGGAGATGCCAGGGATTGAACGTGGGGCCCTCTGCATGCATAGCAGGTGCCCTGCCATGGAGACGTGGGCCCTCAGTGAAGCAGGAGAGAGCATAACCAAGCTGCTTGAGGGAGGAGATTGCACAGCCCAGGTGCCACAGTGCAGAGGTGATGTTTTGTACTATCAGGCACATGTTGCTGCCTCTCTTGGCTGCTTACAGATCTTTGTGAATGTGTCCTTCTCCGAGGTGATAGGGATGTGAAATAATGACCCATCTGACCACTTGGTAGCATTATCTGAGGTAATGTCATGTTACAGGCCTGAGTCACAATTCCCCCATTCAGAGTGTGTTGCCCTGAATGAATTTGGCAGGGAGTCTTCGCTGAGTGGCTCTCCTAGCTTCAATGCTACTGTCCTACCCTACCCTATTGTAAAGATGCCTGAACACATGTGGAGCCTTTGGAGCATTCAGTATTGCATTAATTTCATTTGATTGATTACATTTCCATAGCACCAAAGCTCACCAAAGGATGGCTTATTGGTATTTGTGTGAGGCTTCTGTTTATTGCTTTTATCAACACGGATAATGGTACTGAGAGGAAACAGAAGCAAAGACCTCAGAATGAAGATTCTGAACTCAGGGATGCTGGACCGCATCTCATTCTAGTTGTGCCAGGCACTGTACAGAATCTGGAGTAATACAGTCACTCTGTTACCAAGGGTTGACAATTACCAGCTTTTGGGCCTAGTACATCCGGTGATGCCTGGCTTTTTGGATACTTGCTATTGTTGCTTATCCTGATGCTGGGAATGATTGACAGCAAAAGGAGAAGGGGACAGTAGAGGATGAGGTGGCTAGATGAAGTCGCTTGGGTGGACTCTGGGGGGTGGTGGAGGACAGAAAAAATGTTGCCCACGGGGTTGTGGTGGGTCGAGCACAACTTTGTGACTAAACAACATTGCTGCTTAGGCGTAGGGTCTTTGACAGAGGTGCTCACCACCTACCCCAGCATCTCCCTTGATGCCTACTTGGGCTCCCTGCCTTCCTTGATCTCTCACTTTTTTAAGCCTTGGACATGCTGAGAAGTGAACTGCTGATCTCCTGCTGCCTCACTATCTTTCTTTCCTTTTCATAGCATTCACCAGGTTGTCCACTAGAAATGCCTTTAAAAGGAACCCTTATTGCTGTACAGAAGGCCAGGGAAAGTGTTTTGTTTGTTCTAGGGGGAGTCAGGATGTATGTTTTGCACAAGTCTGTTCATTTGGTTTCTGTGAGATGGGTATTCTTGCATGTGTTGACATCTGGGGCTCAGACTCCATCTCTGCCTGGTATTATTTCTTGTCATTTGTGGCTAGCCACACCCATGGTAGCCACCTGCAAGTGCTGGCCATGATACATACTTTCTCAGATCTCCAAGTAGACTCAGGGTCCAGAAAGGCTGGGGATCCTTGGCTCACACCATTGGCCATTCCTTTACTTTGAAAAATGTGGGTCTCTGTGCTGAGCATGGCTTATTGCTCTCAGGAGACGTGCCAAATAAATGACCTTCATTTTAAAAGGGGGGCGTTTTCAGTCCCCCAGTCCTGCGCTTGGGCTCTTGTTGATGCATTGATGCCTTCTCTGCTCCTCCCTCTGCAGTTTTGCCATTGACTGGCAGCAAGAGAAGAGGCTCCTCAGGTACCTGAAGCCATCCGCAACTTGCTGCCTCCATGTGGAGCCGGGGTATCCAGCCAGCGGGAGGATCTGCCTTCTCTCAGTGAAGAGTCAGCACGGTGCAGTTGATGTGGCTTCCTACAGGGTCAGTACTGATCCATTGCTGTTCTCTTTGCTGCCTCCTTCCTAATGAGTAAGAGCTTGGGAAGGGATGGGAGAATATTTCAAACTGGCAGAGGGCCCCTCCAAATGCTGGGATTGTGTGTATGGAAATTAGACTGGAAAGACGAGCTGTGGGTGAATGGTGGTAGTTGCTGCCATCCATATGTCCATCCTCAGCCTTTGGCCTTTGCTTCAAGCCCTTTTAAACATGACAGTCTTCTCCCCTTGGTTGTTTGGCATGGAAATAGGTGTGAGAGTGGGGAACGGTATGATAGTTACCAATGGGTTGCATCCAGTGTTGTCATTCTGCTGGTGGAACTGGGATAGGGACCATTCCTTTTCCACCCGGTGTGTCCCCAAGATCTGCTCTGGGGAGCTGTAAACTCCTTGGATCAGGTTTTTGAGTGGTGCAGAGGGAAGGAGAGGGAGAGCGTTCTGTTGCATGAGCAGAATTCTGCTAGAGCTGCATTCATTTTAACCTAGTGTCAGTGAAAGCACTGAGGGGCCTCTAAGGTTGTGGTATTTCCCAGTGCAAGTCCTACGGGGCACAGGCTTTTGCCAGGGGATGCTTTTCCCTGGCAAAAGGCTGTAGGTTCTTCACCCACCATCTGTTACATTCTCCCCTCCATCTCACCCTGGCAAAATGGTTCAGAGGTGATCAGTGGGTTACAGAGGCATGAGATACTGCTATATAGTATTCCCTGGAGGCAATATCTTGTAGGTTTTTTTTAATAGCACCAACACACTCCTGGTAGTTCACCCTTCACAAAGTAGAAAACCAGTTCAAATCCCTTGGCACTGGCTTCTGATTCCTCGGAGTCCTGGCTATGGTTTAACTCCCCCAAACATCTTTTTCTTCTGCAGCCCCCTCAAGAGACACCTTCACTGCAGAGCTGGCTGGTATACCTCAGTACTGTGGACTTCAGTGCTCCTTTCCTTACCCAAACAACGGCTGCTTCCTAGACCTATGCAGTGACATGGGGATTTGTGGCTGGAATCTCTATATAAGCCAATCTCTTTGCATATTTCTGGGGAGGGAAATACAATTTCATTGAGGCAGCTGTATTCTCATTCTCTTCCCCCCTCGTGTGTGTGTGTGTGTGTGTGTGTGTGTGTGTGTGTGTGTGTGTGTGTGTTGGGGTGTTTCAAGACCTTATACCTCCTTTCAGTTTTGATTTTTTTCTTTCTTGGGTAGATCTCCTACTTTTTGTCTCCCTCCCCTTTCCTGTTGCTCTTACTGTGTTTCACTGTTAGTGACTGTCCCTCATTACCAGTGTGTGACTGATATTTTGTTTCTAAACTTGACAAATTGTATATTTTCTGTTCAATAAAATACTCTTAGCGGGTGGGGACTGCCTGAGATTATTAACATAGCCGTCCATCAAATTCTCAAGTTTGCAAAATTAGCTGAATCTTAATATTCATCTCTCCAAACTATCACTGTAGGTCATATTTTTCATCCACCGAGGGTAATGCCTGCCCTTTTCAGCGGAGCCCAGGCCATATTGGCTAAGCAGTAACCTGTGGATATGAGCTGTTCAGCATTTAACCACATGGTGGCAATGTTGTACCACACGCTCTACAGCCTCCCCTTTGTTGAGGTCAACTTAGAGGGGTGATCTGAGGCCCCTTTTCCCAAAATGGCTTTCCCAATTTCAGAGCAGTCTGCCTGAGGCAAAATTCTAACCCCTTGCATTGCACTGCACTTCCAGACATGGTATACCCACTCTGCTGACAATTCCCCTTCGCAGATGTTACCTGATGTATGCAAAAGGCACCTCCTTCGCAGCCTTTAATATTTTACCCATCAAAAATGGTTGCTGCTCTAATGGCTCAGAGGTGCCTCTCGTCAGGTTCTGTGTGCAGGGGTAAAACTCACTGTCCGTTCCTCCTCAACCATGCCTACTGTCTGCCTGCTTCGTTTTAGCTTTGCTGGAGGGAGAAAAAAGGGGCTTCAGGTGGCCTCCTCTCTGTTGTAACTCTTCAGCAGCACACACACTCTTCCCTGCCCCACTTTGCTTGCTGCTTAATGGGGGGGGGGGCATTCGCTGAGGGTCAGCTTGACTTAAGAGGCTGAGTTTCAAGGGAGGCTGGGGGATCAGGGAGGGAGCTGAGGGGGCTTTGTCTGCCTTGTTTGAATTATGTCTGTCTAGCATGCAGTGTGAGGATCAAGGCAGAATGGAAGGGTGTGAGACTCAAATGTTGGAGGCATGGGAGTAAGAGACCCATTCCCTTTTGCATGCAGGACAAGGGAGAAGCCTGCGTCTTGCTTTCCCAAAGCCCTGGGGCAGGCTGTGTTATGAATCAGTAAATCAAATACCTCTTCAGACTTAGAGGGAATCATATGAGGTGTATCCTGGGGAAATATTAGAGGTCCACTTATAGATACCATCCCTTCTTTTTATGGGGGAGAAATGCTAGCCTGTGGCTCCCAGCATGGCTTGGTAGGCCTGAGTCACTTTGCACCTGCGCCAGGCAGTGCCTGTATTTGTGAAGATGCCTTCCGTTGGCACTTAGGCTTTCTCTCCTTGGATCAACGAGGCAGTGTGTTTGTGAGGCTGTCTGGCTGTGAAACATTTATTAGCTGGCATGGAAGTTGGGGAAAGCCTTCAGCGAGCATTTTCTGCTTGGGCTCGCTTGCTGCAATATTGAAGAACAGCTCAAAAGCAGGCAGCATTCATTCAGAAAAATCAGCCCCTGAGCAGCTTAGGGGAAGGGGCTGGGAGAGGCTGGCAGGATTAGGATAAGTGGGGAGGGTGGGGTATGGGTCAGGAAATTGTGGGGGTGGGAAGTCGGCTTGGAGTGGGAGAAAGATGCATGTTTGCACTAGTGAGCTGAATGGTCCTGTTCTGGACAGTGTGTGGGGAAAAGGTTAGGGCCAAAGAAGGATGGTGGGGAAATCATGGGATAAAACACCATGAGGGAAAAAAAACATGCTGAACGCTGGGAAGGAGAGAATGCCAAGAAGGTGAATATAGTCTTGCGTGCACCTGGTATAGTCACTGTACTGAAGGTAAGCAAGTCCTGCCTTGGTCCCTGCTTGAGCGGGGGACCACCCTGGAACACTGTACACCTGCTTAAGATCTGTGATGGAAGGAAGGCAGGATTTGCACATCCTTAAGGTATTCACATATCCGTGTAACTGCATATGCATGCAAAATTCTTTTCAGGGCGCAATTTGGCTGATGATGCAATTTGTGTTCTTTACTGGTGCATGTTTTACCACTACATTGTATTTCTACCCCACCTTTCTCCTGTGAGGAATGGAAGGAAGCTTGCATAGTTCCATTTTATCCTTGCAACCAGAACCCTGTGAGGTAGGTTGGGCTGAGAGTCTGACTGGCCCATGGTCACCCAGTGAGCTTCGTGGTCAAGCGGGGACTAGAACCCGGATCTCCCAAGTCCCTAGCCCAGCACTCTCACCGCCAACCCACACTGGCTCTCAACACATTATGTATGGTGCTTGGCCATAAAGCAAGTAAAGAATTGTATATTGAAGGAATATCGTCTCTATAACTTCTTGTTTTGCAGAGTTGCTCTCTGTCTTTTTTTATATTTTTTTGCCAAAGTTAACCTGAAGTGTATTAATGTTATGCTTGTCTTTAACCCCACTAGGGGCTTGCCTTGAACCTAAGCATACTGGCTCTTTACTTTCAAGATTCTGTCCACTACCTTCTGGAACATGCCCAGGACATTAATTTTTGAGTCTTTTCTCTAGCAACCAGAGTGCATCCTTACGAGCTGCTTTTATGTCCGCGAGGTTTCTACATTCTGCTCTTCAAGCCATCCTTTTGTGCTTGCTCACAATGACAATGTTTTCTCTGGGAACATGCCTGTCCATTGTAGAGCTAACTTTAGCATTTAAGGGAAGCGATGGGGCAGGGGCACAGGCCTCTTTTGCATACAGAACCATAATAGTCAACATGGATTCAGTTTTTCTGTCCCATTGCATGCAATGAATATGAGCTATCCTAGAAATCTAAACATTCCTCTGAGAGAATATTTACCCATACAAAGCTTGTTTGCTTACTGCCACTGCTGTGTATCTTTATTTATTGAATGCCATGCTCATGGGGGGTGGACTTGAAGGAGACTATTGGCCATGTCAGCTGGATAAAGCATCCATGCATAAAGGCAGGAGAACTCAGTGGGAAGGAGAACCTTTGGTCTGCCAGATGGTGATGGTTCAGGACTCCCATCATCCATGGCTGTGTGATAGGGAATGATGGAAGTTGGAGTCTGACACAGTTTGAACGGTAACAGAATTCCCACCCTGTACCAGGTGTAGCAAAACAAACTGGTGTTCCTCCATAGCCTCTTTGTTAAATGTCCAAGGGTCTCTGCCTAATCACTAGTGAACCAGAACACAAGATTCAATTACCTTTTAATCCAGCATTTCCCAGCCTGGTGCCCTGTTTTATTGTATTTATATTCTGCCATTTTTCCTTTCAAGGAACTCAAGGCAGCTTACCTAACTTGCCTCCTCCCACTGTGATCATCTCAACAACCACCCTGTGAGGTAGGCTGGGCTAAGATTCTGTGACTGGCCCAAAGTCATCCAGATGGCTGAGCAGGGACTACAGCCCAGATCGCCTGAGTCCCAGCCCCATGGCTGCAACCACTACATCACACTGGCTCTTGCGGGGCCAGCACCATCTGTGAGGCATCAGATTGAATAGGGCAGTTTTAAATGGAGCCAGGAAAGCATTTAGTGCTTCAAAGAGCTGAATATACAAGTGATGCCAGTGCTTTACGGTCTGAAGTGAAAGTGGGCTTGGTGGGAGATGGTGGGACTGTTGTGCGGAGTGGAAATGGGATGAGCCAGGGGGATGAATAAACAACACAAAGACCATGGGAAGCATCCAAGAAATGGGGAGCCAGGAGACCACGACTCCTCCTCCTTGTTATGTCCCTCCCAGCTCTTGCCCTTTCCTTCCTCTTTTCGTTGGGGCCCTGCTTCCTCTGCACTTCCAAGATGGGCTCTGCTTATCAGGAAAGCTGCTGCTGTGGAGACTGGGCCAGTCCCAAGAGGTTGCCTCAACCCACGTCAGCAGTGCCCCTCAGCAAAGCAAGCCCCTTTCTCACCCCCCAAACCAATGAAAGCTATTTGACTTTTTGAGGAAAAACCAAAGCAGACAGTTGCAGGGTTGTGCCTTGGCAGCCAGATTTTGTACCCGTGCCTTGAGCAGTAGTGTAAGTTGTAGGCATTAGCATGTCATTCTCTGTGCCCTGAAAGGCAGCAACTGCTGACTTTTCTATATTCTGTTGTAATATTGGGGGATTCTGTTGCCCACCAGATGTTGGATTCAAATTCTCATCGGTCAGCCTGACCAAGCATTTGAGGATTATCAGAGTTGGAGCCCATCAGCTGCTCAACAGTCACAAGGTTCCCTACTTCCTGCTAAAGGCAAGTGCTGAAGTTTTACATGTCAACTGGTAATCCTAAATGCACAGGAAGTCCTACAGAAAGCTATTGCAATTGCTTTGCTTTTTTCTATCGATCTCCTGCTTCCAGTTCTCTGAAGAGTCCTCTTCTGCCTCATGCCCACAATTAAGCAATTTGTGCTTGTCCTGTGTGCAAATGTATCCATTCCTTTTGGTGGAAAGGGTCACCTTACAGGAGAGGGTGCTGGGGTTTAGGGGTCCAGGAGAGTCTGCACATCAGTGGCACAGGGCCTGGGCCGAGCTCTGGCTGTCCAGGCAGGAAGCAAGACACACAGTGCAGAAAGCATCTCTCCACTCTGGTCCTGGAGTCTCACAGAAAAGGGCTCTTTGCAAGTGGGCCTCTTGTGTATTTCCTGAGGCCAAGAGAGGGAGCAGGGTGCAGATGAAGGAAATGATGGCCGCCTTGTATTAGCAGGAGAGCTCCGACAGATGCAAGCATCAGAGGAACCGGGTGGAGGGAGCAGGGTCTTGTTCATAGCACAGGCTGTTGCTCAGCAGTTGAGCACAGAAGGCTTGTGACTCACAAGTCGGAGAAATGGTCTACAGGGAAATGCAACTTGTGGCCCTCCATATCTTTTAGCCTACAAGTTTGCCCACATTGGCCTGAACTGCAAATTTTTTCAGCCCCGTGGAAAGTTGTGGGGCTAAAAGTTGAGGGGGAGGCTGCCAAGAGGGGGGCAGTTATACAGTTTGCTGGCCTTCTCAAAACAAAATGATAAACTGATTTAACTCTTATTTTTGCAACCATATTTCAGTGTATGTGCAGTCAAACCGGTTCACTAAGCAACCTCAACTATTACTGAATGCCTCCAGTGATGGAGAGCCCATCACCATTCTGGGTGTGTGGTCCCCGTCTGGGTGCTCTGTCCCTTAGGGCCTTTCTCCTGAAGCTGTTTTTCTGTAGCTTAAGCCCATTATTTCATGTTCAGTCTTGGATGACGGAGAACAGGTTGCAGCCCTAAAGTGCAAAAGTGTGACAACCATTTTGGTACTTGACAAGTGAACCCCTCATGTGGTTACCCCTTCTCAAGGCTAACAATGGCCAGTTCCTCCTTCTAACTTACCAAGATAATTTTGAATTTTGCTGTGGTCTTCAAAGGTATTAGGTACTCCATCCAATGTTGTGTCATCTGCAGATGCCTCAGTTATAGACAGATTCACTTCCTTGTCAATCAGCCCCAGAGGTTCAGGAAATGCTCTGAGCAAGGCGTTAATTCCATTCTTCCCTCTGTGTACAGAACTCAACCTACAGGACAAAGTTGTCTGATTCATTTGTATTCTTTTGCTTTTCTGTTATACATAAAACCAGGTCACTGATCCTTGTAGGCAGCCTAAGGGCACTTGCTGTAGCCCAGAGCTTCATCTAGGAGATGCAAGGAGCAGGAAGAAAGGACACTCACTAAAAATCCGACTTGGAGCTGGCTCCCTAGCAGCTCTCTTTTGCAGGAAATCATTCAAGGGCCCTGGTCCTCCTCTGCTCCAGCCTCTGCAAGTGCATTCAGATTACCTACTCTCTTAACCTGCAGTTGTTCGTTTACTCCAATACTGAGCTGCATTGCCAAGTTTAGAAGAGGATAAATGATCTCTGTTCTTATCAGTGCGCCTCTTCCTAGTGCACGCAGGAGTGGACATCCTGTGCCCTTCAGGTTCTGGCCTGAAGTTTCCAGTCTGGCATCACTAGGCACATTGGCTAGGGCTGATGGGCTTTGTAGGCCAAAACCCCAGGAGGGCCACAAATTGTCCACCCCGTCCATATAGCATTGAAGAACTTCACCGCTGAAATGACTTCTCTTTCAGAGCCTGCAGACAGACATACCCTGGAGCCCTTGTTTCAGAGCTGGAGTCAAAAGAATCCTGTCCTGTAGCCCTCCAGAGGCTGGACTTCAGTTCCCATGAGCCCCAGCCAGCCTGGCCAGTAGCCAGACGTGATGGGAGCTGGACTACCCCATCAATAATTACAAAATAAAATAATATATAAGCCTTCACTAAAAGGCTTATAAATACAAATAAAATCAAGGGCCATGGATTTCTAGGCATGTGCAACCAAAGCTAGATGGGAAAAAAATAGAATAGTGCTGTAAAAATACAGGTTTATTTCCCAGCATCTTCCCATCCCATACCTTTCCCATGAGCCCCCCCCCCCCCCCAAGAAGCTTTCCCCTTCTTCCCTCCCCTTCCCCAAGCTCCACGGTTATGCTTTCCTCTTCTTCAGTCATGTGGGTACCATGGTCAGTTCTGTGTAACTGATGTACATCACCTTATGGAGGCCTGCAAAGGACATAAAATGGGAAAGTATTAAAGAGAGGTGGGAAGATGGAAGGACGGGTGGGTCACACTGGGGCCCAGGGAGTGATGTGCAGCGGAGCAGTGGGGTTGAGCGGCACTATTCAGTTTTGGGGCAAATAGCAATCTAGTGGCTTGCACACCATTGCTAGCATGAGGATCCAGTCACAGGCTCACCACTTAAGCACTGTAAAAAAAAGGGGGGAGGGATTTGAATCTATAGAAACAGAAACAGAGTGAGTGAGAAGGGACATCCCAGGCCATCTAGTCTGACCCCTGGCTCCAGCTGGCTCCGCTCATGACATGCCTACCATGTGCATGTCTAGCCTATTCTTGAACACCCTCACTGATGGGGATTCAACCACTTCCAGTGGAAGCCCATTCCATCCCCTTGGGGTCCTAACTGTAAGGAAGTACTTCCTGGTATCCAAATTGAACTTTGGTTCCTTGAGCTTGGCTCCACTGGAGTGCATCCTGCCTTCCCCTGAAGAGGAGAACAGGTCTCTACCCACCTCCGTGTGACACACCCTCATGTACCTGTATATCGCCAACAGATCCCCTCTGAGTCTCCTCTTCTCCAGGCTGAAGAGACCCAGTTCCCTCAGTCTCGCTTCATACCCCATCCCCTGCAAACCAGCCACCAACCTTGTGGCCCTACGCTGCACTGACTCTAACCTGACTATATCCTTCTTGTAATGAGGGTCCCAGAACTGAACTCAATACTCCAGTTGTGCACACACCGGAGTCGTATAGAGTGGTAGTAATACCTCTCTCAATCTAGAAGCCACACTTCTGGCTATGCAACCAAGGGAGGCATTCGCCATCTTGACTACCACATCACACTGCTGACTCATGTTTAGCCTGCAGTCAACCAGTACCCCAAGATCCCTTTCACAAGTGCTGCTCTCCAGCCACTTGTTCCCTAACCTGCACTTATGGCACCCATTCCTATGCCCCCTAACCTTGCACTTATCCACATTGAACACCAATGTGCATCCTTGTCTTTAAACCCATGTCCTTCGAAAAGAAAGACCCATGGCTGCTCTAGGCTTGCCAAAATTACACAGAAGTTTCATGGGGCATGGCATCTAGACACGGAGGCTTCAAAGGCATCCGGGTTGTCCAACTCTTTTAGCCCAAGGGCCGAATCCCATTCCAGAGAAACTCTTGGACTGCTTCCCAGCAGTGGGTGGGCAGGCAGGCAAATGGCAAAATGGGCAGGGCCTAGGCCAGAGTTACAAGGAGACCAGCCTGTTTTAGCTCAAAGATCTTAGTGCCAGTAGACAAGCTGGGGGGCAGCTCCCTAGGTTCAAGAAGCATGGGGATTCCTGGCCTCCTTTCTGTCAACCAGCCAGTGTGTGGAGCTGCTGCCATGTCCGTGCCTTGCTGTCTATGCTGTTGCTGATTGTATGCTTACTTGGGATTTGAACTGTTTTTACATCATGCTGCCCAGGGAGTGGTGTTATGAAGCAGCAAAGAAATGCTGCAAATAAATAAATAGTGCCTGTGGGGCAAAAGTCCTTCAGTTTCCCCTGGCTGATGACTGGGATCTAGTGAGCTGATTTGTTGGGTGGCATGAAGGGGTGTCCTTGGGCAAGGGCAGGAAATACGGTAGAGATCCATGAGATGATGCATACAATGGGCCAAGTGGATAGACAGTTTCCCACCACTGCCACCCTTACCCACACAATTAGAGCATGGGGCCAAGCAGGGGACTGAGTAGCAGCTAAGTAAAGATGGTATAGAAATATACTCATTAGCTAAGTCATAAACAAATAGAACTTCTGTTCAAAAGTGGGATACCCCTGAACACCAAGCCTTGGGGACAATTAACGGGGAAGCCTTCCCCTTCATATCCCCCTTTGCAAGGACTCCTGGCTGGCTGCTTTTGAGAACAGATTCTGGACAAGATGTACCTTGATGCAATAATGTGGCACAGGAATTTCTGTGTCCCTACAAATGGGCCAGATATAATTGCAGTCAATGAATAATGAAGGAAGTTGGATTTTTGCCATTCGTCAGCAAAGTGGGGACCCGAACACTCCAGTGGTGTCGGTGGGCACAGGACTAGGACAGTGGTGGTGGAGGCACCTATTCCAGGCATTTCAAAGGCACGGTCATTGTTATGTGGGGAAAAGTGGGGTGGGAGCCACTGGGGCTGAGCGAGAGAGATCACATGAGGAGAAACGGTCCCTGCTGCATCTTGCTAAGTCAGGCATGTGCTCTTGGCTGTGACAGCAGCACCGGGCACTGGAGCCCTCACCATCTGCTCTGGGGCCTCCTTGCCCACCGGGGGTGGCTATTAATAGTCCAGTGCTGTGACTGCCCACCCCCCGCCCCCAGCCACTTTCTCCTAGAAGGCCAGCGTGTGCTGGATCTCCAGGCTGCTCACAGCTGCAGAGAACCAGGTAGAGCAAAGAGCATCCCCTTAGCTAGCGCCCAGGAGAGATGCTTCCAGTAGGTTCCCTTAAGTAGGGGACTTTAGCCAGAGAAGGGTGCAGACCAAGCTTCCTGCCTGCCCAGTGTACTTTCTGACCTGAAATTCTTTGTCTCTGAAGCTCAGGCACATCCAGGCTTCCTGGAGCTTTTCAGCAGAGATAGAAAAGCTCTGTGCATGAACCCAGAGGCATCTTCCTCCTTCTCCTCCTCCTCCTCCTCCTCATTTCATATGATCTGGGGCCTGCTTTCCACCTGATTCTTGGCCAAATTAAGCTCTGTCTAGGGACAAAGTTACTGCTGAGTGTCCCTTGATATACCATCCATTTATGCTTTTTGAAGTCAGGGTCACATAAGTGATTACTTCCATTTTGTGGATCAAAACCAGCATGACCCATAAGTGCTGCACGTGCAGAGCTGCTCATAAGGGCAGCGCCAGTGAGTGGTGAATCTTACCAGAATGCCCCTGGCTCCTTAAGCATGGACGGCTGCTTCCTCCCCAGAAGGCAGTGGTCTGTGGTACTTCCTTTCAATATACAGTCGAACCTGTGGCATCATGATTTCTGCTTGCCAGGGTTTTTTACTGCTGTGCCCGTAAGACCCAGCTCTGGCATTGGCCAGTCCAGGGAATGAAAAAGCGAATCAACTAGAATTGTCCTGGGAACACTTTTCTCACCCTGCCTAACAGACCAGAGGGATCCCAGTAGGGGAGACTGGTTGGAGGTCAAAAGGGACAAGGCTGTGCATCTGTTTCTGGGAGGAATGCAGAAAAACTCAGCAGAGAACTACAGGAGAGTCCCATGTGATGCCAAGGCAAGGAGGGTGGCTACCTAGAGAAGGTAGCCTTCTCTGTGGTGGCACCCCGGCTATGGAATATGCTCCCCAGAGAGGTTCACCTGGCGCTGACATTTTATTCCTTTTGGGCCAGGCTAAAACCTTTTTATTTTCCCATTATTTTAAGGTTTGAGTCTGATTTTAATGTGGGGTTTTATTCTATAGAAAATCAATTTGGATGCTGTGCTTCACTTTGTTTTAGAAACATAGAAACAGAGAGAGTTAGAAGGGGTCTCCCGGGCCATCTAGTCTGACCTCCAGCACTAGCCGGCTCCGCTCACGACATGCCCACCATGTGGATGTCCAGCCTATCCTTGAACACCCGCACCGATGGGGCCTCAACGACCTCTCCTGGAAGCCCATTCCACACCCTCGGGGTCCTGACTGTCAGGAAGTGCTTCCTGGCAACCAAATGGAACCTTGGCTCCCTGAGCTTTGTTCCGTTGCAGCGCGTCCTGCCTTCCTCTGCAGGGGAGAACAGGTCTCTACCCACCTCCATGTGACATCCCCTCACATACCTGTATGTCGCCAACACATCCCCCCTGAATCTCCTCTTCTCCAGGCTGAAGAGACCCAGTTCCCTCAGTCTCACCTCATACAGCATTCCCTGCAAACCGGCCACCAACCTTGTGGCCCTGTGCTGCACTGACTCTAACCTGGCTATATCCTTCCTGTAACAAGGGGCCCAGAACTGAGCACAATACTCCAGTTGCGGGCACATCAGAGTCGTGTAGAGTGGTAGTAATACCTCTCTCGATCTAAAAGCCACACTTCTGGCTATGCAACCAAGGGTGGCGTTTGCCCTCTTGACCACCGCATCACACTGCTGACTCATGTTTAGCCTGCAGTCAGCCAGTACCCCGAGGTCCCTTTCACAAGTGCTGCTCTCCAGCCACTTGTCACCTAACCTGACTCATGAACCAGTCACCCGTTCTCCACGAGGTCTCAAAAATGGAGGCCAGCGGGCATGAGAGAACCCCTGCCAACTCTCTAAGCACTCTCGGGTGTAACCCATCAGGGCCTGGCGCCTTTATAATGCCCAATGCCCTGAGGAGCCCCTCGACTTCAAGGGGGGTGACTCTGATCTGTGCCCCTAAGTCCCCAGCCTCATCTATCTCCTATGCGGATATCTCCCGTCCTGCTTTGGGGAGAACACAGAGGCAAAATAGTCATTTAGCATCTGTGCCTGTTCCCTCATATCAGTCACTGGATCTCCTTCCTCATTGTTTAGTGGTCCCACCACTTGTCTCTCCTTCCTCTTCCTATTTACATGCTGAAAGAAGTCCTTTTTGTTGCTCTTGATATTCTTGGCAGGTCTCAGCTCGTAATCAATCTTAGCATTGCAAAGAATCCTTCTGCAACGGGCCTCCTCCTCCCGGTATACCCTTTTGTCTATTTCCCCCAGTACCCATTTCCTGTGGAGGTTCCTCTTTCGTCTAATCCCTCTAACCACCTCCTTTTGCATCCATGGCGGCACTCTCCTCCACCTCCCCACCTTACTGACTAGAGGTATCGTCAAGGCTTGCGCCTCCAAAACCTCCCTTTTGAGTGCTATCCACCCCTCCTCAACTTGCTTACATTCCAGTAACCTATCTCAGGAGACTTTCCCCAGTCTGGTCTTCAGTTGGCCAAAGTTGGCCCTCTTGAAGTCCCAGCTTCTAGTGCTTGACCTGCTGCACATCCCCAGTCCCCTGATCTCAAAGCAAAGGATGGAGTGATCACTCGCATCCAGAGCTCCCCTAATCTGTACTTCATCTATCAGCTCCTCCCTACTGGTCAAGACCAAGTCAAGGATGTCCCCCACCCCTCGCCGCCTCTCGGACCCTCTGTGTGAAAAACCCTCCCTCTATAGCTTCTAGGAAGCGACATGACCTGGCTGTTACTGCCGAGTGAGCCTCCCAAGTAATATCTGGGAGACTGAAATCTCCCATAATTACTGTGTCTCTTCCCCAAGATATCCTTAGAATCTGGCCTGTCAGGACATCATTCAGGGTCTAAAGTTGACCTGGAGGGTGATAACATACCCCCACTGTCAGGTTCTCTTTCCCTGTCAAAACCCCTAAGTTTCACCCAGACTGCCTCTACTGAATCCCCATCTGTGCTGCATCCTATCTCACTGCATCCCTTCCCTGACGTATAAAGCCACGCCCCCACCTCTCTTTCCCTTCCTGTCCTTTCTAAAAAGGTGATACCCTTCTATGTTCACATTCCAGACTTGCCTTTCATCCCACCAAGTTTCTGTGATTCCCACCAGATCATACTCTCCTATTCCCAGGCGAGCTTCAAGCTCTTCCTGCTTATTACCCATGCTCCTAGCATTGGTGTACATGCACCTCAACTCCTTCCCACCACTTCCTTTCCTTGGAGTTCCCAGCCTCCTCCTTCCTCCCATCCTCCCTGATACCTGGCCCCTCTCTGTAGGAGTCCTGTCAGTCCCTGCAGTATCATTAAAACCCTGCTCCCAGAGCCCTGACACTTGTCCAGTGCAGACACATTACTGGGGGGCCTGAACCCACCCCCCTCCCGGCTCAGTTTAAAGTCTTCCGGACGAAGCTCGCTAGAGCATCTCCAAAGGACCTTTTCCCCATCCTCGTGAGGTGTAACCTGTCCCTTGCCAGAAGTCCATTTGCAAGAAAACGAGTGCCGTGGTCGAGGAACCCGAAGCGTTCCTTCTGGCACCACCCCCTAAGCCAGTCGTTCACCTCGGAGGCCCTCCTGTCCCTTCCCGGCCCAAATCCCCAGACCAGTAAGATTGACGAGAAGGCCACTTGGGCCTTCAGCTCCCTGAGTTTCTTCCCCAAGGCCTCAAAGTCCCTGGTGGTCCCAACCACACCCTGCCTGGCCACATTGTTTGTGCCCACATGGATCACCAGGAGCGGCTGGTGACCCCCGGAGCGAACAAGACGCTCCACTCTGTCCATCACATGCCAGATGCGTGCGCCCGGCAGGCAGCAAACCTCCCTTGCCTCCAGGTTGGGGCGGCACACTGCTGCCTCAGTGCCCCTCAGCAGGGAGTCCCCAACAACAATCACCCACTGCTGTACCTTCCCGGTGCTGGTGGGTGGCCGTGCCCTGGCCCTCGCCTCTCCTGCAGTGGCCCCCTTGTCGCCTGACGTCCCAGGCTGGGGGTCCTGCTGGTTCCCCAAGGCCTCAATAGCCCCAGCCTCCCCAAGTGGAGACAACCTGTTTCCCAGCTCCAGATTGGTGCCAGGAGAAGGAGGAAGCTGTGCTGGCCTCCTCCTCCTGTGGGTGACATACCTCCATGTCTCCACAGCTGCTCCTCTCACGGCCTCTCCCTCAACCCTCTGTCCAGAGGGGGGCTGCTCCGGAGGGGCCTGGAGTGCTCTCTCAGCCCTCAGGCACCTCACCTCCTCTTCTAGCAGGGTCACCATCTTGCACCAAGGGCAAGTGTATCCCTGCCTCTCCTGGGGGAGAAGGGTGAACATGTCGCAGCTCTCGCAGCGGACAGCAACCCCGTGACTCCCACCAAGGCCATCTCCTGGTCTGCCATCAGTATCCCTTCCAAGACCTTACCTTGGTCCCCTGCCTTGTCTGTCCTGCAGTTCCTCTCACTCGCCCAGTTCTCCCAGACAAAAACCCACTCGCACACACACACAGGGATAAAATAAACTTAAATTTAAATTGGAAGAAAAACAAAGCACAGCACAAACAAACAAAACAAACAAACAAACAATCAAACCTCTGTGTCTCAGGGAAGAGAGTCTGCGGACAGACCATATTATAAGACCATTCTGAGACCTTGGTAGTGGATGGTATATAAAAGTTTAAACTAAATAAATAAAATGTTGGGACACAAACTGGCCAGAGAAAGCGGGGGGTAATAGGGCTTTTTGTCCTGTCCACATGTGCGTAGGACTGTGCACTGAGATGCTTCTATCCTGTCGAAAGTTCTCATAAGGCCAAAGGTGATGAGGAAAGTCACGGGGATGTCCAGGGGTGCAGCAGGAAGGATGGAGGGTGGGTGTGGTACTTACAGGGCAGGCAGAGGTCAGTCGGAGGCACATCGGGTGGGGTCATCAAAGATCAAATAAAACCTCGATACCTACTTTCTGGCTACTTACTGTCCGGCTTCTCATCTTTGCTCTCGCCGTTCTGGGCACTTTTCTGTGAGAGTCTGGCGGAGGCGTTGACTGCCGTGGCTGCTGCTTTGAAACTGCGCTTGCGCTTTTGCACGTTCTGCTCTGGGTGGAAGATGATGACGTAGACCTTGGGCACATAGAGCATGCCGAGGGAAACGGAGGCGCTCAGGCTCATGGAGATGGTCAGTGTCGTAGTCTGAATGTAGATCTAGGGAGGGAGGATATGGGATGATAGCTGCAAAAGCAGGAGGCGTTAGCTCTGTCTACCTGACTGGGACCAGTTTATATAATCCACAGGGTCAGGGGGTAAAGCTCATTTCTGGCCTGTATCATTTCAGGCTGCAGATGGGGGACAGCAGTTTTTTGAGTGCTTCCCTGTCTTTACAAAAGCTCTGCACCTAGAAAGCCAGCATGTCAGGGAGAAGCGTTCAGCCTTGCCACCTCTCCTGTGATGCTATTTATCAGAAAGCAGGGAGGGTTTCCAAGGAGAAAGAGTTAGATGTGCAGCCTGAGGGCAGGCAGTCCCGGGAAGAGCTTTCAAGCTTGATTCTGCTGAGTATCCAAATGCTGAGGGAGTCCAAGACAATCGTGCAAGGAAGGCTGTGTTTAATTAATCACAGTTATCCTGACATATCCACTTTCCCCACACCCCACTTTCACAGCTATATACTGCCTCTCAGGATTTCTGGCATACTGAATTAGGAAATACTCTGATATTTATGCAGCCATTCCTAACCTGGTGTCTTGCAGACAGTTTGGGCCACAATTCCCAGAATTCCTGACATTAGCCATGTTAGCTGGGGCTGATGGGAGTTGAAGTCCACAGCACTGGAAAGACACCAAGTTGGAGGAGGCTGCATGAAAATAAGAGAGGTACAAAGCTGGACAAAACCCAAGGGTAAGCTCTACTGCCAGCCAGAGGCAGGAAATGCAGGATGCTGCATTTGAACCCCATCCTGCCTCTTATCGATGCATATTTATAAACTGCTTACATCTACAGATTTGAAAGCAGTATATACAAAATCATGAAAATTTTAAAATAAAACCTAATACACAGAATGGATGGTATCTACAGATTCATAAGTGCTTGCATGGATAGATGGATCCCAACATGTGCCAAAAGGTAAAAGTTGTTGGCACATGCCTAATCCCAGAGAAAAGACAGAAAGATAGACAGGGGTCTATCTAAAGGGACCCCCATGAGACCAGATGGGCTAGACTACCACTCCCATTATCCCCAGCCAGTGTGGCCAGAGACCATGCTGGTTGGGGGTGATGGGAGTTGTAACTCAAGACATCAGGAGGATAGCAGGTTAAGGAAGAATAATACAGCGTGGCGCCTCTTAATTTCTTTAAGGCACAGCTTTTAGGCAGTTTCACAGTAGCCCTCAGCACCAAAAGGAAACAACCAAGAAAGATCCCGGCTGTTACTCTGGAGCACTTCCTGTAGCCGGTAGCAATGCTTGGTTGCCCTCCAGAACACACGATGGGGTTTGCTGAGCAAACACTTCCCTTGGGGCACCTGCTATTCTCCCTAGGCAAGCACCAACTGACAAATCTGCCTCAACATGCCCAAAATCAGCTCCATCTTTTTGAAAAATGCCTTTGAAATGTGCAGAGCACATTCGTGGGACAGGGACGTGCTAGTATGCTGACAATGAATCATCAGAGTGCACCCAAAGGGACCTCTTTCATCAGCCATCTCCTCAGTGGTTCATTGCAATCCAACCTTTCTCTGATACTAAAACTGATGAGCAGCAGCCCCACGTGTCATGTCTGTTGCTAGACTTCACCGTTTCAGATAGGGAGCTCCAGATTTTTAGATACTCCCCCACATAAAAGAAAATCCCTACAGGTACAAAATTATCATCATAAAGCTCTGCACTAGGTCAGTCTTTCCATGCCTGGTGCTCTCCAGATGTGTGAGGCTCCCATTCACATTAACCCCAAATAAAGCGGTGCAGCCCCACAAGAAGCTTACACATAATGGGCTTCTGCCTTCCTGTATTGCTAGAACCAAATTAGACAGGATCCTGGGGACACCGCAAGGATAATCTGATGTGTTACTTCCTCCTTAATTAAAAAGTAGCACAGGGACTGAAGGTGATGCAAGGTGAGCTGCTTAACTTTTTCCCTTCTTCCTTCGTTGCCTAAATATGCTCTGCAAAGTCCTTCCACCCTTTTTCTTTAACCCTCAAGCTTTCATACCCCTTGCTGGTAAGGGTGGGGGCCAGGCAGGGGGATTTTGGGTGCCTTGGGAAGAGATACTTTGGCTTGGCTGGACATCAAAGCTACTACAAGAGCACATTCAAAGAAATTCCCTGAGGCAGAGGATTTCTGTGTGTTCTGAGAGGGCTAGAGAGGTGAAGAAAGGCCTTGTCTCCCACAAAGCTCAGGCTCAAGTCATCCAAACAGCTTTCCCACAGACCAAGCAAGTGTTATGGGGCCCTGTGATGTTTTCCCTGAGGGGAGAACAGCATTTCCCTCCGGACGAAGGAGAAAGGTTTCAGAGGTTTCTCCCTGGCATTTACACAGGCAGCTTTCTGCAGCTGCATCTCAATAGTTGTAAAGTGAGGTCTCTGGGCTAATCTAAGTGCTACATTTAAACCTAAGGCCTTTCTTTAGAGGAAGCTTCTGGGACCTAGTCTGTGTCATGCTTGCTGCACACAGAGCTGTGTGTTCAGCCATTTCCCTTTAGACGTGCTGCCACCTTTTGCGGGGCAGGGGGACTTCATAAGAAAAGAGTGGGGAAGGTTTGGCCCCCTCACACCTGTGCCCCGTGGTTCCCATATGCTTGTACTAGAGTAAATCAACACATTCAAGAGGAGGAGCTCTTTCGGCCTGGTTCCATTTTGGAAACCCCTTCAGGGACTGCTTTCCATCATGAATGGGAGTGAAGGGGAAAAAAAGCAGGATCGAAATACTCCAAGAACCAGCATCTTGCTCTTATTGACAACTAAGCCTTAGAGAGGCATGTCAACATTTTGAATAGGGAAAAATGGGACAGAAGCTGGAAAGGCAGCCAGTACTGGGAAGGGGTGGGGCCTTAGGGCAAGCTGGGCTGAGTCCCCAGAGCAGATGTTCCCCACATGCTACACATTAACAAAGCATGTCATTTAGCCCCCTGAAGGGCTGCCACGTTTGGCCCCTTCTTCAGGCATCCCCCAAGCTGGCCACTCCTCCCACATCACACCCCACGCCAGCATGGTCCCTCCCACCTTCTCCGCTGACTGCGCTGTGCCGAAGAAGATGGGTACGAAGGCCAGCCAGACGATGCAGGTGGTGTACATGGTGAAGCCGATGGGCTTGGCCTCGTTGAAGTTCTCGGGCACCCCACGGGCCTTGATGGCATAGACGGTGCAGGTGACCATCAAGACAATGCTGTAGCTCAGGCAGCAGATGATGGAGAGGTCCGACATGTCACACTTGAGCACCCCCTGGGCGGATTCGGGGTTGGGCGTGCGCTGCTCCTCGTAGTCGATGATGCTGTGTGGGGGCTGCACCCCCAGCCAGATGACCACAGCCACCACTTGCACAGACATGAGGCTGAAGGTGATGACCAGCTGTGAGGTGGGGCTGATGAACTTGGGCGGTGTCACGGACTTCTTGCCCTGCTCGAAGATGCGGTAGATGCGGTTGGTCTTGGTCAGCAACGCCGAATAGCTGATGGCCATGCCCAAGCCCAGGAAGAGGCGGCGGAGGGCACAGATGCCCACCCCGGGCTCGGCAATCATCAGGAAGGTGATGGAGTAGATGAGGAAGATGCCTGTGAGCAGGACGTAGCTCAGCTCACGGCCTGACGCGCGGACAATGGGCGTGTTGTTGAACCGGATGAAGGTGATAACAATGAAGGTGGTGCCCAGGATGCCCAGGATGGCCAGGAAGATGGGCAGCACAGCCCAGGGGGAGCTCCACTCCAGCTTGACAATGGGTGTGGGGCGGCAGGCAGTGCGGTTGTGGTTGGGCCGCATATCGAAGGGGCACATCTCACAGGTGAACTCATCCAGCTGGTACTGGTAGCCGTCGCACAGCTCACAGTGCCAGCAACACGGCACCCCCTTCACCATCTTCTTCCTCTCTCCTGGGTTGCATGGGAGACTGCACACCGAAGAGGGGATGTCCTTTTGGCCGCCCGACCACTGCATGTCCTCCATCTGTGGGAGACAGAGAGTGCTGCTGTAGAGTAGTGCCTTCCCGGGGACTCCATGCAAGAGGGGTGCAGGATGCCATCTCGTTGGAATGGGCCTGTCTAGTCCAGTATGGCTGATACCAACTGGCTGCACTGGCCCCTACCTGGAGATGCTGGGAACTGTACATAGGCCCACTGCATGCAAAGTAGGAGTCCCCCCATGCCGAGCCTGGGGCCCTTGAAGGTGTTTCTTAGAAGGTCATCAGGGGTTCCTTAACCTGAAGATGAGAAAGACAGCTTGCCCCTGGGCCAGGCAGTAAGTTCACGGGGATGCCTAACACAGGGCCAGGAATAGGGCCTCATGTGAGCAGAGTCTATCCTAGCGTATGCCCTCAAATCCTTTGGATTGCGTCGAAAGCATTCCTTACATGTAGAACCTTGGAAAGAGATATCCAGAGGACAGGACTTTGGAGTGCTTTCTGTTAATATTGCTTGCCTTTATTTCTTATATTTGTATCCTCTGATCTTTAATGCCAGTTCAGAAGACCTTCCTGAGTGCACCTCAGTATTAGCTTTATAGCATCACAAGAGACACATTAAGCTAAAACAGAGAGTGGCCTAAAACTGTTTTGAATCCAAATTGCTCTGCCTAGATTGCCCTGCCTTTTATCCCCCAAGCAACACCAGCCAGGGCGCATCAGTTACACATACTTTCATGTGCACCATCACAATCAGCTTGCTGTTTTTCCTTACAGTGCTATACGGTCGTCACTTGGCCCTGGGTGATGCCACCCATCCGACAGGTACCTGTGGGGATTGTTCCGTCAGTCACATTTGTCATGCAACTCATGACTGCAATAGAGGAATCAATTTATTTGGAGGGCTGGAAGGGAATCACTTCCTGTTTCTTGATGGAAAAAAATTAGCACTTTCTGATGGCTAGGAGCATCTTACACTTGAAAAATGTCATTTGGGCCTCCTGCAGTAAATGAGTACAAACTGCACAATTATTCCTCGCTCAAGCATATTTAAATATTTAAGTTGTATATCAATGTACAATGATTTCTAAGTTACCAGCAATAATAATCACAATAAAGGTTGCTTTATTGCATTAGGGTGCATTCAGAGCACAGCAGTGTCTTCCTGACTAGTTTCCTCTAGGCAAATTTTGTGCTATTGGTGTAAATAATACACTATATAAAAAGCTTTAACCATTTGGCCTCGGTTGCACCCTGTATGGGTGTCCCAGTGAAATTATACAAGTGTAGGGGAAGAACAGAGAAGGGAACGGTGCCTTCTCTTTGGGTGGTATTAAGATTAGTTTTTACAAATAAACCTTCCTTGATAAAGGAACTTCTTTTGGAAATGCATTAGGTACTTGCTATCTTTGTTTTGCCCTTTGGCTCTTCAGCACTTTTCCTACATCTGTAGTTGGAAGCCAGTGTCACAGAGTGGTTGAAATGTGGGGCTGGGATCTAGGAGCTTTGGATTCTGGCCCACACTCAGTAACTCTGGGCCAAGCACTGACCTTCAGGCCTAGTCTACCTCACAGGGTTGTTGTGATGATAAAATGGCAAGGAAGAGAACCTTGGAAGCCACCATGCAAGAGGAGGAAAGGTGGGGTATAAGTGTAATAATGTTAATGTTATTGTTATTTGATCTTCCATTTTAATGATTCACTCTGGTCAATATAGCGGAGATTTAGTCTAAAGCACAGTCAGTGCAGTAAAACTACAATATGGGAATACTTGGTATTCTCGTTTCATGATAGATAAGGCATCGCATCTCCAAGCAACCTGCCAGTTATGGTCCACTGTGGCAATGGAGAATGAATGCACATCTTATTTGATGGTATCTTGCCATCTGCTGCTTCTGACCGCGCATGGTTCACTGGAATGTCTCAGTTTTAGAGCTTGCTTTGATTATATCAGCCCCTACTCATCGGGGTGCATCAGGGAAGCACCAAGAGCCCTTAGTTTGGGGTGTGAACCTCAGATCCGCAAGCCAAGTTTGCCCCCACAGCTTTTCAGATGGCCCTATTCCTTCCCCTTCCCCAGCCCTGCCTGCTTCCTTCCCCTCAACATTCATTTGTTCAGTGGTTTCCTGGCATTTGCAGTTTTTTCCTATTCTAAAATGGCTGAAAAGCCTCTCCCAAAGAGCTTCAAGATAAATTTAACTAAATGAGGCTGTTTTTTAAAAATATTTCTGGCATTTTTAAACCACCCCTTTTGGCCTTGCTTAGGCATGCAGTCAAAATCGAATTCAGCTCAGAGGTGGAAAGCGATTTGCCACCTTTGGTTTAGTTCAAGGGCAGCGGTGCCCTGCCAAGTAAGCACACATCTGTAGATGGAGAGTTCTTTGGAGAGGTGAGTTCTGGCAACATGCACCTCCTCCTGAGTTGGTGGTCCCCCAACCAGCATCTTAAATTTTCCACATTGCTCCAGAGTAAACAGTGCAATGTTGCTCTGAGATGCTGTAGAAATTTAAAATCCACCAATATAGATGGCTTTAAAAGGGGATTGGAAAACTTCATGGGAGGAGAAAGCTATCAATGGCCACTAGTCACTGCTGGGGAAGTTGCAACCAGTTGCATCCTGGGCTGTTGCACTCAGGATGTGAGAACGGGATGTAGGATGAGACAGACCATGGTCTGTTGTGATGGCCCAGCTGCCTGCCCTTGGGAGGTCCAGATGCTACCGGGACAGCCTTGCCCAGGGCACTCAATTACTCTGGGATGCCAGCTGCTGATTACTGCTGGCTCAGCTTCTAAAGCAGTTGGCATGACTGCTTTGTTCCATGCTTGCATGTAATTCCAAAGGACAGACAGGTAGGCAAGCTAGAGACAGATGGATCCTGCTGGATTCTTCTGCTCCTCCCTTTCCTGCTACTAACGCTGGACTGTGTCACTCACGTTCAGACGCAGGTATTCAGTCCACTGCCCGATGGCCTTGTACCCGGGGGCCGTGGTGTTGGTCAGCTGATACTGGAAAATGTCATAGCGGCCAGGGGCATCTCCATTCTCATTGAACATCACCGGCGTTCCAGCACTGCCTGCAAGAAGGGAAGGGTTGGGTCACAGATAGGACACTGATGCCTCTTTGGGCTGAAATGAGTGGAAAGAGGGATTAGGTAAATTCATGGAGGAACAGGCTATCAGTGGCTGCTAGTCCTGATGGCTCTGTGCTACATCCAGGATCAGTTGCGGGGAAACATGGGTTGGGTTGGGTTGGAGGGTGCTATAGCATTTTGCCCAGCTTGTAGCCTTCCCACAGACATCTGGTTGGCCGCTGAGTGAAAAGAATCTGGACCAAATGGACTTTGACCACATCCTGCAAGGCTCTTCTGATGTTCTTATGTTCCCATTTCAAGCTGCAAGGGTTGGTGGGCAGAGAAAATCACATCTCTGTATGCTCCCCGACTTCAAAAACTCTCTCCACAAACAAAATGAGCAAGGCAGGAAGAAGTTTTCAGGCTAGCGTTGTCCCCAAGTTTCTAGTTTCAAATGTCCAGAGAATAGAAGTGTTGTTTCCTTGTGAATGTGCAAATGTAATCAAATGCACTGAATGTGCGTTTGCATGTACAATGTGCACATGCACATAACCTAAAGTGGCATGGCAAAAAGGTCCCTCTTCCATGGCCATCACCCTCACAGACAGCCACATGCTATCCAGCTGTATCGCTCCCCCTCCAGTAGCTGAAGCCATTGGGAGTGGTGGTGCTATCATTACTTAGGGTGCCATCCCATGCATGTTATGCAGAAAAAGGTTCAACAGCTCCCAGCATTCTTCAGCCACACTGGCACTTGCAAGATCTTTTCAGTCTAAACATGCACAGGATTGTTCCTGTGTTTCATTTCAAAAGCAGGAACATTTTAAAGGGGAGGGGAATGTGCAGAATTTTAGTTCAGCCCTGGAGCTCAGCAGGTGACTTTAGGTCACTTAGGTTCTCAGCCTAACCTAACTTACAGGGCTGTTGGTATGGGAATAAAATAGAGAGGAGGAGGAGGGTTATATGAAGGAAAGGAAAGGATGGATATACATATAATAAATATGCATCCACACCTCTGCAATAAAAGCACAACCTGTGATCAGAACCCATGCATTCCTAAGTTTGCAGAGCTATTCAAGGGTAGGCAAAATGAGCCACTTAGGAAAATTTGCATTAAATGTGCCCCAACCCACGTTAATCAGTGGAAGAAGAAGGCAATAGTATTGAATGCACACCCAGGTACTTTGTGCTACTTCAGAAGGAAAGATTTAAAAGCTCCGCATCTGTTACACGCTTACGTCAGCCCCAGACTGAGGTTCTGAACTGTTGAGAATCTGAACAAGCTCGGCTTGGGTTGCCTTCCACCTCCCAAACTGACACCTCCAGAGGGACTTGCTGCAGATCTCACCGTTGAAGTTGACGGCCAGGATGTAGCGCAGTAGGGTACGCCCATGAATGGGGTCCATCTTGTCGCACACGCCGATGTGGCCGGGGCAGAGCTCCAAGTGCATGTTATGCAAGGCATGGGCCATGGCATAGACTGCGTCAATCACAAACTGCACTTTCCCCTCCTGCTCATAGGTTGAATCACGACCGATCCTCTCGTCCCCTGGAAAAGGGGCCGGGAGAAACATGGGTCACAGCTGAGCCAAGTGGGGTCATCACACTCCATCACATAATGAAACACTTGCAGCGATACCTATTTTTGTCATGGTGCCCTGCTTTTGGAAGTGAAGGAGCCTGATTAGCTTAACTAATATTATTTGCTTTTAGCTTAACAAACGCCATTTGCTTTTTGTATAACTGCTTGCTTTGGAGAGGAAAAAGGGAAGGCAAAAGAACATTGATAAAGAGGCAGTGAGTATAGAAAGACTGAATAAAGAAAACTGAAAGAATCTCCGCCTGTCTGAACCTCATTGGCACTTGGTTTAGCTGGTCTGTAAGTCACCTGGCTAGCAGGGACACCAACAGAAGTCTCTCCCCTTGTGTCCAGCTGCTCTCTTTAGGTATGAGGCAAATCTGTCTCTATATCTTTATATTTCTATCATCTATCTTAATATCTATTTTCATTTCCCAGGCCTTTAAAATACATTCAACAAAGATGTTCACAATTGCTCTATTGCAGGGGTCTCAAGCTCACAGCCCATGGGCCAATTGCGGCCTGTGGGACAATATTTTGTGGTCCCCACTTGATATCAAAGTTTACTGATAGTGCGGCCTGTGCATTTTTCTCACACGCACCTGCGTGAGTCGTTACCCTGGATGCAACGTTCCCTCTAAGCTGCGTGCCGGGACGGTCGGCCTTGGGCAGCAGCGGTGGTGGTGGGCCGCTCATCCCGCATCGCTCCCAGAGACCGGCCTGGGCACCGCCGGCGCTTTGAAGGCCACAGGGCCCCTCCCCCGTGCCCCACCCGTCCCGCTGCGCAGCTTAGAGGGAACATTGCCTGGGCGTTTTATAATTTTTGTCACCTGTGGGCTACCATAGCTCAGGATCGTGACAGCAACACAAATTAACGTTAGTCACTTGAAACGTGATTCGGGAGTGTCACTGAGTGAAGGGAAAATATATCCTGTCACCCAGTGCAAATACATTTTTTTTTGTCACCCAGCCCCAGTCATGTCTTTCTCAAAACCTGCCGTGAAGAGAAAGGTTGGCGATGAGCACAGACAATTTCAGGAGAAGTGGGAGACGGAATTTTTTTTGTTGAGCACAGGGGCATCCCAACGTGTCTTATATGCACAGAGAAAGTTGCGGTGCACAAGGAATACAACATCAGACGTCATTGCTCAACTAGACATGCTGAGGAGTATGCAAAATACCAGGGAGATGAGAGAGAGGACTGTCGCCAAACTTAAAACATGTCTACTGAGGCAACAAGATTTTTTCAAGAAAGCAAGCAAAGAGAGTGATGCAGCAGTCGAAGCCAGCTACGTAGTGAGTGAGATGATTGCTAAGGCAGGAAAGCCATTTAAAGATGGCGAGTTCATCAAAAAGTGCATGTTACAGGCTGCAAGTATAGTCTGTCCGGAAAAAAAGGGTCAGTTTAGCAACATCAGCCTCTCAGCCAACACAGTGGCAGAGCGCATTTCTGACCTGTCAGGTAACATTTACGATCAACTGCGTGAGAAAGCTAAACATTTTCATGCATACTCAGTCGCTCTTGATGAAAGCACAGACATCACTGACTCTGCGCAGCTCGCAATATATGTCCGTGGTGTTGATGACAATTTTGAAGTGATGGAGGAGTTACTCACAGTGATTCCAATGCATGGCCAGATCACCGCTCAGGAGATATTCCGCCAGTTGTGTGATGCCATTGCAGATGCTGGCTTACTATGGAAGAGTTTTGCTGGAATAATAACCGACGGAGTGCCATCAATGACAGGGAGCAGAAATGGAGTCATGGCACTTGTTCAAAGAAAATTGGAAGAAGAGGCTGTGGAAGAGGCCATTGCTCTGCACTGAATTATCCATCAGCAGGCCCTTTGCAGCAAATGCCTGAAGTCTGACAATGTGATGTCTGACATTGTGAAATGCATCAACCATATCAGATCCAGGGGCTTAAAGCACCGGCAGGTCCATGCCTTTTTAGAGGAAATAGAGTCAGCATATGAGGATGTGCTCTACTACACCGAGGTACGTTGGCTTAGCAGGGGAAACGTCTTGAAGAGGTTTTTTGAGTTGAGAGCAGAGGTGAAAATCTTCATGGAGAAAGATGGGATGGCTGTTCCTGTACTAAGTGATCCCAAATGGCTCATGGACTCAGGTTTTCTTGTTGACATCACACAGGAGCTGAATGTACTGAACAAGAAATTACAAGGCCAGGGGCAGCTTGTCAGTGCTGCCTATGACAATGTCAGAGCATTCTCCACAAAACTTGTGTTATGGAAAGCCCAGCTTTCTCAGACAAACCTCTGCCATTTCCCAGCATGCAAGGCACTCATGGATTCTGGCACACCATTCAGCGGTGAGAAGTATGCTGATGCCATTGTAAAGCTACAGGAAGAATTTGATCACAGGTTTGCAGATTTCAAGACACACAGAGCCACTTTTCACATTTTTGCTGACCCCTTCTCCTTCGATGCAGAAGATGCCCCCCTTGTGCTTCAAATGGAGCTAATTGACCTGCAGTGCAATTCTGAACTCAAAGCCAAGTTCAGGGAGGTGAGTGGAAAAGCAGACAAGCTTGGACAATTTTTGAGAGAATTGCCCCTTACCTTCCCTGAGCTTTCCAGGATGTTCAAGAGGACCATGTGCCTTTTTGGGAGCACCTATCTGTGTGAAAAGCTCTTCTCCACCATGAACTTTAATAAGTCAAAGTTCAGGTCCAAACTTACTGATGAGCATCTTCAAGCCATACTGAGGGTCTCAGTTGCTTCCTCCCTCAAGCCAAATGTGGCTCAGCTGCGTAAGAGGAAGCACTGTCAGGTCTCTGGCAGCAAGGAGTAGGAGGAAGTAAGAGAAGCCTATGTTCTGAAGAACCGTTCATGTTCTGAATTATTATTAGTAAAGATTGAGAAGATTGGATCAGTTGTACTTTTTTTTGGAATACTTGAAATCCTTTTTTTGTGGAATACTTGATGAGGCCCACCCTCACCCAGACTCTACTTCCAGCGACCCCCAGGTAAGTTGAGTTTGAGACCCCTGCTCTATTGTTTAAAAAAGATGTATTTTTTAAAATGCAGTTTGGACTCAGGCTGGTTCCCCCCAAACAATTGGCACAGACCCCTGCCACTAGCTGCTATTTGCCCCAACGGCACTGCTTGCCCCAGCAGCTGGATGGCCAGGTGTTCCTCTGTACAAAGATGAATCCTTTCTTAGAAGAGCTCCTCTGTTTGATAGGCCACTCTGTCCAAGCAATTCTGTTCATAAGCCCAATCTGTTCATAAGCCCAATCTGTTCATAAGCCCAATCTGTTCATAAGCAAGAGAAAAGACAAAGAGCCATTTGAACAAAGAGCAGGGCAGGAGCCCTTGAAGTTGCTTATCCAGTTTCCCTCTGGCCAAGGCACCCTGCCAGTCATCTGTACTAGGGTGAGATGTTCTTTATATTGTTGGGAAAATTTGGATAAATCCTATCTGAAAAGCATTACTTCTGTGTGCCTTTGCATTGTGGGATCAAATCCTGTTTTCCTTCTCAAAACCAAGCAGTCACTGTTTAAAATGGCATTCCCCCACTCCTTTCTCTCACCTTTAGCTGTAAGCTACAGTACACAGGCCATTTAGTCCAAATTTACATTGTATGCCTTCACAATGATTAAATAATCATTGTTGGAATTCAAGGAAGTATCTTCCTACCCCAGAGGCTCCATGTGCCCTGGCCAATTCAGAATGTTTAGAGTCTAGATAAGAATCTTGAGTTCATGCATAGTTTCTCAGTAGCTTCAATTTACATGTCTAAGCAGACCTGGAGATGGGTTCAAGCTACTGAACTGAAGTGTCAATACACTGCAATTTGAAATATTGCAATCTTATTGTCACTGTGTGATTGACTGACATTTCTTTATCTGTGCTGTATGTGATGACCTCAGAATCTTATTGTAATCTCTGCATTCTGTCACTAATTGCCCTGTACCTGTGTACCTATACATGCCCTGTAATGGTACTGAAGCTTTGCTGCAGAGTCCATCTCTGCCTGCCCGGTAATGCATGCATTATCGTGAGTACCGCGGGAACCTTGGGGTAAATACAATAAAGCCTCAGATGGTCTGGACGCTTGGTCTTTCCCACAAACCCGAGTTTTATTCCCTCTTCTCAAATTGAGATTCCGGGATTCTGACAATATCCACAGCAGAAATGCAGAGCAGGAGGTGTGGGGAGCTGGGGAAGTCCTCTGCTGCCCCTCCTGCAGTGGGCTGGATGGGGCAGCAGAAGCTAGGCTCACAAAGTCTGGAGTCTGGGGCTTTTCCCCAATAATTTACTTTGCATAATTTCCTGTGGGGAGGGGTGCTGCATCTCAGAGGGTGGGGTGGGGCCACAGGCTAGAAACCCCAGCATCTGGACTGTCTGCACACCTGCTTTAGACCTCCCTCCCCATTCACACACACTCAGCCACTAAAAGCTAACTCGTGTATCTGTAGGCAGGTGAGCTCCTGCTAGTTTTGTCTGCTCCTGACTTCTGTTGGATTTCTTTGCGAGGCTGCCATAATGCATTCATTTAATCCTTTTGTATTTTGTTTAAAGGGATACAATTCAGGCAAAGAATCCAGCACACTGGTCAGTGCTGAGCAGCTGCTGAGGCAGGACAAAATTCAGTGTCTTTTTTTGTCCAGCAGCAACATGGAGTGGTTTCGTTGCAGGCAACACAGAAGGGCAGAAGAGAATGTGGGCAGGAAGAAAGGAGGGCATTTGCAGTGACCACATGGATCTCAGGAAAGCAAACCAGATTCAACTTGCATTGACTGAAAGCATTTGAACGGAACTGCAGGGCAGTAGTGAGGAGGGCTCCAAGATAGAGAGAACCCTGCTCCTTTCCACTGGGCCCAGGGGAGGGATTTGTGAGTCTAATCTCCTCCACTCCCTGTGGAACTGTGAAAGGCCCTGTAACTTCCTGATAACATTTCCCCACCACCACTGCCCAACCCTGCGATTAGTGCACATCCAGGGTGCAGGGCTGACCCCAATATTTGGCTGACAGAGGCGAAACCTCAGGCTCCTCTCCTTTTTCCCTCCAACTCCCATGCCAAAGCCAAGCAAAGGGCCTGATGAAAGTCAGCTCTGATGGCACAGTGTCCTCACTCAGCCTGAGGGGACCCAGGGGCTTACGGGGCTTAAGACGGGCCATGTGTGGAGGGGAATTTCTTGCCCCTCAGTCCCCTTGCTGAGGGGTATTTCTCCCCCCTCAGCCTCTAAGAGGGCTGTCTCGCTCTGCCCTATGATCGGACGGCCCTCCAGGTGCAGGAGGAATCAATCATAAAGGGCAAGATTGTGTGTTTGGGCAAGAGCATGTGTTGGGCAAGAGCTGTGCTTTACATTCCCCCTTCCTGTTTGGAGCACCCCCCCCCCCACATCCCTTTCCGCATCCGGAGTATCCATACCGGTACATTTCCGCGCCATCTCATCAGGCTTCAATCCCGGGCGGGTGAGTTTACATTTGAAATCCTCTTCCCAGAACTCAGCGAACCAGATGTTGCGCCGATTGTTCTCCAGGGAGCGCGTGGTGAAGTATTGGTCGAAACCTCCGCAAAAGCATGGAAAAAGAGGGCAAGTGAGTGAGCGAAGCAGATCGAGGACTCGGCAGGCAAGGCGGCCTTGCAAGGTGTTGCCAGCCTCCATAGCTCCGCCTTTTCAACAGTAGCTTGATCCGGAGATATTTGCAGCAGGCAAACAAGAATAAGCTTCCCCTGCAGGTTTCTGCAGTCTGTGCTTATGTGAAAGACACAGGAGCGGGCTGGGCTGGGGTGTTTTCCTAGTCAGTTGGCAGCCCTCCGGTGTGTGTCTGTATCCGAGTCGTCAGGAAATCCCCTCCCTCCAGCATTCCCCCGATTTTATCCCAGGTACGTAGGAACTAAGATGATTAGAGGCAATGACCTCCCTTCCATCTCTAAAAGTTATGTAGAAATGTCAGCAGGGTGGTTTTTTTCTCATTCCTGCAGGCCAAACTATGACATTCAAAACTTACTCTCTCAACAGAAACAGCATTTTCCTTTGTAGCTGGTCACTGGAGTGGCTGCCACTATTCACCATCTTTAACCGGTGGTGGGGCACAGGCATTCTGCACGTGCTCAGAGCACTTTCTCTCCAAGCATGTGCAGGATTGGAGCTGGGCCTCTGGCAACAGATTGCAAGGCCATCTCATGGTGAGGTTTGGCTCATGCTAAACATTTCCTCCTTTTTCAAGATCTCACTTGCCATCCTTTTTTTCTCCCCTCAGTTGAAATCTTCAGATTTGTTATCACTGCCTCTCCTCCTTCAGACATGTAATTTTTCACCTTTTTAAATAGGGACAATAGCTCCATGTCCTCAGTGATTACATACCAGGTTGCCCTGAATGGTGCTTTTTTTAAAAAAATCAGAAAGTAGACTATAAAATGCATTAAACAGCCAGGAATCAGTAAGTGAATTACAGCTCCATGTGAGAACTCTGTGATATAGAAAAGCTGCAGTGGATACGCTTCTCTCCATTCAGCCTGACCACTCAACTCAAAAGATCTCATTTCTGCACAGGTCATGGAAAGCCATGTTCCCTCTGCCCTCTCTACCAACGCCCCTTGCCTTTCTCCTGCAGGATCACATCATACAAAAAATGAATCCTGGATAGCCACTCCTCTGGTCCAATGAATCCAAACCCCTAATAGATGGGAATCCCTAGGCTGCCCTCAAAAATGCAATAAAAGTGTGGCAAAAGGCTTGCTTCTGTGTAGCCTACAGGCTCCCAGAGCTAGGAAGTGTTGACTCAAGCCAGCCATCCTGTGTATGTTTGGAAAGAAAAACCGTCTGGCTGGAGAATGCTGGGAGTTGTAGGATTTTTGCCTGTCAAAACATGCATCGGATTGTGCCCTGAGAGCATTAAGTTATGGACACCTGGATCCACTTAAATTGGATTAGCCACCCCTTAATGCCCTTTAACACCATCTCATATTCTCAACTAGGACACTTACAGAGCAGTGTTTAAGCCTGGATTGTCTCCACGAATTAAGCTTATGGGTAAATGAATGTGCTTGAGTGAGAAATAAACAGGAAGAAGAGTGCTTTAGCTGAGGTCCCATTTTCCAAAGCAGAAAGGTGCTCTCTTGTTTTCTCTATCTCCCTGCCCCCCACTAAGGCACTCACTGAGGGGTCACAGCCCTTATTACCTTCAATAGAGGCCCTTTTGGGTAAGATGGTCACAGCTCCTTCGGCCACCTCCTCTTGCTTCAAAATGGGGGAGATCTTGGCCCCCCAGCTGTCCGAACCTACCCACAGGAACTGCCCCGTCAGGTTGGCGTTGCGTGCTGCTTCCAGCACTCGCCTGCAGGAGGTGCAAAAGAAATGCAGGTTAGCATCACACCCAGCATGCAGTGGCTGGCAGCCTCATGGTGGTGGTGCCCTTCAGAGGCTTGGGGGCACAACTCCCATCAGCCCCAGCCAGCATGGCCAATGGTGTCAAAGATGATAGGCACCATAGTTGCATTCTTTTGGAACTGCAGCTGAAGGCACACTCACTTTATGTCATCCTCGTTGGCAAAGATGATAATGCCGCGAGCGTTGGGGGTTTCCATCAACCTCTTGATCAGTTTGTCAAACTCACCAGGTTTGGGTTCTCGAGGGATCTTGATGGACTGGGCAATGCAGACTCCACCTGACAGATGCAAGAGAGCTTCAGGAATGGGCTGGGGACAACTGAAGCTTGGCGGCTTTGCATAGAGAGTGTATCAAAAGGCTTCGGGAGCAGACGATGGGAAAGAGTTCCCTCTGCCCAAGATGCTGGAAAGCACCAGCCAAGACAAAACAGTCTGAGCTGCTACAAGGGAGCTTCTGGTGCTCCTGGGGTGCCCTTCCAGCCTCTTCTAAACCTACTCTGGTCTTTGTGCTCTTCCCCACTCTGTGCTGTTCTGCAGTCCTAGACTACAGTCCAGAGCAGCAGTGGTTTCCTTTGGAAGCTTATCAGGGGTTCCTGTAAGCCAAACTACTCTCACCTTGTCCTTCCGCAGCTGCTCTTTCTTGTGTGTCATGTCTTTATAAATTGTAACCTGCCTGTCTTTTTTACTGATTTATGTAATTTACCCAGGAAGCCATGTTTTGGTGGAGTAGAATAAAAATGCTTTAAATAACTAAACAGGTGGCTGTGTGTATCTTTGTTTCATCAGATGCAGCTTCTGGGGGCCGTGAGTTTCAGCAGAAGCAAAGGGGTGATCACTGGTGGAAAATCCCCTTTCTTTCCTGTGATTTCACTGGCGCCTACAGGAGGGGGGTGGATGTGGGAGGAAAGCCGTGTGTGCTGCATTTCATATGCAGTTTGCCCTTCAAGTGGGTGCCAGATCGACATTCATGGGAGGGCCCAGAGAGGTCCACAAACTGGTATTTCTGTGAGCCTTAGAAGTGACCCTTCAATTCTTGCCACACTTGTGGATGGTTGAAATCTGGGAAGTGTACTCCATAAGCAGAACAGCGCAGGCCATTGAGGCAGTGAGGAGGGGCAGCAGCAAATGCCCCCGCCTGCTGATTCGTTGGTTCTCTGCCTGCCAAGCCAGCAAGCGGGCAGAACTAAGAGGAGGGCGGTGAGGAGCAAGAGCAGAGGTGAGAAGGCAAACGCACTTCCCCGGGGCTGGCAAAACCTGGAGCCAGCAGGTTGGAGAAGGCTGCCCTTGCTTATAGCTGATACGAACTTGGGGCAGGGGTTGGGATTCTCAGAGAAGCATTCAGCAATGTTTGCCTGCATGAGCACATGGAGGCGGGATGCAGTTGGAGGGATCCCATAGAAAGATAGCCAGGCACAAAGCTTGCAGGACCTTTGACTGATCATACAGTGCATCAAGGGGAGCCTTAAACCTCTTCTGGCTCACCCCCAGGCTCAGGGGAAAACCTTATTGTGGGTCAGAGTCCCACCTCTCTGTTGCTTCCTACCTGGAATGTACCTGGGTCTCCCCCAGAAGCTCCCAGTTGCTAGGCTGGGTGCAGCCTTGGGCTGTGGGTCCTGCAGCTCTGCTGGGGATGCTGGAGCCTGGACTCTGGCAGCACCTCCCTTCAGGTCTGATGCTAACCACTGCTCAGGGCCAGGGTCATGACCCCAGGCAAGAGGATTTCGCTCTGGAGGACATAACCCACATTTGCATCTCCTAATTCCCCTCTATGGGATCCCTCCCGAACTAAAAAGATGCTAATACTGGTCAAGATGCTAATACTGGTCAACTGACCCGAGAGCAGCTCTGGAGCTGTTTCTCGCACGAGGAGGCAGCCCTAACCTGCTGCTCTAACTTCATTTTCCATGGTGATTCTCCCAAAACATGTTCAGCCCCTGCTGCCCTGCACCAGCTCAGTGCAGAGCTACAGCAGAGCTTCAAGGTTAGGGGCACCAACCAGTGGCTGGCCTCACAACCCAGGCCCTCCTGGCTGTGCATTGAAGGCAACCGTTTTCTGCACATGCAGGCTGCCAGAAGATGAACTTGCCTCTGATCATGTGCAGAGTGCCCAGCAGCCTCCAGCTGCACATGGCTGCCGCTGCCACCCCCAGCGTCACCCATCAAGCAGCCCATCTCTCACCAGCCTCGCGGGAGATCTGCACAAAGGCATCGACACCGCTCTCGCCGTAGTTGCCTTCGGAGGCCAGTGTGGAGACATAATTCCAGCCCAGCGCTTTGACAATGTCCACCATGGCTTGGGCCTGGTAGGAGTCAGGAGGGACCACACGTGAGAAATAGTCGTAGCGGTTGCTGTCGCTGAGCTCAGGAGCTGTGGAGGCGTAGCTGATCTGGGGGATCTGCAGGGTGCAGAGAAAAGTACTGGTGACAAGCAGTCACATTGTCTCCCCTCGTTACAGGGCAGGGCTGCCACCAGGCCTCTGGCCCAGCAGTACTCTGTCCTGCTCTCTCCTTTCAACCCAGGGGTGCAGAACCTCAAATATCCATGGAGTCCCAGTATGGCCCTCTGGGAGTCCCCCAAAGGTCCCACCCCTCCCACAGCCACTGACCACGTGTTGTTACCCCAGGTTTTGCATTTTATTTTTTGTATTTATTTATTAATTACATTTTTATACTGCCCAAAAGCTCAAAGGGTCTCTTTTGTTTGGGTTTTGTTCTAGGTTCTACCTGCCATTCTAGAAAGTTGAAATGCCCCTCCGAAGCTGTGGTCATTGGCAATAAGATCTTTAAGCTAAAAGATGCTCACATTTTGGCCTTCGTTGTTTGCCTGTAACTGGGCTGCGGTCCCTGAAAGCTGCTCTGAAATGAAACTGGGCCCTCAGGCTTTGCACCTCAATTCCAACTCTTCCACAGTGCCTACTTCTTCTGCCAGGATTTTTCTGGTCTTTCTCTTAGCTCTTCCCTACCTCTTCACCAAGTACTGTCCTTTCTCTTGACCTCTGTTCCCTTCCTAGCAAGCTCAGATGGTAAACTGACAGGGACACTTTTGTTCTTGTACGTGTGTTAGAGCATGAAACATACCACTAACACAACAAGAACGTCAGACTGTAGCTGCTTCAGTAACAATGGCAGATGTAACTGTTGTGGTGGTGGGGAGTGACAATCAGAGCTCCATAGAACTGTTTGGAAATGAGGAAATTGTGACCCAGAGGGCATGGGCCATGAGACGCTCCGGGCAGCTATTCTTTATTTACTTATGTATCTATTTGTTGCATTGTGGCTATAGGGTGGTATGCAGGTGCGACATATAAACAAATTTATATTGGCCACCAGTGAAGATTGTGATTGAGATGTTTCACCAGCATAAAATAATAGAATGCAATCATTGCAAAGCAAACATTACATTGGCAGCAAAGCAGTTTCAGAGCATAGCTGGAAAAACAGATAAGCAGTGAATTAAAAGTTAATGAGCAGTTTGGACAATACAGTAACCCCAAATGGTAAGGAGCTCTGTGTGTGAGTGAGTGAGTGAGTGAGTGAGTGAGTGAGTGTGTGTGTGTGTGTGTGTGTAAAGATCCATTGTTCTTTCAAAACATCCTTGAAAAAGGAGATCTGAAAACTCATTTTCCCCAGAAAAAGGGAGTGGGATGTACTTTTGCACTTTCCTATGCAGCTAGAGTTTTGGAGCAAAAAATACAAAATGTGCATCAATCTGGGCTAAAAAGCAAAACATGAGGTGATCCACTGACCACACTCTTTTTTGCTGTCAAAGATCCCTCACACTTTTGCCTTCCCTTGACAGGTCACCTTTTGATAACTGTCAGGGAAAAGCAAAGGGAGGAGAGAAACTACAGTATTTGTACCATCTCTGAGCCAACAGAGGTACCTCCCCAGCACATTAACCAGGTGAGACATCCCTTTCTGAGACCCACACAGATATACAGAGCTGCACTTATACAAGATAGACTATAAAATAAAATGAGAAATATTCCAAAATAACTTGCACACGTCTGAGGTGCAATAACATTTTATAAAATGGGGTTTGGCCACCCTGTGGTAGCCCCACCAGTGTGCTAATTGGGCACTTAGGAGGGGTTGTCACTGCTGTCAAAAGAAGGAAAGGTTTAAAGGAGGAAATGGTAAACAAAAAGATGGCCTTCCAATCATGGAGGATTGGAGAAGATAACCGTGGTCCTGCCATGCTGCCACCTGGAATACTGGCTGGGGGACTGAAGGGGAGCAAGGGGCAAACACCCAATGGCGAGTCCAGTCATTGGCTGGGCTCATCATGGATTGTTTTGAAAGAAACTAGCCAACCATGGCTTATTGCTAGGTGGGTTAGAGCCATGTGCAAACCTGCCCAGTTTTGTGCATTTTAAAAGCAGATGAGCATAAAAGGCATCAGGAGAGCCTCTCTTTGGGAGAGAAGTCCCTTACCCAAACAGCCATCCAGCTGACTTCACGCAGCACCGGCGTCTAGAGTAGCACCTCAAGGCTGAGCTAGCAATATGGAAGTGAAGGCAGCCTTTCAGAGAGCCTGCTGGTCTCAAGCTGTTATGAGCACCACGGTGGAAACCAGCACTTCTAACTGAGCTGCGAATCAGCACTCCCGTGGATGCAAGACCACTGAATTGCCCAGTCCCCTCTGCTGGGCCATTGTAGTTTCTGGATCATTTTCACAGACATTGCAGTAGTCTAAACAGGCAACTACCAGCAGAGGGATGATGGGCCCAGGCTATCTCCAAGCAGATAAGGCCACAAGTGGCATGTCAGCAGAAAGTGTGGGAAAATGTTCCCAGCCACGGAGACCTCTGGTGCAGGGCTGCCCAATCTTTTTGGACCTGTAAACACCTATGGGAATTTGAAAAACTGCTGTAGACACCACCATAAACAGACTACCAGAGAAGATGTGGCTAGTCGAAGAGTGAGTAATACACCCAAGGCACTGAGTACAAGAAGAGTCTAATGACAGTCCATATATTTGACCCTACAGAGGTACACCAGAAAAGACTCACTATGCATGCTTATATGGAACCCACAGCAATTACTTCAGAGTAACCCTACATAAGGATTGCAGTGCTCAGCCTAGCCCTAGACCTATATGCACCTTGTTTCAGCCCCAAATGAAAGGAAAAAAACCCCCAAAACCTTGCAATTCCCCCCAGCCCCTGGTGATTCTCTGACTTTTGTATCTTTTTTCACCATCCTAAAAGGCTAGAATGGGCCACCTACACCTTGCAATCTGTCAATAAGCGCTGTAAGCAAAAGTATGCCTAATATTTTGGTCCTGCCCCTTTTTGTCTTGTCCACTGCCACCACTGGAATGTAGCCCCCACAAGCTCCTCTCAAGTGGAATTTGGCCTCAGGCTGACAAAGATTCTGCATCCACATTTTCTTTAAAAGAGAAAGAAAACAAACCAAAGGAAGTCCTCCAACCCTTATTTGCCAGTGGGGGCTAGGGCAAAGTGTGAACCTGTAAGTGTGAAGTGCAAACAGTAATTAAAGCCCCCACCAAATCAAAGGGAAAAGGCAATTCATCATGAAGATTCCATAGAACAAGGAGCAATAAAATGTGCAGTCCCTGGAAAGAGGAAGCTGCTACTGGGGAGCACAGGTTGATGGACTTACTTGTGAGTAAAAGTTCTGGAAAGATCTTGGCCATGGGAAAGCGGTGCTGCCATATATGATGCTGTATTGTAATTGGTTCCTTGTGGGAAAACAATGCCTCTGTAGGGTTAAACAGCCCTAGTGTGGAATCAACCTGAGATACTGGCTGTGTTCACATAGCACAACAAGCAATCCTGCATGGTTCAGTTTTGATTCTGACAGACAATCAAGTGGTTTATATGTTATCATGGTTTCCGTCCTCCCTGTTCAGTCCTCCCACTGTTAGCATGTATCCCATGTGCCTGAAATTCAATTCCAAGTTGAATCACTCCCTGACTAGGTCTCTTGTCTCTTCCTCATTGGCCCACACATAGAGGCTAGATGGCTGGAGCAGCTCCTGCAGTTGCCACTCTTTTCAGAGGACTCTGGTAGTTGCATACCATGATCATGGAAACCGTGCTCCTGGGTTTTGACAACATGACCAGCAATGGTGGTATGACAAATCACAGAATAAAATTATGTTTCCTAACATGGTTTTGAAAGACCAGCTTACCATGGTGAAATATCATGACTGGGTTCAGACAACATGAAAGATCAACAATGGTAAAAAAAAACCCCACCATAGTTTGTGATATTGTCTGAACTTGTCTGTTGAGTGCAGGGCCCAGCAAATCTGAGAGGCCACACTGAGTATATGAGAGGAGCTGCTGTGCTCACCATAGTAGAAATGGACTGAGTGTTGGGTTTAAAGGATAGAAACAAAAGTTAAATACTCCACTCCATGATGAAGCTCCATGAGCAGCTCTGGGCAATTCCCACTTTTTTTCACCCCCAAAGCCAACAGTGGATTCTCGCACTTAGTGCCTTTCAGATCTTTTGGACTGCAGCTCCTAGCATTCCTGATCATTTGCCATGCTGGCTGGGGCTGATGGAAGTTGAAGTCCAAGACACTTGGAAGGCACCAGTTGGGGGCATCTTGAGCTTGCAGACTGAAAATGAAGGATGAAGAGGAAATGGAAGGCAGAGATTAGAAGGCTGCATCATGTCGGCACAATAATTTTGGGGGGTTCTCAAGAGACAGACCAGAGGATTCCCATTCACTGAAGGAGGGAGGGGAAACTGAGGCCGGGGGCATCCCACAGACTGAGCTAATTCTCCTGACTCTTTCCCAACTCCTTTGCATTCCTGTCTCCTTGACCCCCTCCCAGAGTTTCACACAATCCCAGGACTCTCAGTTCCCCACAGGTGGAATCTTGCACCCCAGTCCATTCTCTTCTACTTAGAAAGGAAAGTTCCCTGCTCCCAGATCTGGTAGAATTTGGTAGAAAGGACCAAATTACTCCATTTCCCTTTCCGTGGCATGTCTCCGTGTCCTGCCCTCCCTGGTTCTGTGAGAAGTCCCATTAAAGCGATTAGTGATGGGGATTAGGGGGGTTTTAGTGAAATGAGCAGCAGCTCCAGTCAGGAACAGCTGAGGCTGGGGAAGCAGCGGGAGGAGCACTCCAGGCTATGGCTGCCAGTGTGGTGCGTGTGCAAGGGAGCGCCCCACGCTTGGTCTGTGTGCTGGAATATCTGCAAGGCAGGCAGGCCAGCAACTGCAGCTCTCCCCGGGTGTGTGTGCATGTGTGTAACATACACATTGACTGCCACTGCTTGGATCCCCTTCAGTAATAGCTTGCATGCACTGATTTTTGAATATGTCTGCAAAGTCACAGATTGTAAGAAAGCAGAAGAGGCAGGGAGGCTGGTTTTCCAGGGCCTGTTGGCTTCTGCAGGGGGCCCAAAACATCCC